GGAACATCAGTAAAGGTAGGTTATTCCAAACTGAATTTTAACAGTGAAACTGAAGAACAGTCAGAGCTTGTCTTTGGCCCAGGGTTTGTCACCTTGGTTGTTCTACCCAGCAGAGAGGCCTCCCTGGAGACACCAGCATGGGGCTGAGTCTTTGCTAGAACACAGAAGACCAGCAGTCCCTTTTAGGCTTAGGTTAGACATACAGGGAAAACCAGAGTATGACTGCGGAGGCTGGGCTGCGCAAGATGACAGATGTGCTTTCATCCCAGGCTTACACACAGGGATGAGAATAATTGTAGCTCCCATCTATCAAACACCTGCTCCATGCCAGATCCCTTCAGATAGCTTCTTATTTAATCCACAGACTTTTGGGGGTAAGCAACCTCCTATTTTATTACAGTTGTATAAACAAGATCATTTCTAATAACTCAGAATCAGAATCCTTTAGGGATTTTTTTTCCACCTCATCTAATTTCCAACTCCCTAGCCCCTTAAGTCATGTGATTCTTCAATCAGTTCCTGTGCTGCCAGTGGTATGAAATTATACAATTATGCACAGGACATCATTACTGGTTTGTGCATTTCCTGTGCTGTTCTGTATAACATTTAGTGTATATTTCTCTACTTTTAAAAACAAGGTTTATTGTAAAATATACCATGTTATGCTAACAGCAGTTCCAGCCCCACCATACATTTTGTGTTTGCTGCATCTGTCTCTCCTTCCTTCCTTCCTTCCCTCCCTCCCTCCCTCCCTTCCTCCCTCCCTCCTTCCTTCCTTCCTTCCTTCCTTCCTTCCTTCCTTCCTTCCTTCCTTCCTTCCTTCCTTCCTTCCTTCCTTCCTTCCTTCCTCTCTCTCTCTCTTCTCTTTCTCCCCTTGCCCCAGCCTCCTGAGTGCTGAAATTTTAGACATGTACTACCATGCCTAGCTTTACTGTGTCTCTCAATTTTATCAAGAATCCAAGTCAGGGAAATTGTGCTGTGGCTCAGGCAGTAGAGCACTCACCTTGAGCTGATAGAGCACAGGGACAGCGCCCAAGCCCAGAGTTCAAGCCCCACGACTGACCAAAAAATAAATAAACTTATGTTTAAAAAAAAAAGAATCCAAGTCAGCTAATTGGCTATACATCTAGGTTTGCACGAGTATACTCTATGATCAGACAATTAAAAAAAAATCACTGAAACTCTCCCTATTGTTAAACAACAAGTCTATGATCTTTTAGTTACTATTATATGACATATTGTGGGTTCGATCTTGTTAGTTATGATATCTCATTTGTAAGGATTTTTCTCCATTTTCTAATTAAAAGACTGCTAGCTTCTATAATTCCACATACACACCAGCAAAGTAAATCTTAGTTTCAGTTAATTTCTAGAAGCAGAGATTATTAACCAGAAATAGCTGAGTTCTTTAAACCAATTGGAAGCAGAGGAATGAATGTACCATCATTAAATTCAATCTTTTCTATATTTTTATTTCATGCCACAGCCACTTGCAATTTGGTACAATTCACGCTGGAATCATTTGCTATTTTCTTTCTTTCTTTCCTTCCTTCCTTCCTTTCTTGCTGGTCATGGGGCCTGAACTCTGGGCCTGGGCACTATCCCTCAGCTCTTCAGCTCAAGGCTAGTGCTCTACCACTTGAGCCACAGAACCACTTCTGGCTTTTTCTGCTTATGTGGTGCTGAGGAATTGAACCCAGGGCCTCATGCATGCAAGGCAAGCACTCTACCACTGAGCCACCTTCCTAGTCCTCTTATTTGCTTTTTTCTATTGTAGGGTTATTTCCTTACCCTGGCCACTAGTCTTCATTTTGAATTCATAACTTCTATTTTTTTTTGGGGGGGGGTCCGGTCATGGGGCCTGAACTCTGGGTCTGGGCGCTGTCCCTTAGCTCTTCAGCTCAAGACTAGCACTCTACCACTTGAGCCACAACGTCACTTCTGGCTTTTTTTTTTCCTGAGTATGTGGTGCTGAGGAATCAAACCCAGGGCCTCAAGCATGCAAGGCAAGCTTGCTCTACCACTGAGCCACCTTCCCGGCCCTGAATTCATAACTTCTATTGTTTAATGAAATAGTAACTCTTCTGATTCTTGGTTTCCTCCTCTGTAAAAAGAGGGTGATGACAGAGATGTATGGAGTTTCTCTGCTGTGCAATATGGCACCTGGCCTGGCAGAAGCACTTTATGTCAGTTCTTAATAATATAATTTTCTTTGCAGGAATCTTTTATAACTAATGGTTATAGTCTCAAAGCAAAGGTAGCCTGGTATTACAGCTGACCTATGGGGTCAGTACTGACTTCTTTCCTTTTTCATGATAGTCCTCTCATCCGTTTGGATCATCCACCCTCGTTTTTCTAGCTATCCTGTCATCTCCTGTTTATATACTCATCCATCTTTCACCTAGATAGAATTTCTCCACTCTCAATGGCCTTTGGGCATCTAACCAAATCATCTCTCCATCTTTCAGAGCTCAATTAAAGTTCCAAAAGCCTCGATGAAAGATTTTCATTCTTTTCTTTTTTCTATCTTCTTTCTTTTTTAATTTTCCTTCCTTCCTTCTTCCTTCTTTCTTTCCTTTCTCTTTCTTTCTTTCTTTCCTTTCTTTCTTTCTTTCTTTCTTTCTTTCTTTCTTTCTTTCTTTCTTTCTTTCTTTCTTTCTTTCTTTCTTTCTTTCTTTCTTTCTTTCTTTCTTTCTTTCTTTCTTTCTTTCTTTCTTTCTTATTCAAAGGCCTCATTGGGCACACTACAGAACATAGCTTCCTCAGCATTTGTTCACGGTATGTCTTTGGGTGTTGTCTTAACTAGAGTTAATTCTTTCCTAAAAGAAAACAGCACAGCACATATCCAGCATAGACTTCTTGAGTGCCCCTTATCTGCAATGCTTAGTGCCAGGGGTATGTTAGGTTCTAGATTCTTTTCTTTTAGTTTTTTTCAATATTTGAAGTTATGTGCGAGATGTCTTGAGGATGACACACAAATCTAAACATGAACTTCATTTCTGTTTCCTGTATACCTCATACACATTGCCTGAAGGCAGTTCTAGACAATGTTTCAGTGCACCTGTGTTTTGACTGGAACCCAACACCTCAGGCAATGCGTGGAATTTTCTACTTGCACTGTCAAGCTGGTGCTCAAAATGGTTGAGGGTTTTAGAGCATTTTGTATTTTTGGATTAGGAATGTTTCCCCTACAGAAAGCTATCAGTTAAAGCAGCTAATTGGTCTGTGTCTTTAATTTTGAGCTTTTTGGAATAAGGCAGGTGGGAGTTGGAGCCTGGCTTGTGCTGCTGTTTCCATAGAATTTTTTCTTTTTGTTTCTGTCTAGCCCAGGATCACTTGTTAGATTCTCTCCGTCTGGATCATTCTGGAAGTATAAATTCTGACCCTCCCTTCCCCCCTGTCCCGTAGAGGTAGATTTGCATTTCTGAGTTTCTTACTTTTGTGAACCAAGGACAGCTACTAGAGGAGTGGGAACTTGCAGGAATAAAAGAGGAATTTTTTGTTTTGTTTTGTGCCAGGACTGGGGCTTGAACTCAGGCCAGCACTCTACCAGTTGAGCCACAGCTCCACTTCTAGCTTTTGGTGGTTAATTAGTGACAAGAGTCTCATGAACTTTCATGGCTGGGTTGGCTTTGAACCTCAATCCTCAGATCTTAATCTCCTGGGTGACTAGAATTACATGCACCCAGCAACAGGTGTGGTTTTGAATGCTTATATGTGATGGGTCATCTTTGGTGTGTCACTACCTAAAGCCAGAAGCCCATCTACAATGTGTGACTCAGTCATAGCATTTTTACATTCAAAGGAAGGAGTAAGGGAAAGTATGCTGTGTCTAACATTTATCAGAACAATGTGAAGCCCAGGACACTGAAACAGTGTTGGTAACTCTATCTTTCCATAAAATAACTAAGATGGTAAAGCCTCACGAGAGGAAACAGAATCTCATCCATCCGTTCCTGCCCAATCTCCCAGACCTATCTCTAGATCTTCCCCCCTTTCCCCCAAACAGCCTGGGCCCTGTCCCAACCCTTCATAGAAGACAATGATCCATGGGCTGGGAAGGTGGCTCAGTGGTAGAGCGCATGCCTTGTATGCCAGAGGCCCTGGGTTCGATTCCTCAGCACCACATAAGCAAAAAGAAAAAAGCCGGAAGTGGAGCTGTGGCTCAAGTGGTAGAGCGCTAGCCTTGAGCTGAAGAGCTGAGGGATAGCGCTCAGGCCCAGAGTTCAGGTCCCACGACCGGACCCCCCCCCCCCCCCCCCCCAAAAAAGAAGAAGACAATGATCCATTTTAATTTGTATAGTATTTTAGAGAGACAGAGCACTCCTAATCAGTTTCCCAATTTTTCAAAAGTGCTGTGAGATCAGCAAAAATGGATGTATTATTTGAGTTTTACCAATGTGGAATTTTGGTGAAATGATGTTGGTGAAGGGATTTAATAACCCTCTGGGGATTCTAACTCAGGTTCTTGGTCACTGTAGGCTTTGGAGCCAAGAGAGACAAACAGATGGAGCCAGGTTCTGGTGGCTCATGCCACCTCAGGAGGCTGAGGTCTGAGTATCACAGTTTAAAGCCAGTGTGGGCAGGAAAGTCATGAGCCTTTTTTTTTTTGGGGGGGGGGGGGTCCAGTCATAGGACCTAAACTCTAGGCCTGGGCGCTGTCTCTCAGCTCTTCAGCTCAAGGCTAGCGCTCTACCACTTGAGACACAGCGCCACTTCTGGCTTTTTTCTTTTTGCTTATGTGGTGTTGAGGAATGGAACCCAGGGCCTCATGCATGCAAGGCAAGCGCTCTACCACTGAGCCACCTTCCCAGCCCCTCATGAGACTTTTTATCTCTAATTAACCACCAGAAAACTGAAAGTAATACTGTGGTTCAAAGTGGTAGAGTGTTAGCCTTGAGCAAAAGAGCTCAGAGACAGCGCACAGGTCCTGAGTTTAAAAAATAAACCAACAAAAAAAGAAAGAAAGAGAAAGGGATGATGTCTATTTTCCCGAGTCTTGTTTGTTTTTATTAAGGTGAAATTTACGTGGAATACAGTGGACTAATTGGAAACAAATGTATCAGTGCCAGGTTCTGTCCCCATTTCCAGAACATTTCATTGCTTCCTCCAGGGCGTTTTGTACAGAGTAGAAATGAGAATCTCTGGCCTTGCTCCTAACACAACTCTCTGGGAAGCAGATTATATTTTCAGACTCTTTCTAGCTTTCTCTCAGAAACCTGCTAGTGTACAGCCAGGAATTATTGCCTAAATTTAGCATTAAGAAAATCAGGTTGGGGGCTCTTGTTTTTTGTTTTTCTTTTAAAGGAGTTGTCTTCTCAGCCAGGCTGTGACATGATTAGCCTGCAAGGAACCACAATGCTCTCCATGGTCCCGGGCACCAAACACAATGGGAGATGAAATGGTTGAATTGCACAAAGGGCTAGCCAGCTCCAAAATTCCATCTAGTCCTTGGTGTAGTGTTTGTCTTTCCCTTTCAGCTGTGGGTTGTCTCATGCTGAGACGGGGCTGGTGTGGGCTCTGGGCACTTGGGCAGCTCTGCATGAGATGCAGGACCAGATAGGCTCTGGCTCCTACATCTGTGTACTCAACAGATGGAGGGGTGAGGACTGCAAGTGTGTGGAGCCAAGAACAGAACAGCTCTGGCCTTTCTTGAACTTTACCAATTCTTGGAGCACAGGCCTAGAAGCAGCTTTGGTCCCAAGAAGTCATGACAGTTCCTCTGGCTGCTGATGTCACCAGGTGTGGAAGCAAGGCCGTCTGTGATGGCTAGGGCTTGTCAGGAGTGTGTGGCTGGGAAATCGAATGAGGATCAGTTCACTGGGGCCTAGAAGCGGGCAGTGCTCTGGCCTGTTGGAGAATTTTCCCTTTGGCGAATTCTTTTCCACACTGTCACTGTGAGAATACCCAGGACCAGGCCACCTATTGCTACAGTTGGCAGGGCCCAGTAGAGCCCGTTGAAGGCTTCAGACTGGTCTGGGAGTAGCCCGCTATTCCGAAGGGTGTAGAAGAAAGGGCTATCCTGGGGAGGAAGGAAGAGGGGGTGAGAGGTTAAGAAGATCCATTGACCCATCCATCTACCTAAGTCTCCATCAATGAGAGGGAACAATAAATCTTCATAGCTCTCTTCCTATTGTAATTCTCCTCCATTTACACTATGCCAGGACCTTCTGTGTGAGGACAGAAGAGGTCTCTCAAGTGGCTAATAACCAGCAATACCCACCTTTTGATTTCTCACCAATAGTTCCTTTCCTATCAAATCTGATCATGAGAGATAAGGAACTGTTAGGGGATCATTATTGGAAAAGAGTCCTAGGGACCCAGCAGAGATCCCACCTCTGTCCTCCTAGTCACTTCTGGATAGCTATTCTCAGCCTCCTGTTCAAGACTGCCCAGTGATCAGGGAAGGTTGATGAGGTGGGACCACTGGCTTTATGGTGGCTTAAAGAACCCAATGAGAGAAGGCCAGGAGGGGAGACATCTAGGTTGCCCTCATGAGGTCTTTTTGTTCTGTCTCTTTCAGTGGACACTGATAAGTAGCTGCTCTGTGGGGCTGAGGCCAGGAACTGTGATAAGCACTTGAGGGCTGAGATGAAAGTCTGTGTTAATTGCCCAGGAGGGAGATAAGACAGGCATAGAAGCAATCACGTCAAAGGAGAATAGATGTAAGCAGAAAAGGGAGAGCAACATAGGTGTGGCAGGGGATAGGAACTGTAGAATAAACATGATGGAACCATAGCTAAGGAAGGCAGTGTAGTGCCCAGAGAGAGATAACTGTTCTCATAGGCAGAGATGAGGAGGAGCTGCATGTTGCAGATGGCCGAAGTGAAAACACTGACAAGGAGCCAGGGACTAGTGGTTCATGCCTATAACCCTAGCCACTCAGGAGGCTGAGACCTGAGGATTATACTTTGGAGCCAGCACTAGAAGACAAATCTGAAACTTATCCCTAGTGAGCAAAAAGCCAGTTTTGCTCAAGTGGTAGAGCACCAGCCACGAGCCAAAAAAAAAAAAAAATCCAAGTGAGAACCTGAAGCCCTGACTTCAAGGCTGTGAGTTCAAGGTCCTAGTACAGACACATACGCACACATGACATGGGCAAACAAGGGCTCATCTGAGATGTGGCTTCATTTGCCAGGAGTGTAGAGTGTATAATAGCAGGAGGGCTGAAGGCAAAGGAAGAATTTCAACAGCCTTGGCCAGACTGGAGTTGTCTGGCAGCAAGTACAGGATGATGGGGAAACATAAAGGATTGCTAGAGAGACAGTAGGGACTTTGTAGAGGTCCAGGTGAGGGCAGTAGGCATCTTCCAATCACCAGCCCTTAGTATAATGCCCGGTAAGTGTGTGTGTGTGTGGGGGGCTTGCATGTAGGAATTAAGACTTAAGGTTACAAGACTCCTTAGAAGTTCTGAGTGGTTTAAGGCACTTGGCCAATGCTTACCAACCTGCCTCTCTCCTTGACTCTTCTCCCTTCCCTACTCTGTGGCAATATGGAGAGGGGAGAGTTAAGATCAGTGGCAGTAAGCAATGGTACATTTAGGCCTCTGGAGGACTTGGGTATGCCTTCAGGTGGCTGAACACCTCCCTCCCCCCCAGACATTCATCCAGGACAGGTGGGGTGTTCACTCACGGGAGATGGGCACTTCAGTTTGGCTCGGCTGTAGGTGAAGTTGTTGGAGGTTGTCTTTTGGCCCACTGGTTCCAGCTAGATTAAAGAAAATAAAGACAGCTTGATTTCTTTGTCAGAAGAGGTGGCTCACGTGGATTTCTTCCCTTTGGAAAGAAAGGATGAAACCGGAAGTGTAGTGAGTCCTGTGGCTAGGCCAGCATTATAGCCAGAGTTGGACCTGACTTTGGACCCACACAATGAGGAGTCTGTCCTAGCTGGGTAGGACTCTGAGTGGAAGCCCCCTGGATTTATCAGTGGGGAAACCAAGGCTCTGGAGAGATTGACCAATCCAGAGTCCACAGTGAGTTTCTGCAAGAGTTGGGACCAAGAATGCTCATTGCCTGTTTTCCCTCGTGGGTGGCTGTGATTGCAGACACTGTATTTTCAATTTGATAAAATGGTGATAATCATATTTACCAACTTGTCCAAGTGTGTGGAGCGAGTCAATTTCAGGAGAACTTTGAAAACATATTGGTTACCATGACATCCTTACTACAGTTGGCTTGCCAACTTGAAGAAATTGGAATTTTCTCACTTGAACTATTTTATGTGGTTGTCACATAGATGAAAACATTTACTCAAAATATCCCTGGGGACAACTGTGGTTCTGTGGGGTTCTGCTAAATACTTTCCACCTTAGGACCCCCTGTGAATAAATGAGAAGCTGCTGCTCCCCATCCCTGAATCTTTAGCCAGCAGCCTATCCCCAGGGAACAGCCAGGAAGAGCAGACCTGGCACTTACCTAGCCACAGGTTCTGTCCTGAGCATCAAACTTGTACCCATTGCTTCCTCTCTGGCCACCAGGGACAGCCAATGAGGGAAATCTTAGTACTCTATACATACTGCTGAGCACACCCGGCTCATAACCTCACTGTTGTCTTAATGCCTTTCCTAGCCATTCCTTGGTAACACCATTAGAAGAGGGAGGGTAGCTCTCAGTCTGGGAGACATCATGGTGATTGTATTCTTGCAGGGTTCTGGCTCTGCCAACAATGACTGGGCAGTGCCAGCCAGGCAACTTCCCTAAGGTTGGAGACCATGTTAAATAGTGTCCTGAAGAGTCAACATATGGTTGTCATGAACATCAAGGGAGAGTTAACAGCACAGCATGTGTGAGCCAGAGATGGCTTACCTTTAAGACTGAGGTATTTTCACTTTCTTAGATCTAAGAACGCATAGCTGAGTTCTAGTGTAATAGAATGACTCAGGAACCGAATGAGGGCTAAGGACAAGTTGGCTGATTCTCAGGGATGTACCAGGAACTAAGTGGTACCCAGGAAGTCTGTGATCTGTACACTTGATGAGTATATCAGTTTCTCCTTCTTTATGGCTCTTTCTATCAACTCATGCCTACTGCAACCTCTTATCTCTTCCACCTTCCCTCTTCTTGCTTTAGAGTCCTTCTGCTTCCTTAGCTACGGCTCCATATGACTTTCTCCAAGTTTTCTATAGTTACTGGCTGCTATTTCCAACCTCCTAGTCCCTCACCTGCTCATTCTAATTGGTATGGATAGGACTATGGCCGCCATCATTTGACAGCAGCGATGGTCAAGGTCATCAACAACCTCCATGTGGCCAGATTCAGTGGTTTTTTAAGTTTTTTTTTTTTGTCTTCATCTTGTCTGGCTTCTCAGTAGAATTTGTCAAAGTTGTCTCCACTCCACCATGACAGTCCTCCGAATTTCTTCACCACTCCACTCTCTGAGCCATGTCCAAGTGGGAACAAATGCCTTAGGGTCAGCTCTCAGTAAGTCCCATGGTTAGGAATACTTTATGAATGCTAATAACCCTCTTAAAAAATCTCCAGACTGACCTTGACCCTATATAACAGCTTGCCCAATGCCTGTGTGTGGCTGGCTGGAAGGCAACTCCTATGCCTTGTGTTCAAAATAGAACCTGACTTTTCTACCCATCAACCATCAACTTAGTTTCTTAGATTCCAACCCAAGAAACTATCCTTTGTTTCGGTTTTCTCTTATCCATCATCCAGTTCCAAACACATCCTAAATGACTATGTCTCTCCTCAACTGCCATGACCTTGGTCTCAAGCACTTTTGATTCTCACCTGCATGAGAGCAGCTACCCACTCTCCTTCTATTTACACAGCAGCCAGAGGATAATGACAGAGCATGTTGCTCCTGTTTGAGATCAGCTGGCCCCTGCCTGCCTCTCTGATCTTGTTCATTTGTTTCCAGTCACACTGGCCTGGAAACTCCTTAGATACTTCAAGTTCATTCCTGACCCCAGGCTCACTTGGGTCCTAGTTCTCCCTGGGATATGAGGCCCCAGATTTCTGCCTTCCTGGAAACCTCTCAATATCTAGGTTTCAGTTCACATGTCATGTCTTCAGTGTAGACTCCCTGCTTCCTACCATTACTTTACATCCATCCCCACTTGATTTTTTTTTTTTGTCGGTTGTGGGGCTTGAACTCTGGGCCTGGGCTCTGTCCCTCAGCTCTTCAGCTCAAGGCAAGCGCTCTACCACTTAAGTCACAGCTACCACTTCTAGTTTTTCTGGTGGTTAATTGGAGATAAGAGTCTCCTGGACTTTCCTGCCCAGGCTGGCTTCAGATCTCAGCCTCCTGAGTAGCTAGGATTACAGGTGTGAGCCATGAGCATCCGGCCTGCCTTCTTTCCTTCCTTCCTTTCCTTCCTTCCTTCCTTCCTTCCTTCCTTCCTTCCTTCCTTCCTTCCTTCCTTCCTTCCTTCCTTCCTTCCTTCCTTCTTCCCTCCCTCCCTCTTTCTTTCTATCTATCTTTCTTTCTTTCTTCTTTCTTTCCTTTTTTTTGCCAGTCCTGGGGCTTGAACTCTGGGCCTGGACAGTGGCCCTGAGCTTATTTTGCTCAAGACTAGTGCTCTACCACTAGAGCCACAGCACCACTTCTGTTTTTTTCTGAGTAGTTTATTGGAGATAAGACTCTCATGGACTTTCCTGCTTGGGCTAGCTTCAAATCACGATCCTCAGATCTCAATCTCCTGAGTAGCTAGGACTATAGGTGTGAATCACTAACGCCTGGCTAGGTTTTCTTATATGGAGGTTTTTCAATTACCTTGTGGAGAACAGATAAGGCAGTGGCTCATAAACCTTGCCATTAGAATCATCTAAAAAGTTTTCTTAAAAAAATCTAAGATCTACTCAGAATAACTGTCAAAATCTCGGGGGATAAGCCTAGCCACTACTTAAAAGCACCTCTCTGCCTTTTTTTTTTTTTTTTTTTTTGTCCGTCGTGGGGCCTGAACTCTGGGCCTGGGCGCTGTCTCTCAGCTCTTCAGCTCAAGGCTAGTGCTCTACCACTTGAGCCACAGCACCACTTCCAGCTTTTTCTGCTTATATGGTGCTGAGGAATCGAACCCAGGGCCTCATGCATGCAAGGCAAACACTCAATCACTAAGCCACCTTCCCAGCCCCACCTCTCTGCCTTTTTACTAGAACATTCACTCCCAGAAAGAAAGACCTTCATGCTGACTTCTAACACTAGATGACAAGATGCTTGCTTTTGAAATGTATGTGCATATCTGTTTATTTGCATATTGTTGAGATTGCAAATTCTCATGGCATAAACTGGCAGGGATGCAGCACAGCTTATTCAATATGTTGTTGGAAGCATGGTGAGGTTCCAGTTTGGGGGTATTATAAATAGTGTCGCTATGAAAATTCCTGTATGTATCTTTTGGTGGATATGTGTGTACTTTTCTGTTGGAGATATAACCAGCAGTAGAATTGTTGGGTCTCAAGAAATACCAACATTCAGCATTATTAGATATGCCAAAGTGTCTTCCAAAGTTGTTGTAGGCACTCATTTTTCAAAGTCTCCAGATGATACTAATTTGTAGTCAGAAATAAGAATTTCTGTTCTAAGGGCTATAGGACTGGGGACAGGGATTATGGCAACTAGAAGTGGGAACTATTAGTTGGGGTTTCTAAAGAAGAAGAGATGTCATGCACTAGTAGAGAAAGAAGTCTCAACAAGAAAAGGAAAATATTTCATAAGAAGACAAGCCAGGTGCTGGTGGCACATGCCTATAATCCTAGGTACTCAGGAGGCTAAGATCTGAGGATCAAGGTTTAAAGCCAGCTCAGGCAGGAAAGCCCACGAGATTCTTGTCTCCAATTAGCCAGCAAAAAACTAGAAGTGGAGCTGTGGCTCAAGTGGTAGAGTGCTAGCCTTGAACAAAAAGATCTCGGATGGAGCAGAATGGGATAACACTGATTAACATGCGTTGTACTCATAACCTGACTTATAGAATTGTAACCTCTTTGTACATCTACTTAACAATAAAATTAAAAGTTTAGGAATAGCACCTAGGCCCAGAGCTCAAGCCCCAGGAGCTGCAGAGAGAGAGAAGGGGGGGGGGGGGGAGGGAGAGGAGAAGAAAGAGGAGGAAGAAGAGAAGAAAAAAGAGAAGGAGAGTTCAAAATCCTAGTGGTTCAAACCAAACAACAGAGACAAAGGAAGAAGAAAAGAGGTCCTGATGATGCTTATGTGTCTGGCTTCACTTTTACACCAGTCTCCAGGGAAAGAGGTAGGAACTATTAAGAGGAGAGAGGTGAGAGATGAAGCAGTTTATTGTGTTGTTCCTGGTAGGGGACCCTGGGAACATCCGCCAAAGCCTGCAGACACTATGTCATAGGACTCTAATTATGAGACATGAATTCACGGGCTATATATGTGCTTATCAGGTTGGGGGCAGAAGGAAGGTTGCGGTTGTGGCCAGGACAAGACGTAGAAAACCTGGACTCTTGTCCCTCTTGAGCCATTAACCAGCTGTGTGATGCTGGGAAAATTGCTTCATGTCTCTGTATTTTCATTACAGAATGTTCTGCCTAAATGACCTCTGGATGTGTTCCAGCTCTAACAGCCTATTTATTTGATGTGACTTGAGGGGTGAAATTCCAATAAGAAATATTTGGAAAAGTTGGCACGATGCTGTAGCTTTACGTCCGATACGGTTTGGGATGAAAACACAGGACTCTGTAATTCTTTTCCTAAATTATATACTACAGGATAAGAAGCTCATGGATGAATTTTGTTTTACTTCTCTTTGTTTTTGTTATTTTTTTAAATTTGGGAAAATGGTTGGGGGATCTGTGGACAGTCTGGCTAACAGTCCAACTCCTGGCAGTGTGTTCACCTTTTGTTCTCATATCTGATCCTTTTACCTGCGTTTGTGAAATAAAACCTCTCACCTGGCAAATAAAAAGAACTACTGAGCTGCTTTGCAAATGAAGGCTAGAGTGGCACTTAATTACACAAAGAGGGACCAAGGGACGCAGTCATTTCCCAGTTATCCCTATAACCATCAAGTCTGGCAGGGTTTCCTCTTTAATCAGGTCTGGAATACTACTCAGCCCATACATTGATGGTCAGGTTGGCAGTATAGGCCCAAGGGCTTAGCTTTCCTGGCTCTTTTTGTTTTTGTTTTTGAAAATGTAGCTTTCCCTGCCATCTTGGGGCAGGGGCAGTGGTATAACAGGGAAACTAGATTCTCATGCTTTGAGGGGGTGGGATTTAAAAAGGAATGAAATCATGACTATGTTACTGAAGGAGACTGGCCTTCAAAACAAAATCTTTACAAGATATGTAACTGGTATTGGGATTTCTATCATGCAAACTTGGTTTTTTTAAAAAAACACAGTCGGGATTGGGTAGAAAGCAACTCAAACAGAACTTTGGTGGCAATTCAGAATCCTGGGCTGAAAGAGTATGATGGTCATGTTTAGATTTGAGCCAAAACCCAAGCTTTTAGATCTGGATTCATGTCCATTGACAAGTGGACAGAGTTTTCAAAGAAGAAGGTAAGGTCTCTGCCCCCTTGGTGGGACCAGAAGCAAGGTTACCTACTCGCCAGACATGGCTACTGCCCACTTTTCCTTCCAGAAGATGCTCTCAGCATTTCTTCTTTCATCTCTTTGATGCTGGCTTCAAGGCTGATGTCAACAGGAGGAAACCCCCAGGGCAAAACAAGTGGAGGAAAGCTGAGTCTAATTAAATAGGTCAAGGATAAAACCTGCTTACATGCTGCTCTGAGTGGAAGAGGTTGCTAGAGAGGAGGCAGGGGTGGCTGCAGTTAGAGAGAAAGTCAATATTGTGAGTCAGCTGAGAGAGGCACTGGACATGTTGCTAAGATGACAAGTATGGGAATATTTGTACAGTGGTGCTGGCAGAGATGCCATGGACTTGAAACTGCAATAAAAAGCAGGAGTATAGACTGTTCCGTCACCATGGGAGAGATGAGGGAACATGTGAGTCAGAATGGGCGTTGGGTTACACACTGAGCCTAGATCAAAGGAAGCCATTGGATGAGGAAGGTTTTTTGTTTGATTTGTGCAAGAGGATACAGGTATAGGGGCCAGAACAGGTCAAGCATTACAAATGCAGTTGATAGGGAAGAAGGGAGTGGCCAGCCTCAAAGAGCAGAGCTGAGGCACAAGATCAAGTATCCCGGTGGCTCCTGAGCTGTGTGTTCATTTCATGAGGTCACTTCTCCCCAGCAGAAAGGCCTGGAACACACCTCAGCCTGGGAGAACAGCCTATCTGGATCTCTCTTTTAGATGTTTATAGAAGCAGTAGTTGGGATGTGTTGAAACTGGAGTACTGAAGGGTTACAACGCTCACATTTGTTGAAACAAATTCTTGCGCTGGCTGCTCGGTACACATTACCTCAGATTTCTGTGTCACTTTTACAGGTGACCAGATATAGGTGTTGATATTGGTGGCTGGAGAAATTATTTGCCCAACATCCCTAGGAAGTGGGTAAAGTCGGTACTTTCATTCAATTCATCTGATTGCAAAGCTATGTTCTCACTTTACCTGGCTTTGCTGAGAGAATAAATTGCGTGCGTGCAGGTGCGTGCGCACCCCCCTCCCCCACCCTCACCCCCCGCCCCCGACTCCCCAACCAAAGTACATGAGGACATATAAAGTATACTGCCATTTTGGGCTTTGGGAAGAAAGGAGCTATGTCAGTAGACTGGTCATTGTGGGATTTAGAGTCAGTATGCCTAGATTTCTTCCTCTGACCCAAACCAGCCAGGTCCTCAGTCACTCACCATGTTGTTCCACAGAGCGATGGCCATCTCAGCGTGACCGCGCTCTGATAAGTGGACACAGTCTTCAGAGAAGAAGGTAAGGTCCATGTTCCCTCGCTGGAACCAGAGGCACGGAGGTTACCAACCATGGACATATCACAACCTCCCACCGTCCCTCCCAGCAGGTGCCCCACCCACTTCTATCATTTCGATTCTGCCTTCAGTTGGAAAATCTTTCCTTTTTGCAATACACATTGAATATTATGACTGTATTCACCCATTATTCCTCTCTCCATTCATCTACCCTCCTCTCCTTGACCACTCCCCCCCCCCCCAAACCTCCTAGTATTTTGTTAAACTGTAAGTTAGCTGTTCAAAGGAATTACACCACTAGAATCCTCCCCTGCCTAAACCATATTTAATATGTGAGTGTCTATGTGCATATGACCTTGCACATGTTTACATCTGTATTTAGAATTTGGATCTAACTTCCACATGTGAGAGAAGACATGCATCCTTTGTCTCTCTGAGCCTGACTTACTTCACTTAACATATTTTTTTTCCAGATCCATCCATCCATTTCCCTGCAGATGACAGAATATCTTTCTTCCTGATGGATGAGTAAAATTCCACATTCCATGTATTTAGGAATAGGAAACTTGAGGGGAGGGTGAGGTTGGCAGCGATGGAGGAGAAAGATTAAAGTGATGACACTGATCAAGATGTGTTGTACTCACAGGCATGTTAATTGAAACTCCTTCATGCAACTACTTAAGAATAATAACATATAGATAAAGAAAAAGAAAAAAAGTCTTCTTGATTTGGGATTTTTTTTTAAAGGCAGATATAAAGTATATCCACCTACATTTCATCTCTTGTCTTTCAACATCTCTGCCCTGAAGGTTGATGCTTTTGATAATTTTAAGCTCTCCATTCTCTCCCAATCCAGCTAATATCAGTGCTATGACTGTGGGGCTTGGTCATTACTGATTTTTTTTTTCTTTCCAAGCTCATCTAAATTTTAAAGAAGTAGAGAAAGCCACCTTTGGCTTAGGAGCCTTCTTGGGGACAGATGGTAAAAACAAATAGCACAGATATATACCCATCGCTAGAGACAAGGCCTTCACAGTGGAGTCTCCAGAAACACCTGCAGCTTACCTCATTCAGGGGGACAAGAGTGTTCCGGAAGAAAGGCTGCACGACCACGGCGAAGTCCTCCCGCTGCGTGTACTGGTGCAGGTAGGAGAACCTGGACATGCCACTCTGGGGAGAGAGAGGCTGCTCAACCCTGCTGGGAAGGCTGGACAGACAGTCTACCCTGAAGCCTTGGGGGTGCTTATGGTAGGAATGAGCTCGCTGTAGACACAGATACTGAAAGGGGCTACTGGTGTGGCCCATGCTCTCATTCGTCCTGCTCGTTTAGTGAAGACCTGTATCTCAAGGCCCTGTGCTAATTTAAGACATCAGAACTGAGCTGAGCATTGAGGCCCCCAATGGAAACACTCCCCTTTGTACAGCTCCACCAAGTTCTATTTTGAGGCCCCTGCAAGGCTGGGCCTGCGCCCCTGGGGCCACATGTACTGGGCCTCACTGCATTCACTGCACAAAGAGGTCGGTTGTCAGCTCAAAGGAGAGCATCTCTGCACCAAACTCCCCAAAGTGCCTGTGAACTTTTGAGAGGTGAAAGTCTGTGGACTTAAGTGCCCAAACATGGATTGTAGAAGAAATAGATTTAGATATATTTATCCTGGAGGACTGTTATCATCCATCTGGGAAAAGGAGGCAAGACATACAAATGTAAGAATTGTAGACAGCGCTAGGGTCCAAACTCAAGTGCAGGCTGACCTTGACCTGAAGGTGAATGGACTCAGGGGAAGCATCTCTGAGGAGGAAGACTTGCTGCCTGAGTGGAAATGGATCCATTTGCAGAAAGGCTCAGCATGGGCACTTTCAGAGAGGATCCAATAAGGGTGGAAATGAGTATGAATAGGAGCATTGAGAAAGGGGGAGTGGAAGTGGAGGTAGAGCTGACTAGGTTAGGATAGCTTAAGGAGGAGAGGGTGAAATAGGGGTACAGTGATGCCTCTCTCCTGTTCCCTATAAAGATGTGTTTCATGATGTAGGGTCTGGGTATGAGATGGACCCTACTACATAGAAGCTTCTGAGGACCAAATGCTCTTCATCTAGCCAGGGTTAAACTGGAGCCTAGAGGCAGGGATTCTCTCCAGCTGTCATGTTAGGATCTCTACTTCTTAGCATTCAGTTTGCTTTGATTACTTCCAAGCCTGTGATCTGCCTTTTAGGGAGTGGGTTGCTGTCCACCAGCCTCTGATCAATGTATACACTCTGGGTCTTTGCTCAGGGAGCACAGGGCTGGGCTCTTACCTGGAGATTCCAGTTCACTTTCTTCAGCTCTTGCATTGCCAGGGAGTTCTGAAAGTGTTTGAGGCAACTACAATTGCTCCTGTGAGGTAACACAAAGAATCTGGAGTTGAGGCTCTCCAGGGCGGCTGGTTCCATCTTCCTCTCTCCACAAAGAAGCAGCTGCTACCTGCCTGAATCTACAGCCTATGCCACTTCACAAGGGGTAGGGTTGAGAGGTGACACACTCCCATAACACATCCTAGGATCCATTAGGGATCCCTAACTCAGGGGAGTCTTGGTGTGCTATAGTTTGGATCTTGAATATTCCACCAAAAGCTACAGTGGTGAAGGCTTGGTTCCTAGATAATGGCATTCTCATAGCCAATCCATTTGAGCCCAGATAGAATTCCTCAGTGACCACAATAGTCATATGCACTCTGGGAGCTTCTTTGGCCTCAGGATTCCACTAATCTTTCAGAATTCTGGCTCCCAGAATTACTGATTTGCCCACCAAGGCAAATTCCACCAGAGATTGCCCGCAATCCTAGCTTTTAAGTAAGGAGTAAAGAGGATGAGTTTCTGAAAGCCAGCCTCTGTTCCTTATGTGTTATTTCCTGTTGATGTCACATCTACATGACAGGAAGGTGATAGCCACATTTTACAGGTGATGAGTAAGAGGCCCATAGATCCATAACTTCTCAGAGGCAGAGCTGCATCTCAGCTGGGAGTAAGTTGCCAAGGCTGGCCTTTGCAGAAAAGCAAACTTGAGTCCAGAGAAATGAAGGGGCTTGTGCATAGAAGCATTCAGTCATACAAAGGCCTTTCTAAATTATTTTCCAAGTCCTTGGCTTGCCCTTGAGCCCGGCTCTCCTCCTATAGGGTCTTCCAGCCCTGCCCTCCCCAGCTGTCCTTGCTCTGGGTTGATCATTGGTACACTTACTGAGCCATCAGTGGCATGGCGCATTTCCCACCGTGGCCCTGGTGCAGGCCAGCCAGGTCCATGACCTCCACCACATTGACAAAAGCCCTGGGAAGCTGAGGGAAGCAGAGAGATGGGCTTCATGAGTCCAGGCAGTTTTAGGGAGAGGACACTGATTACTAGAGGTTGGAGCATTAGCCTCTATCCAACTTCCCATCCTCAATTTTAGCAAAGAGAGAATAAGGCCGAGGCTGGGTATGACTACTTGGATGATCTCACCAAATCTTTTCTTTTTTAAGTGTTGTAGTTTGAACTCAGGGTCCTACACTTGCATATATTAGTCAAGTACTCTACCACTTGAGCCTGCCCACCCCCAACCCTTTTTTGCTTTAGTTTTATGTTTCAGATAGGACCTCATGTGTTTGATTGCGATCCCCCTATTTCTGTTTCCCATGTAGCTGGAATTATAGGCATGCACCATTATGCTTAGTGCCCAAATATTCTTTACTGCCACACCTTACTGACTGAGAAGTTGAGACACAGAAAAGTCCCACTGATACTAAGTCACAGAGTCTGGTTGCAAACTTAGGCTAGTTGGCTCCAGAGCAAGCACTTTGCTATTACACAATCCAGCCTCTGAGCCAGTGAGTTCAAAATTTCTTCTGCTGGGAGCTACTATCCTCCAATTCTGCCCAGGTGGCCACTCCTGGGAGTCTCCACACAGTATGCATCTCATTTGACCCACTTGTCTAGATATGCCCAGGACAAAGATCCCACCCACAGTGACGGTTACTGGCAGCTAGGAATGGGCCACGATGTGTTCCCACCTCCTTGTAGAGGATGTCCAGGGCCTGCTGGATGTGCAGGAAATACTTCTCAGCTGAGTGGTCCTCCTGTGAAAAGAGAGCCCGCTTTAGCTCATGCATTGCATTCTGGGAGAAGACAATCACCCAGGAGTGTCTTGCCTGGCTGATGGCAGAGGGTGTAGTGATGGGTTTTGGTGGTTCTAGCCAGTCTTTGTTATTTGTTGACTCAGAGTCTCTTGTAAGAAGTCTCCTTTTGACACCAGGAATAATTCCCACTGGTTCCCTGTTCCACACGGTCTTAAAGTCATATGCAGAGTCTGCCACTACTGGGCCAGGCCCTACCCCTTCTCCATCTTCATCTATCACCTGATTCAGGCCTTCTCCAGCCACACATAGGCTTCTGAGGAGTGTATTCTATCTTTCCGCCGGGTGTTGGTGCATGCTGGTCCAATTTCCTGGAACTCTTTGTTCTCCTGCATCCTGCTAAGAATGCAACCTTTCTCCTTGATGAAAGGCTAATATAGAGGTGCCTCCTAGGTCCCTAGGTGATGAGAATGAGGCATATAACAGGTGCTCAGTAAATGCCCACTGGCTAACTCTGGGCACTTTGCTTTATGCCTCAGGAAAGTCACATTTTGGTTTCTACTTTGTCATCAACTTTATTATTCTCTTCTATTTCTATTTAATTTTCTTTCTCGTCTCCCTCCTTTCTTTCATGCTGGTATTGGGGTTTGAACGCAGGGCCTCACACTCCTGCTTGGCTTTTGTTGTTGTTGTTGTTGTTCAAGGCTGGTACTCTACCACTTGAGCCATTTTGGATCTGGGGTCCCTAGAAAATGTCAGAAGACTGATACCAGAGGGTGGGGGAATCCCTCAAGCACTCATGTCAAACATGGAAGAATGCCTGTAGCAGGAAGGGAGGTACTTGGGGGAATGGCAGCAGGAAGCCAGAGCACAGGCACCCTGGTATTGTTTTCTTGAGACAAAGAGCTATGACTTAGTGGACTCCTTGGTCACTACTAAGCACAAAATCCCTGGTCATGGAAGAGCGTCTTCCCATGGCTACAAGAAGTGGGGTTGACAGTTGAGGTGAAGGGAGGAAAAGGAAAAGACAATTCTGCTCAAGAGTTAGGGCAGGAGCCAAGGGACTCCTGTCTCTAAGCGTCTGTCCCTCCCTTTCCGCCAGTGAAGGAAGGTATGACATTTGACCAAGAGGCATCGTAGCCATCACCTAACTATGGAATTGTAACCCCTTTGTACAACTACTTAATAAAAATGCCCCTCCAAAAAGAGTCTGTCCCTCTTCCCTTGCTCAAACTTGGCTTGAGTGACTTAGTGGAAGCTTCCAAGCTTTTCCCACAAATGCAACTCTCAGGAGCATGAGGGCAGGTATGCTGGAGACACAGAAGCTCTGGCTCCTATATTTCTGGAACCCAGAAATATTGATCCCTTTGGATTGTTTCTGTCTCTGCTGTCTGTGTCCGCATCTGTGCAGACCCAGGGAAGGGGCCTGGGAGAGTTGACCCCTGGGTAGGGGAAGTAACCTCATCAAGCTCTGCAAAAACCACAAAAAGCCACAGCGCCTCCACCCCGCTCCCCCCTCCCTCTCCCCCAGCCTATGACTGTCAAGTGTTCTTACCACTACTTCAGAGTCAAGGCAGCTGCCTCTTCCTGGCCAAATAAAATACATGATGTCCCCAACTTAGAACGAGATGTATTCTAGAAGTTACAGCTTTTAGAAGTTTGTATGTCTGGACCTGTTTCCCCACAGAAACATTAGGAAGGGGGGGGGGGGGTTGAGTTTTCAGGCCAGCTGGCTGAGGTTGGTTAACTCATGATGGCCCTGATTGGAGGCAAGCCACACTATAAAGATTTTTGTCCAATCCTGTTTACAGTAATGTTGCTTCCCAGTAGGCAGGCATAGAGGTAATCACTGATTCCCTGTAGATACCAGGTACTGGTTCGGGTAAGACTGCCCCTTTGGTGCCCAAAGAATGGGCCTGTCTATAGATTTTTTTTCCCCAGGGGCCACTTGGGCAGGGTGAAAGTCTAGGCCTCATCTGCTCTGTGTGTGCTAGAGGCTGCACAGGCAGATTCAGGTGCCTGGTTACTCAGGCGAGTATGACCCCCCCCCTCCCCCCCAGGAGGCCCAGGAGGAGGATAGATGTGAGTGACTTCATTTTAAGTCCCCAGTTGGACTAGTTGGGAGCTTACCGGGTTCTCACAGAAATGACACAAGTCACTGCCCCCAATGAAGAGTGTGACAAGCTTCCAGTCTTTCTCCAGGTCGATTTCCTAAGGGGACAGATCCTGAGTTTAGGCCTCAGAGCGGGGCATGTACCAGTGGTACCCGTCCTCCACGCTGAGTGCCTGTCAACCTCTCTGAACCACCACAGAGAAGGCACACGGTGCCCGCCCCCCCCTTCAACGTGCTGTCAGGAACAGGGGGAGCTCCACAAGAAGAACTGTGGGTGTGTTAGGGTGGGGCTGTGGTTACACGGGAGAAGGGCTACCTTCTTTGAAGTCCCCTCCCTCACCTTGTTTTTGTACCAGTATTGGGGTTTGAACTCAGGACCTTGTGCTTTCAATTGGCTTTTTCACTCAAGGCTGGTGCTCTATCCCTTAAGCCATGACAGAAGTCTCCCATCATGAAGTATAATGGTACTATGGAGCATGTGTGGATTAACCTGTCCTGCTCCCCCCCCCCCCCCATCCCAAAATGTGATCTATGGCCTTTTGAAGGAGCCTTTGGCAGAAGACACAGTTTGAAGCTGAAGCTGCCTCTTGGGTGGATTCTTAAGGCCTGTGTAGGAAGGGAAAACTGGAGCCAGAACCCAGGAGGGACGGAGAGGTGGGGTGGGGCCTGGGGAGGCCCTGAAGCCGCAGATTTCAGCTCAGCCACCACCATAATAGGAATCCTGCCAGGAGTTCCAGTCCAAGGCATAAACACAGAGCCTTTAAAAAAAAAAAAAAAAGGAAAAGCAAAAAAGGTGCAAGGGAAAAGTTTCTGAAGGGCAGGGTGATTGGGAAGGAGAAAGGACTAGAATGAGAAGCCTATTTTTAGCATCTGGCATTTATATAACTGAGCTCTGGGAAGGCAACTCCTTGGTGAAGGGGGAAGCTGCCAGGCCAAGGCCACATTTGGCCAGCTCTCTGCCCCCCACCCCTCCTTGACCTCTGGTAGCCAGGCAGAGTCCCTGGGAAGCCCCTTGACTTAGGTGAGCTGAAAGGAGTGGCTGCAGAGCCGAGCATCCCACAGGCTCTCACCCTCACAGCCAAGGTGGTCTGGCACCTTTCAGCATTCCCTGCCCCCACCCCCTACTGCCTCCTCAGGCTTGGACTCACTGGGCTTTGTTTCATTCGCTCCACCAGGTCCCGGCCCTGGTCTGGCATGTCCCTGGGTAGGGAGAAGAGAAGGAGACATCTAGGTTGTTGAGTTGCTTAGGAAAAAGGGGTTAACTGCAATCCCATTTTTGGGCATTTACCCAAATGATCACAAACAAGACCATACTAAAGCCACCAGCACAACTATGTTTATTGCAGCATGATTTACCATAGCTAAGATATGGAACCAACCCAAATGCCCCTCAGTAGATGAATAGATCAAGAAAATGTGGTATATATATATATATATACACAATGGAAATCTATGCTCCATTAGAAAGAATGACATCACCCCATTGGTTAGGAATGGAAAGACTTGGAAAAAATCATATTAAGTGAAGTAAGCCAGGCCCAAAGAAACATAGGTCCTATGTTTTCCCTTATTTGCAATAACTAGTATATGCCTGGGACAAGTAGAAAAGGTCAAAAGCTACGTACATATGACCAGATAAGATGAAGTTAGGCGAAATGAACCACAAGATAGGGACACAAGTGGTTTTTTTCTTTCTTGCTATTGTTTCTAATGTATTTATAAAGTACCATGTGATTTTTTTTTTTGTTTCTTTGTATGTTCCTCCCCTACGGTATAACCCCTGTTTTCACTGTATTTGATGTTGGTATAATTTGGGGAGGGGAAGGGAAAAAACAAAATGTTTAAATAGGGATACAGGTGGACCCATTGTAACAATGAGATGTACAAGACACTATGTTGAAAAACGAACTTTACAATTTAGGCTGGGGATGGGGGAGTAGAGTTGTGGTGGTGGGAGAGAAGGAATGGTAGGGAAAAAACAAAGGAGGAGGCAACAATGCTTGATAAGAAATGTACTCAGGGCTGGGAAGTTGGCTCAGTGGTAGAGTGCTTGCCTTGCATGCTTGAGGCCCTGGGTTCGATTCCTCAGCACCACATAAGCAAAAAAGAAAAAAGCCAGAAGTGGCTCTGTGACTCAAACGGTAGAGCGCTAGCCTTGAGCTGAAGAGCTGGGGGACAGCGCCCAGGCCCAGAGTTCAGGCCCCATGACTGGACTCAAAAAAAAAAAAAAGAAAGAAAGAAAGAAAGAAAAAGAAAAAAGGGATTAAGCAACATGGATAAACAGAACCAGAATTTCAGGAAGCGTAATTATACAGAATGAATGGATGAACTGTTTCCTTTCTAGAAATCTCTGCATCTTCCTAATCACAGAGCTGCCACGGACCTGAGGGACACATTTATCCAGCCCTCACTACCTTGTGATCTGTGTCCTTACCTCCTTTGGCTGGCCTGGGGTCTCGCTGGCCTCTGGGCTTGGGAGCCCCTCCACCTCCCCACATAGGATTGTTCCCTCTTTCTTCAGGCATGTTCATGCAAAACTGAGTCTGTTTGGTTCTCACTCACTCAGTTGCCTGTTTTTAAAGTAACCTTTTGTATATTTGAAAAAAAAAGTCATAGTCCTAAATTATCCCTCAGCTTTCTCCTTTCAGGCTTAATGACTCCTTTAATCTTTACTTCTGAGCCTTGTTCTCTGTTCCTTTAATCTTATTCTTCTCTGAGTTACTTGGATTTTGGCACTTGCCCCAATCTTCTGGCTCTCTTTCTCCTTCCTCCATGAGGGGAGACCACATGGTCAGGGTTAGTGCTTCTTCATCTCCCACATGTCTGCCATAAATGAAACAATGTCATCTGGCATTCTGGATGTATACATGTATGCTATGTGTGCTAGTGGATTACTAGTCAGCAAAAATGAAAAAGAATGAAGTGTTTCTATACCCAACAACAATCCTCAAAATAATTTTGCTAGGTAAAATAAACCAGACTCCCAAACCAGTATATACTCTTTGATTCTATATGGAAATGTAGAAAATTCAAACAAATCTATAGTGTCAGGGAGCAACTTAGTGGTTGTGTAGGACCTAGTAAAGAGGTAGATACAGCAAAGGGCACAAGGAGGCACAAGGATGATTGGTGATGGACATGCTTACTGCTTTGTTTGGGGTGATAGCACCTCGGATATATTCATATGCTAGTACCTATCACATTACCTGTACTTATCACACATTGTGTGTGAGAGCATGTGCACATGTCAGTACTGGGACTTGAACTCAAGGCCAGGGTGCTCTTCCTTAGTTTTATCATGCAAGGCTGGCATTCTACCACTTGAGCCACACCTCCACTTCCAGATTTTTGCTGGTTTATTGGAGATGAGAGTCTCACAAACTTTTCTGTTGAGACTGGCTTCAAACTGTGATCCTCAGATCTCAGCCTCCTAGGTAGCTTGGATTATAGGCATGAGCTGCTAGTGAATGGTTCAGATGGCATAGTTTGATATGCATAGTTTTCGTACATCAAGTATACTTCAATAAAGATATATTTTTTAGGTCCCAGACTGGGACTTGAACTTAGTACCTGCCACTTTCACTCACTTGACTAGCACTTTACCAACTGAGCCATGCCTCCAGCCCTAATGATAGTTCTTTTAAAAAACATGTAAGAGAAGTAGGTCAGCAAAGGACATAGAGCTCGTAGTACTTCCTATGAAAGAAGCTAGGAAAGTAGACACTGATGAGCGATGGTCATTTCCAGTTAGTGTGTGGCCACAATTAGCTGGGTATTGAGCGAGCACATCTGGGGACATCCTACCCTTACATTTCATTAGGGAGAACTCATGCATCTACAACAGCATCCTACATCCTGTGTGCTTGTGCTACTGGCAGGCACATCAGAAAGCTATAAGGACTGCCCTGGTTAGGGTTGTCAACAACATGCCTATAGCCTTTTGGTAAGTTCAAGACATGAGTCCAAAACTGCATGAAAATTGATCCTTCGCACACCCCAGGGCCAGTAAGTAAGTCTACTTCCTCACTCTTCTCCTCTCCCTTCAGGCCCAGGCCAAGTCTTGCTTCTCCATGAGCCTTTGCTCTGAGCCCCTTTATCCAGCTCCTCCATTTCCTTCCCACTGTAGGGCCTGGGCTCTTCCTCTCAGCTCTGCCACTACTTGCTCCATGAGCTTGGACAGGGTGCTGAATCCTGCTGCGGTAATTCTTCATCTTATAAAGGGGCGGACTGAATAAATGATTTTTGAGGGTCCTTACTGATTTCCAGTTATTCCTGCAGGTTCTGGGCCTGAAAGTCATGTCCCTTCTCAGGAGGACTTCATTCTCATCTGTCTAATTGTATTCCACTGCTAAGTATCAAACCATTACAGTCTACAGCGTTGCTAGAAGCAATACTCTTCTCCTAGAGTTACTTCGTGTTAGTCTAGTCTCTGGAAGTAGACTCTCTATTAGAAGGGAGTTTACTTTTTATTCTTTTGTATCTCTGAATAATATCATCCGGCTCAGTCCTTTGCAAGTATTGAATAAATTCTTGTCTATGAAATAATATAAGGGAGGGGGGGCAGGGGGAGGATGGGAAGGGATGGGAAGGGGAAACAAAGGAGAAGGCTACAATGCTTGATAAGAAATGTACTCATTGGGACTGGGAAGGTGGCTCAGTGGTAGAGCACTTGTCTCGCAAGCCTGAGGCCCTGGGTTCGATTCCTCAGCACCACATAAGCAAAAAGAAAAAAGGTGGAAGTGGCGTTGTGGCTCAAGTGGTAGAGCGCTAGCCTTGAGCTGAAGAGCTGAGGGACAGCGCCCAGGCCCACAACCGGGCCACCCCCCCCCAAAAAAAAGAAATGTACTCATTATCTTGCCCATGTAATTGTAACCCCTCTGTACAGTATTTTCACAATTAAAAAAAATGAAAGAAAAAAAAATAATGTAAGGGAAGTTAGATGCCCAATAAAATGTTGAAACTAAATATCCTGGTAGTGGCAAATGTGCGTGTGTGTGTGTGTGTGTGTGTGTGTGTGTGTGTGTGTGTCTGTGTGTGTGTCTGTGTCTGTGTCTACTTGTCTACTACATATTGTAGCAAATCATTTCCAAGGGTTATTTTATCTCATTTAATTCTTTTTTTTTTTTTTAAATTTAATTTAATTTTATTTGTGAACATACTGTACAGAGGAGTTACAGTTACATGGGCAGGATAATGCATACATTTCTTACCAAGCATTGCAGCCTCCTCCTTTGTTTATCCTTCACATCCCTTCCCAGCCTCCCCCCTCCCCCCCAATCCCAATCCTTCTCCTCCCCCCCCCCCCCCCCCCGCACCAATATCTCATTTAATTCTTATGACAACTCTGAGAGGTAGGTATTATTGCCATTCCCATTTACGGATGAAGAAACTAAGACTCAGAGACACTAAGCAACTCACTCAAGTCAAATAGCTAACAAGTCTCAGAACTAGGATTTGGACAGAGATGACCTGACCCAAAACCTCACCATCTTCAGTGCTGTGCTATGGCCTTATCTAGGCTCGTAAATGGCAGAGTGGAGATAAAGGAAAGTGATAGGAATTCTCCAACTTAAGTCACCAGCTGACTCTCATTTCCCCTTCACTGGACATGAGAGATGTCTAACAGGTGTCAAGCTACCTCCCCTGCCACTGACCCTGATCTGGCCAAGATATTGAGCAGCAGTAGAACAGGGAAGGCGGTAAGGAAGGGAAGGGAGGAAGGGGCTCAGGTACCAAAGGACTGAGGAACCAACTCCTGGCTAATAATGCCTGCACTGAATAATCTCGATGATGATAGTAATCATAATAGTAGTAATTTAACGTTGGCATAATGGCCCCACAAAGCCCAGGTTTTGCAGAAAAACAAGTCCTTCCTGCTTGTGATGTTGAGGAACTGAGTGTACTTCTCTCAGCTCAGACTCAAGCAATGCTTGGGGCCCAGGTTGCTGCTTCTGAAAGGAACATTCCCTGAAAGCAGAATGAGTCACGCTGCTGCCACCGCCACCGGTATGGTTGCCCTGGTGATGAGATCACAGTAATCCTCTTCGCTGCGCTCATGCTGAAAATCAGTGAACACGGTAAGGCATGGCAGCTTTAATAATCGGGGTTGTTGTCAGCCACAGAGATCTCAACGAAAACAAATGACCACCATGCCATCTGGAGGTGAGGGGCTGATGTCTAACTCCCCAGTGTCAAAATACAGAACCCTGAAAGTGCTCAGGTGAGGTAAAGAAGAGAGGAAGACAGACGACCACAGAGGGCAGGCACTGCACATCTCATGGCGCATGCGTGAGGGTGTGTTGGTCAGGGGGTGGAGCTGGGGTAGTGCCTGCTGGAGCTAAGGCCCTGTAATCTTCCTGCTGGGCTCAGAGGTTAGAGCTGTGTTCATGCACCATTTGACTGACTGGCTCCTCAGATCACTTGCTGGGTGACCTGGGCTGTTGAGGAAACTTTCTAAGCCTCAGGTGCATTCACAGTGGCAGAATTCTGTGAGATAATCCTTGTGGACTGCGTGGGGTGAGCCTCGTATGTAGAGGGCTCGTGCAGAGTGATTACAGCCCCACCTGGAAGCAGGTTCTTCTTCCTTCCTTTCTCCTGTTCCCCTCCTTGATCTCCCCCCTCTCCCACCCATATCTACTCACCGAGCTCTGGCCCCTTCCACTGCCACGTTTAATCCTGCTGTCTCTGCCCAGACACCAGTGGAGAATCCAAGGATGGAAGGGTTGAACTTCTTTAGGATGTCTTTTGAGAGGGGAGAGGCAGAGAACACAGGTGAGAGGAGACTGGAGCCCCCGGGGAACGCAGATGGATGGGCCATCTTGGGGCACAGGTGTGGGGCAGGAGGGTCCAGCTCTTTCTGGGGTTGGCTGATGCCCCTGTAAAGACCCTCCTCTTCCCCTCCTCCAGGCCCAGGGCCCCAGCCTCAGCAAAGGGCTATGGGGGGCCTCAATAGCCATGCTTTTCAGTGCTGGCTACTTACTGGGCAGTGTGGTGTGAGTCTCCAGTGCCCCATCTCCTCCGATGCTGGGAAGAGAAAGCATCACCATTAAAGTCACTGTATGTGCCTTCTGCTCCTGGACCATTCTTGTCATCCTCGAGTCAATGTGAGTATCGTGGAGGCTTCTTGGGGGTTAGGGCTTAGCCAGGAGAACCTGAACCCAAGCCTGGAAGGTTGAGAGGGGATACACATTCCTCAAGTCTTTTTTTCCCCCCAGTCCCAGGGCTTGGACTCTGGGCCTGGGCACTGTCTCTGAGCTTCTTTTGCTCAAGGCAAGTGCTGTACTTGAGCCAAAGCACCACTTCTGGCTCCTCTAGTCACTTTAGGACAGTGTGGTCAAAAGAGAGCAAGCCCCAAACACCTCACCTCCACGAGAGTCCCCTCCAGGATGTGAGTAGGTGGCTGGAATTGCCTGGTCGAGCTCCCACCGCTGTCTGTGAAAACGAAGAGAAAGTTCCTAGCCACTGCTGGGTGTGAGTGGAAAACACTAGGAAAGGCCCCTCTGGCTCTGGTGTACCATCTAGGATTCAGATTTGTTTTTCCTTGAAAATGGTACCCTTTCTTCTCTGGGCCATCTTAAGTTGTGAGTTGTCAGTCTTCTCCCAGATCTCTCTCAACAACCAGGAACCAAGTCCTGCTGATTCTTCCTACCCAACCTCCCTAGCCTTTCTTTTGTTCTTTTTCGTTGCCATATTCCTAATGGAGCCTTCCATCTCCCTGCTTCAGACAACATTCTAGTCTCTGTTCTCTTTCTGACAGTAAGGATGTCATTGCTTTCTGAGCACAACTCTCTCTCTCTTCCCTTCCCCTCCCCCCCCCCCCCACATGTTGCCCCAACCCTTCCCTTCAGGGTCAAAGTTAAACCCTGTGGTCAATGAGTATAGCATAATCTAATGTCTTTTCTCCCCTGGCTTGCTTTCTTCTCTTCTGTCCCCACAAACCTTCAGGTATGCATATATTGCTCTGTTGCTATTTCCAATTTATGACGGCTTTGGGCTGCTATGGCCTATTCCTGGAGTGTGAACTCCTCCTTCTTGGCCTGGAAACCTCTACTTCCTACATCTTCTGTGAAGCTTTCACTACATGCTTGGTCTTAAAAAATAAATAACACAAGAAATTACTTTTTGAAATGACCAAAACAATACATGTTCACCATAACCCATGAGATAAGTTTTTTTTGGTTGTACTGATACTTGAAATCAGGGCCTCAAAGTAGGTACTCAACCACTGAAGCCATGTCCGCAGCCTTTAATACCCTATTTTTCAGGTAGAGTCTCACTTTTGGGGGTGGGCAGGGGAAGCTGAGGCTGACCTCAGATTGTGATCCACCTATCTACAACCTCTTGGATGGCTAGGATTACGAATACATACCACTTGTTAAGATGAGGTATCACTTTTGCTCAGGCTAGCCTTGAACTACAATCCTCCTGATCTCTGCCTCCTAAGTAGCTGAGTTTACAGGCACATGCCATAATGCCTGGCTTGTGATTAAAAAAAATAATCTACTCTCACCTTAGGACACTTGCTCTTCTTGCTAGATTCCACACTCCTTCCTCATCCTACACCCACGTGCACACTTGGCCCAGGTGAAGCTATGGTTATCTGCCTGGTAGGCACCCTTCCACAGATTCCTCCTACTCATGCCACTGTGAAAACGTATGTGTGACTGTGGCATGCTTCTGTGTCCATGCAAGTGTATGCTGCATTTAGAAGGTCCCACACATCATCTATATGATCATATACCTCCTTCTGCGTAGGTTTCTTGTCCTGGCCAGGGGGCTTGGACAGGGTCTCATCCTTTCTTTCTCTCAGAACTACTGACTGAGCATGGTGCTCACAGTAATAGCTAAGCAGTTGGTTCATGCGCTTCATGTAGCCAGATTGTGCTGTTCCCTCTGTCGCTAAGGAACACGATGTTACGTGGGGGCAGGGGACATGGGGCAGCTGCACTTTGGGTCTGGCTTGATGGAGATGAGTTCTCTGATAAAAGCAGGATTGCTTGTGAAAGAGGTGAGTGAGAGAGTGGGGCTGGGAAGTGTGCTGTGCTGCCTTATGCAGGCAGTATGGCCAGCCCTTAGCACGGGGACTCAGTGACGCAGAGCCAGTGCAGAGAAGAATTGACTAGCTCACCTCCCGCCTGGGCCCACAGCTTAGCACTCACAGTCAGCGAGTCACCCAGGGCCGCCACCACCTTGATGTCTGCCGGTCGGAGCTTGTGGACTAGAGAGGCAAGTTAGAAGAGAGGTTGTGGCTTTTAAAGCACAAACTTCACCCAGGCTTGTGACATGGCTGTAGCCCCTCAGGTCCCTGTGACACTCATTCCCAGACTAAGGCTTTAGCAGTGTTGCCTTTTCCATTCATTCAGAGCAACTGAGGCACGGAAGGCAAAGGACTTGGTGGCTACTGTCTATCGTGAAGAGATCCCAGCCGGGAAAGTTCCAGCCTCAAGATCACACAGTATGGGCAGCTGGGTACCTGACACACTGGGCCATTTGGGACTTGAAGGAGACAAGAAGTGTGACTGGCAGAAGAGGCTTGTGTGTCTCCATACGAACCCCAGCAGTGACTGTGGACGAACTTCTTGGGGCTCTCCCAGCCTCCAGGCCTGCCTTGGGATCAGCATGGCTGGCACAAAGCTACGAGGGCACATCTGTGGAGTGTCCCACCCAACCTGATGCTGTGTTCAAGAGGGAGAGGAATTTGCACTCACCTGTGGTGGGAACACCTGGGGAAGGGGTCCACTCTGTGCACAAGAAGTCGCTGCCCCAGTTCTAAATCAGTGGGAGGAAAGACATAGAGCAAACACTGTGCAGGGAGAGGCAGCCCAAGGAGAACCAGATAAAGAAGTGTTGGAGGAGGCTAGAACTACATCAGTGTAGAGGAGCCTGGGGGGGTAAGGGCTGTTAGTCGTAGATGGGCTAAGAAGGAAATTAAGAGGGGGGAAATAGACATCTGCCTTCTCTAACACACACACACACACACACACACACACACACACACACACACACACGTTCCCCCACAGCATCTCCCACCCCCAGCTTGTCTGTGCTCTTGAATGAATACAGCAGCTGCCCCAGAATCAGAGAGACAACCATGAATTTTCAAGATTTGGACACCTAATATGAGTTATTGTGGGCATTAACCCTCTTCAGGGTTGCTAACATTAAGCCACTTGATACTAATTACAAGGTGAGGGTCTAAATAGTCATTAGTTAAAATATTTTTAGGAAAATACCTAAGTCTTACAACTGAAAAGCTCCTAGTTTCATCTTTTTTTTTTTTTTGGTATACCTATATATCTTTTTGCATATTTAATGTAAGGGCCCTCAATCCTCTCCAGGTATCTGAATGCATACTGTAGCCTTAAGAACTTGCAGCCCCGGAGAGTTTTGGCCAACTCTCCTTGTTTCTGTAATATAGGGTATATTTTTTCAGGTTTTGGGGGACCAGGTAGGGTAAGAAGCAGAGGCAAAAAAATGACTAGCAGCAGAAAGATGGTGGAGAAATGACTCTTCCCAGAGTCCCAAATATCTGCAGGCTCCACTGGCATGGTGACTGATTGTCTGGAAGTGTGGCTGCCAGAGGCTTTTAAAGTTCTCATCTGTTCAGCCAGATGGTGATAAAGCCCAGCCGTGTTAAAATCTCCTATTATGAAAGAGTGAAAATGAAACTTCCTTTAAATACTATTTGCTTAATCCAATGGAATTCAGTTCATTCCAAAGGATTGCTCAATTCATCATCCTGATGGATTTCTTCTTCTGTTTGGGAAGTTTCCCTGAAGTCAAGAACAGGCCTGGAAGCTGAGTGCCAGTGGCCCATGCTTGTAATTCTAGCTACTCAGGAGGCCCAGATCTGAGAATCCTTCGAAGACAGCCTGGACAGGAAAGTTGTGAGACTCTTATCTCCAATTAACCACCAGAAAACCAGAAGTGGTGCTGTGACTCATGTGGTAGAGCGCTAACCTTGAGCTGAAGAGTTCAGGGACAGAGCCCAGGCCCAGAGTTCAAGCCCCATGATTGACAAAAACAAAACAAAACAGGCCTGGGTACAGATGATAAATACTTGGAGGGAAATGCAAATTGTTTTTAAGATAAGAAAGTCATACAGCCATCAGTACATAGCAATAGCTCTAGTAAATTGGAGAGCCAGAGCAAGGCACATTGTGTGTGGATTCATAGATACAGATCAGAACTCTGTCATGGTCTCTTGTCACAAGGGAAGGACCCTCCCAGACCAGGGCTTCTCACTCCCCTGGGGTCTGTTCATTGCAGAGTCTGAGTCTGTGGGTCAACGATAATACTTGGGACTCTGCATTTCTAACAAATGCCCAAGAGTATGGCTGTTGATTATCTGTGGCTACTTAGGCAGTAAGCTACAAACAAACAAACAAACAATACACACACACACACACACACACACACACACACACACACACACACACACACACACACACACACACACACACACACACACACACACACACACACACACACACACACACACACACACACACACACACACACACACACACACACACACACACACACACACACACACACACACACACACACCCTTCTAGGCTTGTGGGGTTTGAAGAGTTTTGGGATTTAAACACAGGGCCTTGCACTCTTATCTGACTTTTTCTCTCAGGGCTGGCACTTGACCACTTGAGCCACACTTCCATTTCCAGCTTTTTGCTGGATAACTAGAGAAAAGGATCTTATGCATGTATCTGTTCAGGCTAGCTTCAAACATGATCTTCAGATCTCAATCTCCTGAGTATCTAGGGTTACAGGCGGGAGCCACCAGCACCTGGTCTAGGCCTGGGTTTTTAACTCTTCTAGATGGAGAAGCAAAGATACCAGAGAATAGAACGCCAAGAGGGTAGGCAGGCCCCATTTCCTCTGCTCAGTACGACATACCCAGCACCTTAGCATAGTTCCTGCTCCATTTAGGCGTCTGATAAATAAGTATGAAAGAAATTCTTCATTGAGAAAGTGGCATTTCAATTGTAATAGAACTTTGACACTGGTCCAACATGACAAGACTTCATTGAGTCAAATATGGGCTGGAGAGAATCTAGACTGGGAAGGGAATAGCCCCAGCTATGAGGTTGGAATTACTTATACCCTAGAGCTTAGCATCTTATAGTTCAACAATTCCACATAGGTTAGGCTCTGTCGGTCAGCTTAAAAAGGTCCCTCCCCACTCATGGAACGCCAAGCCATCTCCACACAGCAGAGCACCACTTAAAGATGTAAACTAGATCTTGCTATGCTCTCCTATCACCTCCAATGCTTCCCACCTCTCTCCCCCTGAAATCTAAACTTCTTACTCAGGAATTCGAGCTGGGTGTGAGCTGGTGGTGAGCAGGCCTCTGTCCTCATCTCCCATACTCCCCACTTCATCCACAAACCCCATCCCACACCAGCTACTTTGACCTTTTTCTTACTCAAAGATACCCACCTATCTACCTATCCCCTCTACTGAGACTTCAGCCTCTCTGGTCCTTCTGCTTGGCTCTCCATGTAGCTGGCATCTTTTTATTTCTTTAAGAGAGGTCCAGCCTGTACAATGCTCTGAATTTTCCAGAGCTCTTTCTCATATCACCCTCCTCTGAGTGACTGTCACTCCTACAATGCTCTTGTATGTGTACGTGTGTGCGTGTGCATGTGTGTGTGTGTGTGTGTGTGTGTGTGTGTGTGCCAGTACAGAGGTTTGAACACAGAGCTAGGTCTAGGCATTGTCCCTAAGCTCTTATCCCTCAAGGCTGGCAATTCTACCCCCTTGAGACACAACTTCACTTCTGATTTGGGGGTGGTTCACTGGAGATAAGATTCTCAAAGACTTTTCTGCTTGGCTGATTTTGAATGGCAATTGGTAGAGCCCAGCCTCCTGAGTAGGTAGAATTATGGGGATGACCATTTTTAGCTATTTACTGAAGACCTCACCAAGCAGAGAGCTGGAATCTGTCTGGTCCACTCCTCTAATTCCCTAAAATACTGGCACACAGTAAGTAATAAATGATTGTAGAAACTTCATTGGGCTCTAATTCCCCTAAGTCAGGATCTTACACCAGTCCCTAGTGTAAAACTGGTGTTTACAAACTGGTGGATGGGTCCCTGTGACCAACACTGTGTATGGACCAGGCCTGTTCTCCAAGGTTGGGTGGTACAGGATACTACAGGCCACTTCTGGAGTAGCAGTCCCTAACGCCACAGGCTCTGAATGCTCAGAGCTGGAAGGAATGACTTGACTCAAACAAGGCCTGGAGATCTGTGTGAATATGGGTCAGCTTCCTGTTGGGTCCCACCCTGCTCTGAAATTCCTTTCCACTTAGCTTCAGGAAGTTGATGGGACTCCATACGCACTGGCTCCCTCTTGCCCCTTCTGAAAGGCTGAGCTGCCTAATGAGAACCCAAATAGAGAACACAGGATAACAAAGGTCAAAGGGAAATGATCCTTTGGCACCTCTGATTGGCTCTGAAGCCAGGTAGACAACCTGTAACGTGTCCTGGTGCTTCCTGGTTTGGGAGACTTTTTGGTACATTCCAATTCCCAGTGTGTAAGAAGGATATATTTGCACTTAAGCGAACACGCTGAAACTTTCTGACACACCCTGAGTCCCTGGCAGGTGGAAGAATCTTGTGTTGAGAGAGAATTACCTCAGCAGCTGGCTTGGTGGGGTATGTGTAGTTACTGTTCTTGAGGGTTCTCAGGAAGGGCTCCTCCTAAGAGAGAAAAGGAAACACATGGGGAGACTGATGGTGTGGAAGGTTGCTTAAGAATGAAAAATTCCAGCCCTCTAGATTCATTTCACATGATGCTTCTGCATTTAAATAGAAAGAACTACTGTACAAACATAATTCCATTCATTCCCTGGAAGGTTTTATGTAACAGCTTTAGAGAGGAATGTACAATAAAAGGCTCCAAGCAAGTTCCACACATGCTCCAGTCTGGGTTCCATTCTTCCCTCTCACCCTAGCAACTGAGCATCTTCCTGATCCGCAGACTTACCCCTTTTCTTTCTGTTGTAACTGATCTGGCAAAGGATTCGCAATTCAACATTTCCCTCCTTGATTTCTAGTAAGTGTTATAATGATCAACATACAGTTGATAATTATGTACAGTTGTCTCCTTTGTACCACATGTTGTCCCCTGTAGGTTGGCTCCCTATTTTGTCAGACAGTTTTTCTTCGTTGTAAAACATAGTTCTCATTCCTACTTACTCTTTCATAATCGGTTTTCACACAGGCCTAGTCAAGACTCCACGTCGCAGGTGATGAGTTCATCAAAGAAGGAAGAAGGAAGTGGACAAAGGAGAAATGGGGAAAGCAAGCTGATGAGGAAATGTAGAAATGAATGAAGCAAGAGCAGATAAGATCTGGAGTGAGAAAAAGCATCCAAGTGGTCCTGGGACTAGGGACACTCACGGACCATGCGTGTGGAGCAGAAAGGCCATGTTTGGGAAATTCAGAAATAAAATAAGAAAGGGAATCCTGAGGCTGGAAAGTAAGTTTTTAGAGATCCGTTCCAAGTGTTGAAAACTGACTACCCATCAGCAAACTCAGCCAGAAGATGTTAATCTATTTTGGTTCATAGATGGAGGGGGAGGAGGAGAGGGAGAAAGAGCAGGAGAAGGAGGAGGAGAAGAAAGATGAGGAGAAGGAGGAGGAGGAAATGGAGGTGATGGAGATAAAGAGGAAGAGAAAGAAGAGGAGATGGAATGGAAGAGAAGACAGAAGAGAAAAGGAAGAAGAGGAAGAGATGACGGTGATGGGAATAAGGAGGAAAAAGAAGAGGAGAAGATGGAGAAAGAAGAGGAGAAGGAAGAAATGGAACAGGAAGAGGAAGAGATGGAGACAGAAGAGGAGGAAGAAGAGGAGGCAGATCTAAATAGTCTCAGAAGGGGTGTGCTTTTTGTCAGTACTGGCCACAATACTTCCCCTGGTCTCATATCTGACCCCATGCACATAATCACGATCCTCCCTGGCCTTGTAGACATCTCATTTTGCAATCCCCAAATGTCCCTGTTTTACTGGTGAGGCCTAGGATGGGAAAGGGAACTCTGGAAATCTAGAGAGCAAACAGTGAGTGTAGAGCTGGTATTAGTGCTGACCGGATAGGCCTCTTGCCTAGTTCTATTCATCACATTGAAGTCAGGACAACAATAGATCCTCTGGGCCAGACAAAAAAGGTCACTTTGGAGGACAATGTCTACATGCAGAAATCTATCAGTACCTGTCCCCCTCCAAATGGCTCTTGTCTCTCTAGGGGTACCAGAGCTGTCAGCATCTCCATCTGACTGTGGGCTAGAGGACAGATTTACATGGAGGCCACTCAGGGCCAAGGCAGGAAGTGTGACCAGATGGTAGAACCAGTGTAAGGTATGTCTGTGCTGGCATACCTGCATGAATAATAAGCCTGCCTCCTGCCAGTGTTGCTCAGCATCCCCGCAAGAGTCATGCCAGAGGAAGGTAGCTTGGGAGCACTTCTAAATGACTGACCACACCTGGGAAACAGCTTCTGTGTTCAGAACTATGCTCTAGGGGCCAGGATGAGTGTGGACACAAGGAAGCTCACAATCAGGGAGGCAGCAGCAGCTCCTCAAATAAGGTCTGTAAGCACAATAATTGCGGAGGGACTGCTCCAAGACAAGATAGAGGTTGAGAGAAGACATGATTAATTATGATTGTTTCTCCACAGAGAAGCCCTGGCTAGGCTTTGGGTCCAAGGGTAGAGCTAGTCCCAAAGTGGCCAACACAGGAAGACAAAGACAATCCCTGTCTTTCTGGGAGAGTTGAAACGTTGAATCACAGAGCCGATTTGGTCTTATCTGTTTGATCACAGGCTCCAAAGGGAGTTGAAAATAAACTGGGGTAGGAGAGGTAGCATTGAAAGAGTGAGTGGTCAAGTTGATAGTGGAATGTGGTTGAGAGAGTGAGGCCAAGACAGAAACGGCAAGAACAGGTCCAGGGCAGTGGTAGATAGGTGAGCTGGGTGCCCAGGGCATTGACCATTGACTGCTTGGTTACACAGGAGGCAGGTGCATTGAAGACCTGGAGTGGAGCAGACTCCACAGGAGAGGGCCTCGAGGGAGTCTGCCTAGCTCTCTAGGGCTGGACAAAGCTCACTGTACACAACACAGTCAGTTGTCTAGTTGCAGCTGCACAGAGACAGACAGAAGCCAGATGACCACTTGCTGGAGGCTGGCAGCTGACTGAGGGGGCTGGGGGAGCAGGCCACACCTATCCTGGCTGCATTACTAGATATGAAGTTCCATAGAAAAGGAGAAGTGCTTTTCTTCTGTGCTATGCTGCTTGGATCCAGCCAGAGAAGTCATCAACTGCAAGAGGACTGCGTTCCAAGGAGCAACACCTTCACCAGGTAAGGGTCAGCGGTCATGTCTATCAGGAATGGCAGAGGGCCCACTGTGGGGGGTGGGAGGAGGGAGGAGAGCACACTAGCACTGCATGAAATGCTTTCTTGAATGTTCTATCTCATGCCATCACATCCCATTCTCTTCCCAATATGCTGGCTCTTCATGTATGCTGATGGTGCGCCTATGGTTGAGTAGCCCTGGGGGGTTTGAAGAGCAGCAAAAGATGGAAGCAGAGATGCCTTGAGAAGGAGGGGGCATGGAGAAGAATCTCGGTAGCACATGAGGCTGTAAGGATGTCACAGCCCACTGAAATCCCAAGGCGATCTAGTCCTACTTCATGATGAGATAACTTTGCACACAGTAAGGAGGGTGCAAGCCATACAAGGGGCCGTGGATGTGGGGAGAAGGGTATTCGGAAAGATCTCACTATGCAGGGTGTTAAGTAGAGTAGTACCCTCCATTATGTAATTCCAAATAGAAAACCTCTAAACCATGAGCTTAAGGAAATTAAAAAAAGTTTGCTTATCTTCATGATAAAAGACAGGATAAAGAAGGACTCTGGGTGCCCAGGTCAGTAATTCTAGCTACTCAAGAGACAGAGATTAAGAGCTTCATGGTTTGAGGTCAGCCTGGGCAAAAAAAGTTAGTAAAACTCCAATTCAATCAATAAATTGAGCTTGGTGGCACATATCTGGAATCCTAGACAAGTGGGAGATCTACACAGGAGGATCGTGGTCTTGCAAAAATGCCAGAGCCCCAGATGGGTGCTGATGGCTTACACCTGTAATCCTAGCTACTCAGGAGGTTAAGATCTGAGGATTGTAGTTCAAAGCCAGCCTGGGCAGGAAAAGCTGTGAGACTCTTATCTCCAACCAACTACTCAAAAAAGCTGGAAGTGGCATTGTGGCTCTAGTGGTAGAGTGCCAGCTTTGAGCAAGAGAAGCTTAGGGACAGTGCCCAGGCTCTCAGTTCAAGCCCGGGAACTGGCACAAAACCAAAACCCAAACAAAACATCAAGAAAAAAAAAACTCGCAAGATCCTATCTGGATTGAGAAACCAAGGAATTCAACTCAATGACATTTCAGCAAGAAATCCTAGCACTGGAGGAACTTAGTGTGAGGAGAGAAATGAGAATAGGACTGAGACAGAGAAACTGGAGGTCTGAATCTTCAGAGTTAGAAGACATGAGAGTCCCTGAAAGAGAGGAGCACAACCAGAAAAAATGAAGGCGGTTTTGCCTCCACAAGCCCTGAGAGGGAGAAATTTCAAGAAGGAGCTGGTTTCAGTCTGACAAGTGAAGCTGAGAAGAATAAAGGCTGGCAAAGGGCCAACCTAATCTTCCTGATGGGCAGCCAAGCCTGACCCAGGGTTAGGGAAGCAGTGGACAGAGAGCTCATTTAGGCAGAGAGGGAAAGATAGTTACAGTCTATGGAGCGAATCCAGAGTTGGCTGTAAAATAATTTGCGCAAGTTGAAAATACAAGAGAAAGCGATGAGTACCCCTCCCCCGTTAAGTCGCCCTACCTGGCAAGTGGTGGAAAGTGCTAGCAGTTGGGCTGCCACTGGGGGAGGAAGTGGGAGGAGGCTAGAGCTCAATCCATCTTGCTGCCTCCTCCCCCAGCGTTCTGCCTGTTGCTTCTATGTTTAGATGCAGCCAGGACAAAAATATGAGCCGCCTGGCCCCTATCAGCTCCCACAGAGAGGCTGGTGGACTTTTGCATGGCTCCCAGGCACATGGCAGGGGAGCAGATGGCACCTGAGGCACCGTGCCATGGGGCCAACAGATGGACCCTTTGGGAATGGGCTCTCAGGTTGCTTAGCAACAGCCTTTCTTGGGCTGAGCTTCTACTGGCTCTAAGAGGAGGCTGGGTTTCTCTTCTTCACTCACCAATGATTCCACTGGGCTCTGTTCAGAAAGGTGGAGCTGAGCCCACTGTGGCTCAGCTGGATAGAACCGGATAGAACATCACTCATCAGGGTTCCCTGCCCGGTCTTCAGTAGACAGTGACAGTTGCCCTGAGCTTCCTGGTGACAGGGATTTCCCTGATCCAGGGCTGTCTAGGCTCCAACTTGGCACTTAAGACATATTTGTTGGGAGAAAGAGTAAGTGATGGTTGCTTGGTGGGAATTTTACTTTTTTCTACTTAACGGAAGAGGAGTTGACAGTGTAGAGTCGCTTTTATGACTGATATTCAATGTAGCTATATGCATTGTTAAAATTGTTGAACTCCTCACTAGTTGTTTACATCCATTGCTTTGAGACCTCACGTGCCCCTTTCCAACTCGCCCTGGCCTCTGGCAATGTATACCCTTTGCACATGGGACCCTCACCCCAGCCTCTGGCCAGCCTCTGATCACTGGGACTGGCACTAGTTTTTGTATGATTTGACCCCCCCCCCTCACACACACACACACACAGCCATGCTAGTACTGAGGCTTGAACTCAGGACCTCACATTCTTGCTTGTCCTTTCTGCTCAAGACTGGACTTGTTCCACTTGGGCCACAGCTCCACTTCCAGCTTTTGGCTGGTTAATTGGAGATGATTCGCATGGACTTTTCTGCTGGTGCTAACTTTGCACCAAGATCCTCAGATCTTAGTCTCCTGAGTAGTTAGGTTTACAGATGAGAACCACCAGCACCAGACATTAACTCTCTCCTTTACTCCAGGTGCCAGATTAAGCAAGTGAAACCTCGGTTATACTGTCATAGTTTCCGATCCCTTCTTCCTGCCATGCTTGCTCAGGGTACATTAGACTGAGTCAGGGTACAAGGCTGGGGCTAGGAGAGCAGCACTCAGGGAGCATGGGTCTGGCAGAATCCCTTTCCCAGGATCCCCTACAGTCACACACACGGGAGCTACATGCTCCAATCTGCTCAGCTAGGAGGGTGGCAGAGATTGATACAGGCAGATTCAAGCAGAAAACCCAGCCTCCTCTATTAGATCAGCCCCTCTGCTTTTATTGTCACTGAGGGCTCTTGGGCCTTAGCCTTATTTGGTTAAAAAGCCATAAGACAGGACTGAGAAAAGGGAATGAGAACGTCAACCTGCCTCCTCCCCCCCCCCCCATCCTAAGCCCAAGTCAAGTTTAACAACCACTTACATATTCCTCCTTAAAAGGAGCCCTGATCACAGGCTGGTCCTGCTCTTCCTCCAACAGCTCAGCTGCCCTCTTTGCTGCTCCCTCCAGACTCTCTCTTCACTAGAAGTGCCCCAGTTCATGCTCTCTGCTCGCTGACCACTACTCCTGAGTCTAGAAATCACTAGACATATCCATCTGCCCCAACCACATTGTCACCGAAACAAAATAAGCCTTCTTGTCCTTCGGGCTTCTGCAGCCCTTCTTAAATGCATGCACCCTCTTCAAAGGCACAACTTCATCTGTGCTGTTCTATGCATCTTCCTTCCAGCCTTCAAAGTCTAGCTGCCATGCCTCTGTCCCAGACTGGCCCCCAGCCCAGGGGTGGGATGGATGCTGAAGAAGCAGAGCAGAGAGGGGAAGGGAAAAGCTCTGGGTTCCAGAGAGGTGAAGCAGTTCTTCTCTTACTACCTGAGTGGGGCAGGCCAGGGGTATGTCTGCCGTCAGGTCCAAGGTGTCTGTCTTCCTCCCCAGTGGCTCAAGCTGATCAGGGAAAAGAGAGACACAGGTGAACACCCCCCCCACCCCCCCACCCCCCACCCCCATCACAGTTCCAAGCATAGACAGTGAGTGGTTGCATGTGGGCAAACTGAGACTAAGAACTCCCTATGTTCCATTCTGTAGACTTCCATAGATACTCTCCTCTGGGGCTACTTCTATTGAATAGGGACTGGTGCTGTGTTCTAAACCAGAACCCCAAAGGTGTTCCTGTCTCTTACCATATTGGCCCAAAGGGCTCTGGAGAGCTGAGAGTGGAATTTCTGGTTTGGGTGGATGCAGTCTGGGGCGAAGAAGGATATATCTGGACGTCCATCCTGAAAGAGACAAATGTATTTCTCCAAGATCCCATGGGGTTAGAGGAGCCACAAGTCATTAGTCTGACCCCAGCACATGACATGTTCATTTCCCAAGGTCATTGGTTCTACAAAGTCTGGTCACCTTAAGAGGGAGAGCAGTCCACAATGAATAGCTTTGGATGACCTCAAGCCCCTATCACTTTTCTGGCTCACAATTCTCCTTATTTAATAATAATAATAATCATCATCATCATCATCATCATCATCATCACCATCATCAAAGGTATCACATTTTTTAGCTGCATATAATATCCTAGCCCACACTGTGGATGAGGGAAAGCTGTTAGCCCCTGTGCGTGTCCTGACCAGCCTTACTTCTCAGCCTTTGCCCGCTAGTTCTGGCAATCTTGGGGAAAATGGACAGGCAGGCCTGTGCAGAATGGACACCAGGGCAGCATGCTGCCTGGCCCAGCTCTTCTCTCTTGAAGAACTTGGGATGCTTAATGCTTTTCCTTCCAGGTAGGTGAGGCCCTGGGGGGGGGGGGGGAGGCCTTGCCTGGTCTTTACTGAGCTGACTGGAAGTGCCAGGCACAGCATTGCTAGAACCCACCTATTTTTTTTTTAAGACAGGGTCTTAGATAGTCCAGGCTACATCGTCCTTCCTCAGCTTCCTGAGGTGTGAACCAACATGCCCAGCCAGAACCCTCCATTATTACTGCAGGTTTGCATATGAGAGACAACAGGTGTACTGCAGAAAGTTAGTAATGTGGAGTTGAATAGCCTTGCCTCTCTGTCCCTAATACCTCCAAAGGCAGTGGTGGTGACTGTGTCTATAGTGCCTGGCACATAGTAGATGCTCAATCCATTGAGGTGCCTCCAGATCTCTCCTATTGGGCCGGCTCTGGGAATGTCGGGCAGGTGTTCAAGGACACTCATGCTGCCAGAGCAGCAGCTGGAGAAGTTCCTGTTTTATTCACACATTCATGGAAGCCCTTAGCATCTCTGCCTGGCCTGTCTCAGCACTCTCAGGGCCCTACTCCTCCTACAGCCCACGATGGGGGCCGGAAGTGTACCTCCAGGGTGGGAAGCTGGATGTTGAGGAAGAAGGGCTGCAGCACCACGGAGAAGTCCTCCCGCGTGTCATAGCGGCCTGACTCGATCAGCTCGCGCATGCTGTCCTGGGGAGGTGAGCACATGGGGTAGGGGGCCTCAGCACAGAGATGGAAAGAAAGGGAGTATGGCAAACAGCATCTCTTTCTCCAAACCCCTGGACAGGGGAGCTGGTTCAGTCTTTCCTGTAACACCATCTCACATAATGGCAAGTCCCATTCTGGAGAATGTGGAGATGCGGGGATGGGGGAGGGGGGAAGGGGTCTCAGTTAATGTTGGGGTTAAGTGGTTTGTGATCTCTGGACTAGAAATCTCATAAGGAATAAAAGTTTTAGAACTCACCTTATAGGCTCGCGTGAAGGCCTCCAACCTGCCCAGCTCTTGGGAGTTGTCCCGTAGGCTCAGAACACAGTTGCATAAAAGGCTGCATAAAGGAGGGTGGGGGTGGGGGTGGGGAATAGGAGGACCCAGCTTGGAAACTCGGTTCAGGGCTGCTTCTAGCTGCCTGAGGCCTAGGTAGATGCAGTGATTTACTCAAGCTCTGCTTTCAGAGCTTGTGTCCCTTCAGGGTACTTGTCTGAGTACTAGATAAAGTACCCTAAGGGAAGCTGGGGTTTCAATGGGGTTTCAACCTTCACAGGCTCTGGTATGGAAATGTAGGCACTGGGCCTTCAACATGTCAATGCTGAGTGAATGAGTCTGAGCAATAAAAACACAAGGTTTACTTAAGAACTAGAAGAAATTCACTCAGGAGGCTGAGATCTAAAGATTCTGGCTTGAAAGTAGCCTGGGTAGAAAAGTCTGAGGCCCTAATTTCCAATAAACCACTAGGGAGTGGTAAGTGTATCTGCGGCTCAAAGGGTACAGTGCTAGCCTTGGATCAAAAGAAAGCTCAGGGACAGCACCCAGGCCCCTGGTTCAAGCCCCAGGATTGGCACCAAAAACAAACAAACAAACAAATTAATTAATTAATTAGGTCTTTTGGGTTGGAGCAGGGGCATTGAGGCCTCTGATGCTCATACCATCTTCAGGGCTACACTGTTCCATTGTATTATATATTGTTCTTTCACTTCTACATGTACTTATCTTAAAAGAAAAGTCATAGATACTCAGAGGCTTACAACAAGATTGCATTCTGATAAGCCCATAGCAGGTTGAAAATATTGTAAGATGAAAATAATTTACTAAATTATATCTGACCAAACACTACATTATCTACTATTGTCATTTTCTCCTTGTGACTGTAGGGATGTCTAGGTGCTATGGCTTGCTGAGGCCATGCTAGATTATATGAGAGTGTGATACTACCCATCATCAGCTCAGAAAAAGATCAAATCCAGCACTTGAAGGATGGTTTCTCCTGAATGTGTGTGCATGGCTTTCGTTACCACCACAAAGTTGAAAAATCCCAAACCAGGGACTGTACTTCTACAGTACTGGAAGAGTAGCCAGCATACAGTGAGTGCTGTGAGATTTGTGCAGTCTAAAGATGTATGTACATAGAGACAAACAGCTACATGCTTACACACCTACATGCTATACAACTATATAACCTCACACCTATATACAACATACCTACATATACTTATACACCTAAACACTTACACAGCCACACACCTATACATGCAGACAGCCACACACTGACTAATATACCCACATACTTACATATTACATACCTACGTATCCACACATCTATATACCTACATACCTACCACTCACTTTAAGCAGCAAATAGCCCACTGTGAAGTTCCCTCCTGTTCCTCCCAGTTCTCTTCTTCCCCATAGGTACCCGGCTCATGAGTTTCTGCCCTTGCTTTTTGTTACACCTATACCTACCTCTCTCCACGTTGCCCTTTTACAATCTGAGCTACTCTGTCTTTCAAGTGTCACCCCCACTGGCTCTTGATATCACAGAACTTCCTGTCTGGCGCCTGGCACCTTGCAGTTGGGGAAAGGGGAGCAAGGTCAAGGCCCCTACTTCCTCCCAGAAGGGGGTGATTTTACATAGGCCCTCATTTATAGACAGGAGACCCTGTGGATTCACTGCTGCACGAGGGCCAGGCCAGGGGGAGAGTGTCTGCAGCCCAGGGCAATCAGCACCTGCCTACCTGGCCTGCTTCACTGGGCACTGGTCTGGGTTCCCCAGGAACACCTGCCGCATGACAATGGGGTCCATGAAGTCCACGAGGTTGACCAGGGCTCTGGGCACCTAAGGGCAAAGCTGTAGGTGAGAGAGGGACTCTGGGGCCTCTTTCCATGGGGGCTGCCAGGTGAACAGGAGTTGGGTAATAAACACTAAGAGTTCTGCTCTGTTCAGCCTCCTCTTGGCAAACTCGTTAGTTTACAATCTGATGAGACAGATGACCTGTTCATCAGCCCATTGATCTGATCTGATCCAATCTTCTCCTACCAGCCCAACCTGAACTACCTCTGCTAAGCTGGCTTGGGGACTTAGCTACTCAACAGAGCATCTAGTGATCAGAATGTTCCTTCCTGGGCTGTTTGTCCTTGCCAGGGGTTGGTGATGGGGAAAGGGGATGTGAGGCTAGGTGCAGAACCAGACAGAACCTGGCTCTCGGCATGCACTGTGGCACAGAATGTAGTGTCCAGCTTGCCACAATTATTCTGCCTCCAAGGAATGAATGTTCTAGGTAGGCGTAGAGGGATGTAGTGCTTCTTGTTTCAAGCCTGAGACCCTCTGGGTGATTCAAATGAAATGAAGTTTCTTGGTATTAGACCTCAGCCTCTGGGCAAGGACAGAGCTCATGCCCTTAGCTCTCTCCTTGAAGGCCACCTTTGCCCCACCACTTTTGCTTTTCTGCATCCACCTTTGCTACCATAGTTTGTAGGAGCCTCACCCACCTCTGTATGCAGAATGTCCAGGGCATTGCGGAGATGATCAAAAAAGTTGGCTGCAGAATACAGATTCTGGAAAGAGAATTAGGGAGGAAAAGGAGTTGGTGCTTTGGGTGAGAGGGTGGAGGGGAAGTTTGGGCTTCCCTTCTGGCTCAGCCCCAAAGACTTGTTCTCTCTCTGGTCTCCAACTGGGAATGTGAGCTGAACAGCTTGACTACTTGCTGTTGTTGAAGAACAGCCAGCTAGAAGACTGGAACCTTCTATCCAAGCTTTAGTTTGGGAGCTGAGGAATCTTCTCCTAACAGTCTGGCACCTTCTCTTTTTGAGCTCTTAAGAGTTTTGAGAGAGAAATAGAAGTATCGCACATCTGCCACCTGCTTCCCCACTACCTTGGACATGAAGATGGTGCCAGGAACCCAGGGGTGGTGGGGTGAGAGGGGTGTGCATGTATGTGCATATGTATTGTGTGTCTGTGTATGCCAACAAAGGTGTGGCTGCAGGTTCCTGGGTTCGTTGTTGGAACTTCTCTTAGCGAGAATCTCCAAGGCTTACTGGACAGAATCAGGAGCAAGCAGAAGACCTGAACCACGTCCTCATTACCGAGTCTGTGCAGTGGTCACATAAGTCACTGGCTCCAATCATCACCGTGATGACCTTCCAGTCCTCATGGAAATTGACTCTCTGTATGGAGAGAGGAATATACTGGAGGATTTCCAACAAAGAGCAACATCACAACTCTAGGAAATCCCATCAGCCCTTTACAACTTCCTTGTCCATTTGACCGAATCAGAATTTCAAGGATGACAGAACCTTAGTTTATTTATAGACCTTCACCAGGGACTTTGGAGGTCATATGACCAGCAACAACCCCTCCCTGTGGATATGAGGTTTCCCAGAAGCCTTAGGAAAGGAGATTGTTCTCTCTTTGCTTGGATGCCTCCAATGACAGAAGAGTTACTGCTTTTTATGGCATACCATTCCATTTGGGGACGCTGTTAGTGGATAAGAAAAGGAGTGTTCATGAATGACTGTAACTCCAACTCACATGGTCATCTTTAATCCTCTGTACCAGACTCTGGACTTGCCTCACGAGTTCCCTGAGAAAGAGAAAATCAGTCTCAGTTTGGTTAAGGGACAGCTCCTGTGGTTTTCCTCCTGAACGGTCTAAACAAAAGTCTTCTATGATATCATTCCCACTACCTGAGCTGCAGAGACCTGACTCAGAGGTCAGAAGCTACTCATCTCTTCTGGAGAATTATTACAACAAATAATTGTACAAAAAAAACCCCAATTATGGGTTTGGCCTAAAAGTTGCAGCCAGGGTCTTGCCAATTATGTTTGCTGCTCATGATTTCCTTTTAGGGCAAATTATCTTTTAGGATTCTATGCTAAGAAACCATTTGTAATTTGTTTTCTTTTTTGGAGGGGAGTTATTTGTTTTTAATTTTTTGACATATGGTCTTATATAGATCAGGCCAACTCTCGAATCTCAATCCTCATGTGTCAGTCTCTGGAGTGCTAGGATAATAGGTTTGTGCCACCTTCCTGTGTCATCTATTTCTTTTGAAAGACTGGTCTAGGTCATGTACTTAGACCTATGAAAGTTTCAGCTTAAGCCCTCTTTTCCTCTTGGCCAGCAAGAAAAAGAGTATGTGCTCAAGTATAAAAATGTGCACATTGACATAATTGCTTCATCTTTGTTTCCTACAATGTCTGTAATTTCACACATAGAAATATACACATATACATAAACACACACATATATATAACCACTATATAGATATATATGTTATTTGTTACTTTTGTGAACTCCTCTAAATGCTTCTTTCAGAAAGAGGTGTAGAGCAAATGTTCATGGTATATCATGTACCTGTCTTGGTTTATATTGTATGGGAGGAAGCAAGCTCAGGCATCTGAGCTCCCTCCCCACTTGCTCAAGCCCCCTGCAGGCCTGAAGTGTGATAGATCTACAGCATGATGATCTTCAGGGTGAGCAGGTCTGGGTGTAGCACCCACAGACCAGAGTGGGTGGGCCTGAGCAAGAGGAAGACACACAGCAGAAGCTGAGCCGAGAGCTGTATGGAGCAGGAGCTCCAGGTTTCTGGGGCTTGAGAAACAAGGTTGAGGCCTCCTTTGGAGCCCTAGGAGGCTGGGCAGTTTTGCTTTGGCAGCTTCTAGCACTTCTACTCCATTTCTTGCTAGCCCCAGGAGAGGATGAAAATTATTGTTCGAGGCCCTTAAGGATGGGATTCTGTTTGCCCATTCATCTGGAGGGGGTTTTCTGATCTTTAGATGAGAACTGTCATTTTTGAGGCTTTGGAGAGAGTGTATCTTGGTAGCACCAGTAGGCTAGGGTGTTTAAAAGTTAGATGATTTGGTCAATTCTCCTAATTCTTAGAAAATGCTGTGTGTAAAAGGCTGGTTTGTTGCTTAGTGACTGCCATAGGAGTGCCACTTTTTCCCAAGACCACCACCCCGCTGACTTCCTGCTATGGCTTCAATCACAGCACAGCAGGACAGAGGGTCCCCAGCCTCTGAAACCATTGCTGCAGACAGATACAGTGCCCCTCTGCACAGGGAGGTTGACATTGCAATCTCCAAGGGACTGTACATTTCCAGTTCCACTGCACAGACCCCACGCGCCATACTCAGCCTTTGCCCCAGGAACAGCCTGGTTGAAGAATGCATTATCGGCATCAGCATCTCCAGTGCCCACTGCATAGCCTATGAGGTTTCTGTTAAACTCGCGTAGGATATCTGAAAGACAAGGAGTAGACAGGGCACAGAGAGTCAGGACGGAAGGTCAGCACCTCTCCTCCAGTTTTATGAGGTCCAGTGTCCCCATCATCTTCTGCTTTCTGGGGAGAGCTAGGGAGGCAGTGCCAACATCAGCTGGGACCTGAGTTGAAACTTGATGATGCATGGGCTAAGGCAGCAAGAGACTTGTCACTTAAAGTATTTTATACAACATATAGCACTGCGAAGGGTCCCTGTCTAACTTGATTCCCCATTCCCTGGGCCAGTTGGAAAAGCCAGCGCTTAGGGTCTTGGGTAACTTGCCCTGGCTGACCTCCCAAGCAAAGTGAGGGCCAGAAAGGTCTAGGTCTCTGCTGTTCAGCCTTCCCCTTGGCTGCCTATCCCGGGCCTCTTCTCCCACTTCAACAATGGCCCAGAAGGAGATGTTACGTGTCCCTTTCTTAACTGAGAGGTCAGGGGGTCAGATGGGCCAAGCGGACACATTCAAATCTCTGGTGGTCACTTACTAGGTAAGGTGGTCACATTCTCCAAGGAGCCATCTCCACCTGAACTGTAGGGAGTGAGCAAGTGAAGGGAGGAGACACTGAGTTAATATACAAGCGTCACCAAAGAGAGAATCCACTCCGTAGTATTAGAAAGATCTGGAGAAAATTCTAAATTCAACAATGGATTGTTTTTAACATCCAGGATTTAAAGGTCACAGGGCTGTTTCTTTTCTTTTCTTTTACTTTTTCTTTTCTTTTTTTTTTGCCAGATCAGGAGGGAGAGCACTGAGCTGACAATACATAGTGTATGATAGTGTGTGTGTGTGTGTGTGTGTGTGTGTGAAACACTGTATCACTTCCCTCATGTCCCAATAACAAATGAGGTAGATGGGACTATCTCCATTTGACAGAATGGAACACCGAGATGCAGGGAGGTTAGTTAAGTTCCTAAAGGTAACTAAAATCCAGCTGGAGCTGGAACCCTTCAAAAGACAGATAAGCTGCTGTTTGCTGTTTGAATTCCATCGGAAAGTTCAAAGAATGGGCCATTTGCTGCCTTCTAATCAGCTCCAGCGGATCTCATCTCATTTAACCTTAAGATGCACTCCAAGGTTTAATTTCCTTCCACAAGGAAAAGATGGTTTCTATTTTAACAAAATTTGATGTTTATGTTTGCTGTCATTCTGTGTATGTGTATGCATGCACAAGCCCCTTTCCTCAGTCCCAACCTTTAGCATCCATACATCAGAAGAGACTTTCAAAGGATGGACCACGAGTGATCGTTGCTCTTCATTTGAGGAATGCTTGGCACAGAGTCAACAATACCAGGCTGGTTAGGGGCTTAAGCCACAGGTTCAGAGAGCAGTCCAGGCAGAGCAAAGGGAATAGAAGAAGGCCTGGCTTTCCACCTTGCCCAGATCTCTTCCATTACCCATTAGCTATCTGCTTCTAAGCTGACCAATGATGGGGCATCTGTAATTTTGATTCTTTTCCAACTCTGTACAAAGCTTCTACTTTAGATGCTTCCTGATCCTTCTTTCTTTGGACCAACAGCACTGAATGGGATATTTTATATTTGAAAGGAAATGATAAACCCATATAGCACCTCCAACAAAGGCCTTCTAATTCTATCTTCTTTCCCCATTCAAAAAGGTATAAACATGGAAATATAGATAAATACATATACACAACAAGTACATTCTACTGTAACTTCTTTTTAAAAGATGTCTTGGTGATAAAAACAAGCAGTTTTAAAAACAACTAGTGGTAAAAACAAGGGTTGGTGCAAGTGGTAGAAAACCTGCCTTACAAGCAGGAGGCCCTGAGTTCAGATCCCAGCACCAACAAAGAAACAAACAAATACATCTAGATGGCATCTGACCAAAGCTAACAGATGGGAAAGTCCCTCTTTAAAAAATTTTTTTTATATTATTATTATGAAAATACCATACAGAGGGGTTACAATTACATGGGCAAGATAGTGAGTACATTTCTTATCAAGCATTGTTGCAACCTCCTTTGTTTCCCCTTCCCATCCCTTCCCCTCTCCACCCCCCCCCCCACACTCCCCTAGGAAAGTCCCTCTTTGATGTCATTTTACAGAGAAATGTCTGGGAAGAAAAAGAAAATGATTATACAGATAAATATAGATAAGCAAAACTATTTATTCACCATTTTGACCAAAACTATGAAAACATGAAAGGAAATTGACACCAAACATTGCTAATTGCTCAATGACTGTCATTTATGTGTCACATAAATGGCTGGGCTTTGTGCATCTGTTGTCACCACAGTATATAGAAAAGTGGAGTAGATGCTGAGTAAGACTTGTTGAAAGGGATTCAGTAATGTAAGATGGAACCCGTAATTAAAAAAAAAATTAGGGCTGGGAAGGTGGCTCAGTGGTAGAGCGCTTGCCTTGCATGCTCAAGGCCCTGGGTTCGATTCCTCAGCACCGCATAAGCAAAAAAGAAAAAAGCCGGAAGTGGCGCTGTGGCTCAAGTGGTAGAGTGCTAGCCTTGAGCTGAAGAGCTGAGGGACAGCGCCCAGGCCCAGAGTTCAGGCCCCACGACCGGACCCCCCCCCCCCCAAAAAAAAAAAGGAAGAAGGAAAAAAGAAAAAACAAGCTGGGCACTGGTGGCTCACATTTGTAACATTAGCTATTCAGGAGGCTGAGACCTGAGGATCCTGTCTCAAAGCCAGCCTGATCAGAAAAGTCTAGGAGAGGCTAGGAAGTTAGCTCAGTGGTAGAGTGCTTGCCTCACATGCATGAGGCCCTGGGTTTGATTCCTCAGCACCACATACACAGAAAAAAGCCAGAAGTAGTGCTGTGGCTCAAGTGGTAGAGCGCTAGCCTTGAGCTGAAGAGCTGAGGAACAGTGCCCAGGCCCAGAGTTCAGACCCCACGACCGGACCCCCCCCCCAAAAAAAAAAAAAGAAAAAGAAAAGTCTAGGAGACTCTTATCTCCAATTAACCATCAAAAGGCCGTAAGTGGAGCTGTGGGTCAGTGGTAGAGTGATAGCCTTAAGTGAAAAATCTAAGTGAGAGTATGAGGCCCTGAGGTCAAGCCCCAGTATTTGCATAAAAACAAAAGCAGAGCAAGTGGAAAGGCTTTTTTATTTTTAAAGTAAATTTTATTTTGGTTTACTGAATGGAAGAAAAGGCAAGCTAGTGGAAACTGGACCCATCTGCTGGTCTGTGGTCTCCTGGGCCAAAGGGCCTCAGAAAGATTCATAGCCAATCCTCCTCTGTTGGTCCTTCCCCCAGCCTCCCATCCTCCAAGACTCCTGGGTCCCGTCTCCCCTGACTGTGCAGTCCACTCTTTCTACTCTGTTTTCTTGACAGAAGAGGCCCCAAATTGAATTCTTAATTTATTTAGAGTCACTAATTGCTTTGTATCTCTAATCTAGAAGTTTTAATAGAGCTAGATAATTGCTTTAGCCAAGGGATAATAACAGATATTATGAATAAAGAAAGAGCTCTGAGATTAAGGGAAACATTGGATCAAACATAAAATGTAAACATTTTTATGATGCAGTGTTTCTCAGAGACTTGAATATGCTAATGTGCATGTAAATTCCCCAGAGGTCAGTTATAATGGGTCATGTTTTCTCCCAAGATACAAAAGGTTTTTCTTCTTAGATGGAGTTCATAGTCAATGTAACATACTCTGAGCAACACTAGTTTGTACAATGTACCCTCAGTCCAATTCTTAGACTGTAACCTGGAACTTTCAGCTTTCACACAGGGGCATTTGGGGGCAGACATCTGAAACATTTAGATCAAAGGCTTAAAGGGACAGCGGCTATTAGACATGTGTGATTGGGGTTAGAATGAAAACATTCAAACAATTCATTCATAGGAAAGAACAGAGCAATGGTTGAATTTTAATATGGTTGCAGAAAGAAACTTCTGGAAGACTGCTTTGTATCTGAGTCTACCTAGTTCAACTATACTATCTAGCCAATCACCTTAGTTCCTCAAGTTCCTCTGCTAGGTGTCCATTAACCCTCGGAGGTGTGGTTTGTCTGCTGTATTCTTTTATTTACATCAGAAAGTGAGGTCATGGTATCAAGAGCCCTGCTTCCCTTTTCTTGCTCTGGTTTTTCTCCTAAGTTCAATACAACTTTGGGAGAGAAGTGAACAATCAAGGCTCAGGTTTGTCCATGAAGTCTGTTCCATGATCTGGTTGAGGAAACAAGGGATCCACTCCCTCAAAAGCTGGAAGGTGGTCACCTCAGTTGTCTGGGAGAGAAGAATGTTCTTATGCTAAGGATATTCTGGGTGGGCCCCCTGGCGGGGCTATAGGGTGTATGAGGACCCCTCTGTCTGGTCCTGGGAAACATTTCTTTCTGGCACTTTCCACACCCCAGGTGAGAGAACTGTCACAATGCTGGTCCACCCCATTCTGTTCTTTAAGTTCACCTTTAAAAAACAAGGAAGTAGCAAACTTGCTCTAGATCCCCGACTGCTCATTAGTGCTCTGCCCTCTTGTGGCTGGCTTTGGTCTACTAGTTTTCCCGGGCAAATTCGGAACTACTCACCAGTGACTTTGAAGCATAAATAAACAGAAACTTTATTAGGAAAGAAACAGAATAATCACACCCAACTGGTCACCTGACACCCTAAGATGTTTATACTCATGTGTTTGGGGCGTCTTTTCTCACCCCTTCTACTTGTTTACTAGCTGTGTGAAACTTGCCATCCCTGCAGTCCAGGCTGGCCATACCCTCTTCTCTAGTCTGTAGCACTGAGGGCTTTTTTTTTTTTAATTTAAAGAACACTTGTTGCTTGGTGCTAATGGCTCACACCTGTAATCCTAGCTACTCAAGAGGCTGAGATGTGGGGATCATGGTTCGAAGCCACCCTAGGCAGGAAAGTCCCTGAGAATCTTAATTCCAATTAACCACTAGAAATCTGGAAGTAGAGCTGTGGCTCAAAATGGTAGAGCACTAGCCTTGAGCAAAAAAGCTCAGAGATAGTGCCCAGGCTCTGAGTTCAAGCTCCATGAACGACAAAGAAAGGAAAAAACAAAAGCAGAGGGACAGTGTCCAAGTCCTGAGTTCAAGCTCTAGTACTGGCACAATACAACACAACAAAACACTTGCCAACGGAGCGTATGCCTCCCATACCCCTCACCTACTCGCCTCAGCTCCTAACACAGCCAGTATAGGGGTATGGCTTAGGGCTGCCCGATGACAGTGACTTTGTTTCAGTTATGTCTTCTGCAAGAGAGTATTGGGTTTTGGAAGTTTTCTGTGCAGATGTGTACATATATGTATAGGCAGAGGTGTGAGCCCAGAATGACGTGAATAAATACATGAAGACAGAAGTAGGAACATCAACATGTGCACAAATACACGCAAACAGGCAGGTGAAGGCTCAGGGATTTGGTGGTTTTCCGGTACATTTCATGTTGGATTTGCTGACCCAGTAGTTTGATAACTTTGGTGAACTTTTTCTGTACAATTTAAAAAATAAAAAAAAAAGATTATCAACAGTAAAATATCCTCTCCAGCCACCAAATGTTCAGTTTGAAGAAATATGTAGCTTTTCCTTCTCAAAATTAATCCTAGCTACTTAGGAAACTGAGATCTGAGGATCACAGTTCAACGCCAGCCCAGGCAAGGAAGTCTGTGAGACACTTATCTCCAAGTAACCACCAAAAAGCCAGAAGTAGAGTTGTGGCTTAAGCGGTAGAGTACCAACCTTGAGAGAAAAAGCTAAAGAACGGTGCCAGATTCTGAGTTCAAGCCCTTAGAACATACACCAAGAAATGTCTTCTAACTTAGCCCTGCTCCTTGGTATCTGTGCATTTGTAGGTGTTGTCCCCCCCCCCCCAATCCAGTCTCTAGGAACCTGGGAAGAGGGAGGAGGAGCAGGTCAGAGCTTGACATTACCTATAGGACAGTCCCCGATACTGTGTGGTGACATCGGTGAGGTCATCTGGTTTGGAGCCGATTCCATTGCCGGCCTTTGAAAACAAACCAAAATCCTCAAGAAAAGTGAGCATGTTAGAAACAAAGGGGTGCTGTGAATGTGCAAGTCCTGCCAAGCAGGCCTCCCAGTGTCCTCATCACAGCAGAAAACAACGTGATAGGAGGACCCAGAGACCCCAGGGCTCACAGTCTAGGACCCTCCATCCCAGCTGGGTGCCCCCCCTTGAGGTTCTCCCCAGGGAATGAGGACTGGCTTACTCTATTCATAGTGAGGTAAGGCTTGGAGACCAACTCTGATCACAGTTGTAAAGATTATTTGGAAAACTCTCCAGAACTTTACAAATGTGAAAATGTCAACAATATTAACACCAGGATTTTGCTTCTCAGTTCTTCACAAACATGAAGAAGCACCTCATAGACCTGAGCTTCGGTGGTAGAGAGATTTCTCATCAATCTCATTATTTTGTCTTTCCCTTCTGAACCTGCTGTAAGTGTTCACAAAGCCCCAGGCACACTGCCAGAAGGTGGTGCCACAGGATGGTAGCACAGCCCTGAGCAAGGAACTTAGTGGCAGAGTTTTATCCATCACAGATGGAGGAAGCGGCTTTCTGTACTGATGTGGAGAGGAAACAGATGTGGAGTCTGAGTTTACAGTAAAGCTGTAAAGACTGAGATCTGAGGATCATGGTTCAAAGCTTGCCAGGGCAAACAAATCTGAGAGACTTATCTCTAGTGAACTAGCCAAAAGCTACTACGTTGGGTTCAAATACTACGGTGCTAGCCTTGAGCAAAAAAGCCAAGCAAAAGGGCAAGGCCCTGGGTTGAAGGCCCAGTACCAACACACACACACACACACACACAACCACCCCTGCACACCTACTTGAGAAAGCAGTTGTAAAATTAAATCACTGCTACCGTCTTTGTCTGACAACACCAAGACAGAAGGGCCAGGTCATTCAGAGGACAGGAGTTAGGAGGGCAGGGGCCTAGAACTCCCAGCCAAACCCAACTCCCTGGGGGCCAAGGGTCCTTACAGTCAGAGTATCCCCGAGAGCTGCCACCACTTGGATATCTGCAGGTCTCAGGGCATGCACTGGAAAGACAAGTGGACATGCTTGAGTCTGTGGGAAGGAAGGTGCAGTCAGATTCTAGGGCTTGTGCTTTAAGCGACACAAGAGCTACACGTCCATTTGGGCCAGGCAGGACTGGGCATCCAGGCACCATGGAAATTGAAGTTTTATTTGAGGGCCAGCAGATGTTTCCCCACTAGAGGCACCACAAAGTAATCTTGGACCTGTGTAGGATGGGGAAGGAAAGCAGGAAGAGAAAAGAAGGGCAGAAAGAGCAGGAAGCCACCACTTCACTGCCAGTGCTCCTGAGAAGCCATCTGCAGCTGAAGTGCATGCGGAGACGTGGGAGCATCAGACCTGGGCAATAGGGCCTGGACAACTGTGAGGTTATAGAGCTCGGTTTTGGATTTCTGTTGAGAATCTACGGCAATTATGTTGGGCCTTTCTCCCCCACACATCTCTTCTGAAGAGAACCCAAAGAACCTTCTAGGCCCAACTACAGGCAGCAATGACGATGCCTGGAACCACAAGCCCACATAACCAGCTTCCTTCAGGGACTTCCTGGCACATCTGGGCTTCCCCACAGCATAGGGCTGGGCCACCCACAGAGAAAGTCACGAGGCTCTACTACCTGTGCCTCCCTATAGGATGCTGAAGCAGGAGGGCAGGAAACAGCTCCCAGCCCTCACTGTTGTAAAGTCCGTTGGTCATGATTCTGCCATAAGCCAGAATGGGGGCAAAGCAGGTGCCCACCCAAGACAGGCAGCAGGCCTTGCTCAGACATTAGCATGTGGGAAGTCTGGGAGATGCTCACTGGTACATCAGTCTGTGTAGAGGAGTCCTGGGTCCTGGTATGTGTCACGGGGCTTACCTGAGGCTGGAGGGGAGGCAGAAGGCTTTCTGTCCCTGCATGGCAGCCAGGTCCCAAGGCCCTGAGGACAGAGAATGAATCCCTCAATCTCAGACTTAAGAGAGAACAGAGACTGGCTGGGCATAAGGCTTAACCAGAGGGTTTAAAAAAAAAAATACAGATTCCTGGCCAGGCGCTAGTGGCTCATGCCTATATTTCTAGCTACTCAAAAGCCAAGTGTCAAGATTCAAAGCAAGCCCGGGAAGGGAAGTTTATGAGATTCTTGTCTCCAATAAACTACCAAAAAACCAGAAGTAAGCTGTGGCTCAAGAGGTAGAGCACGCTAGCATTGAGCAAAAGAAGCTCAGGAGTAACTCCAGACCCTGAGTTCAAACCTCAGGACCAGCACCATCACAACAAACAACTCACACCCTAGATTCCCATGGTTTAAACGGAATGATTTGATGTGGTGTGAATGGAATTCCTTCACAACATTTATTATCAAGACTCTGGGGCCAGCTGAGCAGGCAACCATGCTTACACCTATAATCCTAGCTACTCAGGAGGTTAAGATCTGAGGATCTCGGTTCAAAGGCAGCTCAGAGAGGGAAATCCACAAGACTCATCTCCAATTAACTGTCACAAAAGGCAGAAATGAGCTGTGGCTCAAGTGGTAGAGCATTTGTCTTGAGCAAAAAATGCTCAGGGACAGCACTCAGGCCCTGAATTCAAGCCCCAAGAATGGTACACAAAAAATAAATAAATAAAAATAAAGGAGATTCCCAGAGTCTACAAAGGGCAGTTGAAGAAGGCTCCCTGGGGGATTTTGGTATAACCAGCTGAGATGTGTTCATCTAGGTTACATACTTCCTTCTTCTAATGCAAGACACCCCTACCCCCATCCTAAGCTCTGCAACTGCCCAGCTCTGAGAGGTAGATGTCTTTACGACCTCTTGGTGGGGCTGTGATGTGGTTGGCTGGACCAGCCATTATTATCAATGGACTTTCCAGTTCCATCCAGTCTGACGGTGTGGACAGGTAGATTGTCTTCATAAAAGAGTGGGAACCCCCTGGATGGCCTGTCAGGAATTCTTATTCACTTTCCCATCTGTCCTATTGGGCCCGCCCTGGTTCAAGGTCTGCCCACCCCACTGCCTATTGAGTCAAAAGGAAGTGAGACGAGATACCTCCATGTTGTTCTTGTAGGTGCTCAGGTATGGCCAGACCTGCAGAAGAGTGTGGGCAATGGTCACATGTATGGCTTGTTTACTAACCTGTAGTGAGCCCTGATCTGGACACATGCACCTTTGACCCCCCCTGCTCCCTTCTCTGAGACCAGCTCCTCCCATCCAGGGTGACTGCTGTGGGTTCCTTCCCAGAATACTCCAAGACACTCCCCACAACCTAAACCAAGACTTACAGCAAACCCTAAGTCCCTCCCAGTGACATGCATGTCTTCTCTCTACTGCTCAGCTGGGCTGTCTCTGTTTCTCTATCCTGCCCCCATGCAGCAGTGTGCCTCTCTCTGTACAAGAATCCCTGTCTCCATTTCCTGGGCTCCCTTGCCACCCCATGTCCAGCCACACTGCCCTAAGGGAAGAAAAGACGGAGTTTTAATCCTGCCTCCCATGCAGGCCCTCTTATGGCAGAACCCAGGGTCAAGCCTGGGACCCCTTCGGGTTAGATTTTTTCAGAGGTGAAGGTTGCCACGCAGAGCTCTGAGAATCATTTGACAATAGAGATCTTGATCGGCTTTCGCTTCTTGCTTAGTGTCCTCCACACTCCACCCAACCAGGTTTCAGTCTGTATCTGACCATAACAGAGTCAGTGGCTATACGGTAGCCCTCTATCCCTGCTCTAGTCTTTGGATGAGAGCTGCCATGTTCCTCTTGCCTTCCCAAACGAGAGGCGTCCATCATGGACTTATACTAGGGCCCCTGCCATGGAGAACCTCCAGATCAATCATCTCCATTCCTCTTCAACCATTTGATGGTTAGTCTATAGTATCAGATGGGGCAGGGAGGGGGGCACTCTGGAGGGTGGGAGGAGTGAACTGAGAAGCCTAAAGGGAGCTGGAAGCTGGGTAGGGTGCACAAGGACCATGTCTCACTCTACCTGGTTTGGACACATGACATTGACCTTGTCTTCAAAATTATGTCGTGTTGTCTTCTGGCCAACAGGCTGCAGCTAAAGCCAGAAGCAGGGAGATGCAAATGAGAAAAAGAGATGGCCAAGGTGAAGAGGTCAGGGGTGGAGGAGGGAAGTGGGGGGAGGGAGGACAAAGGCCACAGGACTTGAGGGAAGGTGATTCTTTTGGCTTGGCCATCTCACCATGTTTTTCCAGAGGGCACTGGCTGCACGGGCGTGAGCCTTGCTGCTGAAGTGGAAACAGTCAGGTGCAAAGAAAGAACTGTCGGGCAAGCCTTCCTGCTCACCGGGCAGAAAAAGAAAGGAGAGATGTCAGAAGGTATAACCAGTGCTCAGAGCTCTGGGATGCCCTTGGGGAGCTCCGCTCATCCACAACAGAGGCCTTCTTTACCGAGGTCTTTGGCATCTCCACTTTCTCGAAGAACGGCTGGACAACCACAGTGAAATCATCCCTGGTGTCGTAGCGGCCACTCTCAATCAACTCGTGAGTCCCCTCCTGAAGGGGGATAAAGGGTTTGGGGTCAGGGGTCAGGGGTCAGGGGTCCTCCATCCCTGTGCAATCTCTTCTCTGACACAAGTTTCAACAGTCCGGCTGTTGGGTGAAATCAATCTTCCCCAAAGTCTTATCTGACCAGGAACAGGTTAGATACCCTTTGGATCTGCCCCAGTTTCACCTACACATGGCCCAGCCTCTGCTGCAATTGCATATAGTTAGAGCTATGAAAAAGTATAGGTAAGAGAAACCTAAGTCCCTCCCTCAGTTCACCTTGCTTTGTTTGGCAGTCCTAGAGATGGAACTCAGGGGCTCATGCTTGCACTCTACCACTTGAGCCATGCCCTTGGTCATTCTACTTTGGTTTGATTTTTTCTTAGCTAGGTCCTCACACTGATTTTCCACAGGCCATGTTTCTCCTACCTCTACTTCCTTAGTAGCTGGGATTATAGGCCTTTACCACTGTGCCAGCCCTTGACTCCCTTTGAAAGTCATTCTGGTTGGTTAAAGTCTGCTGTGGGGGTGGGGCTAATACTGAACGACATAACACTTAATCAAAGATACCTCTTACATTTATCTTTATCCTACAGTTGTGTAGATCCGCACCGTTTAACATAGTTTTGTATTGTTTGTGCAGAGCGGGTATGTGAGCACATATGTCCTTCTTTGAGATGCTTAAATATTTTGCTAGGGGTGTAACAGAGCTGAATCCTCATAGCTTCTGCTTAAGAGTAGATCTAAGACAGTTACCCCAGTTCTGGCTCCCACTCCTGTCAGGGTCTGTCATTTTACGACTCACCAGGGGTTCCTGAATTTGGGGCCACATGTGGCTAGAGAGAGAGAGTGTCATAAGGCTTACACAGCTGGGAACAATTACGTGGTCACTTTCCAGAGACATGTGCTACTGTCTTTTCCTAGGACCAGTCTGAAGAGGACCCCTTCTACCAGAGATGTCTGGGGTCTGCCTAAATTAGCCAGAATGAGCACGAGCTCATGGCTTGCCCCCGAGAATCCCACCCAGCCCAGGGCTGAACCCAGGGCCATAACCTGCCTGGTCCTGGTGCGGGCTGTGTGCTGCCTTACCAGAGCGGCAGGTGCCTGCGCGGGGCACAGGACGTGTAACCCAGCAGTGACCAGAAGGCAGGGTGGGGCAATTGGGGGTAACAAAATAAAAGATTATTTCTTGGAGCCCCTGGAACACTCCACATGACAGCTGCCCCCCTCCCCGCAAGAGTCTATAGGGAAGTGATTCCCCCCAGGGGGCCTGGGATACTTGCCACCTCTGCAGGCTACTTGTGCCCACTCTGGAAGGAGAGTCGCCACTGTCCCTTTTGAGTGAAGGACTGGACAATTGAGGGGAAACTTGGGACAGTCAAAGGAGTCTACTGTCTCCTCAAAGATCTGACAAAGACTCAACAAGGCCACAACCCCCAAGAAGGGCAGGGGCTGAGTTTTCCTCCTCTGGTGTTCCCCAGGACCACCTGTTCCCAAAAGAGTTGGAGTTTGATCTAGAACATTCCACACTGAGATTTCTCTCCATGAGACACATTTGTTCACAAACACATAGAAACATTGGTTTCAAGGAACTGGGCTTTGGAGAACTGGGTTTGGTGACTTTACTCTGGGGTGGCATTGAAAGAAGCAGACGCCAGTGTTTCCATGTGGTCTTGCTGGTCAGTGGTCAGCACCCACCCAGGCAGGGGCAGCCTCTGATCCCCTGCAGGGTGCCACTAGACACATTGCACAGGGGTGGTGGCAGAGTCCCTTTGGGGCTTACCTGGTACTTTCTGTTTATTTCCACGAGGGAGGCAAGTTCTGTTGAATTATCATCAAACTTCAGGACACAGGGACACAAAGACCTGTAGAAGAAACCACAGAGACGTCCCCACCTCAAGATCACTTGCCACGCCAGCTTGAGACTCAGAAGATTCTATTTCTTTTAGGTTTGAGCTATCAGGAATTTGTGCTATAGCAGGGCCCACTGACTGAGCCAAATGAAGCCAAGAAGATGTGCCTGACCTGGCTTTTCTCTTGAAAGTGGAATTTGAAACATCTGTAAGAGGGACTTTTATGGAGCTGAGTCACCCAGAACTGTCTGAGGACAGTGCTATGCAGAGGCACACCTCCCTCTCTATAATGATAGTGAAGACAACAATTGCTCTCAGTCATTGAGAGTTACCTGTGCCAAGCTGATAAGAGCTCTATGGGTATCATCAACCTGCTTAATCTTCCCAGCTGTTCTAGCATTTGAATGCTCATTATCTCCATTTTAAATGAGAAAAACTGAAGCTAGGTCTGATGGTATACAACTGTAATCCCAGCTACCCTTCCCAAGACTGAGGCAGGAAGATAGCAAGTTCAAAGATAGCTTAAGCAATTTAGCAATACCTTAGCTCCAAATCAAAAATAAAAAGGAGTGGGGGGGATACAGCTCAAAGTTAAAGTACATACCTAGCATGTACAAGGTTTTGGCATAGCCAAAGGAAAAAAAAAAAAAGAGAGAAGAAACTGAGAAACTGAGGCTTGGTGGTTAAATAACTTCCTTCCTTCCTTCCTTCCTTCCTTCCTTCCTCCTTCCCTCCCTCCCTCCATGCATTCCTTCCTTCCTTCCTTCCTCCCTCCCTCCCTCCCTCCCTCCCTCCCTGCATTCCTTCCTTCCTTCCTTCCTTCCTTCCTTCCTTCCTTCCTTCCTTCCACTCTCCCTCTCTTTCTCTTTCTTTCTGTGCTAGTATTGGACTTGAACTCAGGAACTGGGCACTGTCCTTTCGCTCTTTCACTCAAAGTTGGTGCTCTATCACATGGGCCACAGATCCACTTCCAGTTTTTGGTAGTTAATTGGTGATAACAGTCTCATGAACTTTCCTGCCCAGGCTGGCTTTGAACCACAATCTTCAGATCTTCAGATCTAGCTTCCTAAGTAGCTAGGATCACAGGTGTGAGCCCCTGACACCCTGAAATATAACTTTCTTAAAGTCACACAGCCATACAAATGCTGAATATAGGAGCAAGGACAAAAACTTGTCTGCTTAGCTTTGAACCTGACCTCTCCATCTCTATATTAAGCTGCTCCTGTCCAGTCTGCAGCCCTGCTCCAGCTGGCCATTGGGCAAATCTTGGCTTTGGGTCAGGGAGTGGGGGAGTTTGAGATAATAATAGCACAGATGGCTCATTATAGACCCAGTGCCACTGAGACAGACTGACAGAGGGACAGGAAGCATGGAGCACTGGAGTTGTAGGACAAGGTGACCCTGAATCCATCTGATGCTGACATTCCATCAATTGGTCAAAACACAAAATCTCCAGTTTTAATGCTCTGAAACAACAACAACAGCAACCCCAAACAAACCCTGTAGTGAGCAATAGCAGGGGACCTTTTGGTGAAGCTGCTGTGACCGCAGAGTAAAAATCCTGTGTGGCCCAGGGACTGGAGAAAGCCAGAGCCAGCTGATGAGTCAGCAGCTGAAAATAGCTTGCCTGACACCAGCTGTGTTAATAGGCATGTGTCACATTGTGTCACCCGCAGCTAGCCTGCCTCTGCTCGTGGTACCCTGAGGCCTTCTCCAGGGGAGCTGTGCAGTCTGGGCCTCCCAGGGAAGGTTTGGCATGGCTTTTCAGGTGATCAGCCAGCATTCTCCTTCATTTCCAAGAGCAAGACTGGCTCTGAATTATTCATTCTGTCATTCAGCAAACAGCCCCTGAGCCCCTGGGCTGGGCGGGCAGTGACTCAGAGTTCTTGGGCTGTGGGGAAATCATTACTGTATGGAGATGACTAGTATGATGTGCTCAGGGACACAGTGGGGGTCTGGACAGAGATACAGGGCTGGGGGAAGAGGGCCAGGATGGCACAGAACATTGCCATATATATATATACATATATGTATATGTGTATATATATATATGTGTGTGTGTGTGTGTGTGTGTATATATATATATATATATATATATATATATATATATATATATATATATATATATGGTTATGCTTCAGCTAGAAGGCCATCTTATTCCTGAGAGCCATGGGACCCTGAAATACTGGATGGGAAGCCATCTTTAAGATGAGCTTTACAGGACTTTCTTATGACCAGGGTGCTCTGTTCCCTGGGGAAGTCTTCATCTTCTGCACCCTGCAGATTCTGAGGTAGCCACTTCATCTTCTAATAAGTGACATTAGAGCTCTAATTGTGAATGTCCAGCCTGGAGTTACATACACCAGCAGGAGGCATTGTCTTTCCTGGGGATGGGCCTCCAGGAGGGGAGGGGACACCTGGGGAAGCAGATCTTGGGAGAGGCCTATGTCCTCCTTAAGCCTTGGTTACTGGGCCTCCCTTCATTCCCAATGCCTGGCTCTTCCCTCTCTGTGGCTGCCATGACAACAGGAGCAGGGGTGAGTTCTACATATACACCTTAGGGCCGGCAGCTGGGACCTGTCCTGGGTTAAAAACCCTCTGTGGGAAACCCTGAGGCCTTTTCTAGTTAGAAAAAGGAGTAACCTCAGTACTGTTTCACATTCTGCTCTGGGCTTTTCTAAGGAATCTGCTAAGGATCCATGGCCCTTGCAGGGAAAGGGGAAGTTTCAGCCTGACCTGAGGATCAGCCGTGGGCAGCTGACTTTATTCTCCAGGTACAGCTCTCTCAGGTTAATGATCTCAAGTGCCTTCACCAGGTTCACAAATGCCCGAGGAACCTGCAAAGAGAATCAGACACCAAGATGATGAGGTAGGCAGTCCCAGTCTTTTGTTATTGTGTCCCAGTCCTGGGGCTTGAATTCAGGGTCTAGGCACTGTTACTGAGCTTTTTTTTTTTTTTTTTTTTTTTGCTCAAAGTTAGTGCTCTACCACTTGAGACATTACTCCACTTCTGATTTTTTCCTGTAGTCTCACAGACTTTCCTGCTTGGCCTGGCTTTGAACCATGATCCTCAGATCTCAGCCTCCTGAGTAGCAGGGATTTACAGGTATGAGCCACTAGCACCTGGCTCAACCCTAGCCTCTTATATAGGCTTGGAGTTTGCTTCTCTTGCTGGGCTTCAGAGCTAGGGATCTTCATCTGGCCCCATCCATTTCCTTCATCCCTCCTTCTCCCTCTCTTTGCATCCAGGCTGCTGGGACATGATAAAAGAGATCTTCCAGGAAGGTCTCAGCAAGAAGCCAGAGCTATCTTCAGGGATCTCTGAGCCCCACAGCCACAGTGAGCTGCTCTGGGCAGCATGGCCCAGCTTCTATACCTCAGCATGAAGGATGTCCAGGGCCTTCCTGATGTTCGCTGTGAAGTTCTGGGGTGAATGGTGAACCTGCAGGGAATAGAAGAATCTCCTGAGTCCCATTCATCATCCATTGTCTCTCTACTGATCAAGGCTATTTCCTGCTTCTCTCCTTTTATTTCTGTCAGAGTGGGCAACTGTAAAATAGAAGTAGGTTTGTCTCTGGGGGACCCAGCCTTCTGCCCAATACCATACATGCTCTTCAGGCTTGCGCTGGCTGTGATCCTTGGGGAGATATTCTTTCTTTTGCATAGAGCTATAGAAAGTTCTGGAACTGCCACATGTTCATGAGCTATAGAGTCTCGGTATATCTCTGGGCCTTCTAAACTGGTGGTGTTGGAGAACTGAAATGTGAATTGCCTGGTCCTATAGCCTGCTGTCTTCAGCTTCAGAGCCTGGTCTACATAGCGTGCCATAAGGAGGCAATGGGAAAGGAAGAGAGTACATAAATGTATTTTCATTCTTATTTCTCCTGATGTAGATACTGTGTGTGTGTGTGTATGTGTGTATACATGCACACATGCACATACACACGCACACGCATACTAGTTCTGGGGCTTGAATTCAGGGCCTAGGTGCTGTCCCTGAGCATTTTTGCTCAAGGCTAGTGCTCACTTGAGCCACAGATCCATTTCTAGCTTTTTAGTGTTGGATTGGAGATAAGAGTCTCATGGACTTTCTGCCCAACCTGCCTTTGAACCACAATCCTTAGATCTCAGCTTCCTGAGAAGTGAGGGTTATGGGTAAGCTGGACTAGACATTGTGATTTTTAACATTTTTTTTAAAGCAGCAGAACTCATTCTTTGAGATCTAACCAAGAGCCCTGCTCTATGCAACAGGGTAAAGTTGTGTCACTCAGGGAAGCTCATGAAGGGCCCACAGTCCCAGATTCCCCACTTGTCCCCAGCAGCAACTCCCCTTCCCTGAGGGCTGAGTATCTGAACATTGACTAAATGCCTTAATAGGAAATCAACCTTCCCTAGCATCTGCACAAAGGTGGTCCTGGCCAGGGTGATTAAGTCCTGCAGAAAGAGCTGCCTTTGGGTTATCTAGAAGACAGGCAAGATTTTGCTAGATCCTTGATACGCTATCTTAGTTTCTAGAAAGATATGAAACTTCATCAATCAATCCTGCTTGTCCTGTTGCCTCTTCCTCTTGAGGTGAATGCCCTCTCCACGTCAAGATTAATCTAGACTCGATCTATGCCAAACCACCATCCAAGACCTGGCCCAGTGGTGCTGCTCCAATAACCAATGTCCAACTATGGAATTTCTTTGCTAGGACTGGGGAGCCTGAGAGAAGAACCGAGCACCTACCGGGTCAGTACAGGAATCACAGAGGTCATTGCCTCCTATAAACAGGGTGATTATCTTCCAGTCCTCCTGGAAATGTATCCTCTGCAATGAACAGGAAACCAAGGTAAGCCCCTATACCACAGTCAAGACAGGGAAAATCCACTCTTGAAAGGACACGTGGCTCAAGTGGTAGAACACCAGTCATGAGCAGGAAGGGATGGTCCTGACACACCAGAGAGTAGCCATTCGTGAGTTCTGTTCTTTGGTTTGGGGGCTGTGAACTCCTGAATGCCATATGTGTTAGATGGAGTCACTGGAAGTCCTGTGGCTGTATCCTTACATAGTAGCACACAGGTGGAGGTCCCCAACCATCTGGATGACAGTAGATGGGTGTGACCTCTGAGCTTCGTCCTCCATCTCCAGCATGGCAAGGAGTAGGTGGAAGTTACGAAGGTGGATCCTGGCACTGGGAATGAAAGGTTAGTCTAGAATCTTCTAGCAACTTGGAATTCTCCATATGCCTTTTGGAAGAAAGGACTTTCTTCCATTAAGAGAGAGTTCTTCAGATTCAGATCATTCCCACAAGTTAAAGCTGCCAACGAGCAAATCCAGCTGGAGAGGTGGATCAGTGAATGTGACCCTGGAAACACTTTGCCACTTCCTGGATCTCCCAAGAGGGACAGGAGGGAGAAGTTGAAGTCATGGGGCCGGGTGCAAGGATGTGGCCACACCCCTTCTATAAGCGGTAGCCCAAAGACAGCCTCACAGCCTATGCTGTCCCCTGGCCTACAGTGTTTTGTTTCTCTGACCTGGGCTTCTAAAAGAGGGTGGGAGGAGAAAGATAAAAGCAAAATCCAGAAGAGTGTGACATTAACAATAGAACTACTCTGAAACGTGTCAAAGGTGGATTGTAGTATACATGAAATCACATTCTCCACAATGAATCCCAGACCCCGTTCTTCAGTGATTTCTTCCACAGGGGAACAGCTCCAACACAGGCCTGCAGTGAGAACCTGCTTCCCACTCAAAGAGAGCTCAAGCTCACCTTCCAGAACCCAGCTCAAACATCTGTCTTCTGCCCGTGCAGAGGGGCCTAACTCCCTTCTGCACACTGCTCTTTCACATATAGCTTCCCCCACCCTTTCCTGATGGTAATAGGGTTTGAACTCAGAGCCTCATGCTTGCTGGACGCGTTCTACCTGAGCTCTGCTACCATCTCTTTTATTTTCATTTTCGTTACTTTTCAAGTAGGCTCTTGCACTTTTGCACAGAGCTGATCTCAGACCATGATCCTTCTACTTGTGTTTGCTGTGTAGCTGGGATCAGAGGTGCATACCATTACACCCCAGTTTGTTGAGATGAGGGTCTCAGTAGCTTTTTGGCTGGACTGGCCTCTTACCTCAATCCTCCCTATCTCTGCCTTCTGAGTAACTGGGATTTTAGGCATGGGCCATTGCCTTCTCTATAAAGCACATGTCAACTCTTGATAATCTTGATTCTCCCTTATGAGCCCCTTGAGGACAGGATTGTGTTGCATTTCTGGCTTCAGGCTTGACCTGTGATAAACGCTGAATCTGAACAAGGGAACAGAACATCCTTCACAGAATAGCAGCAATCAGAGCTATAGGTGCCTGCTAGAAACCTAACCTTCCTCCTGGGCTCCCCTCATCTTGTCTTTGACTTCTCTGTGTCTGTGCTTTCTCTTATTCATCTCAAGTTCCAGGAAGTCTCACCGCAGTGCCCCCAGACTCACCGTGTCATTCTTCATTAGGTCCACCAGCCTCCTGGCCTGGACAGCTAAGTCCCTGTGTGGACATAAAGGAGGACACTGGTGAGGGGCTCTTAGCAGACAGAACTCCCATCAGATAGATACACAACAGAGGAGGGACAAGGGCAGGAAAGGAAGACAAGGCCATACATAGAACTCCATTCAGGAAGAGGTGGGGGAGGGGTGACAGTTGGGGGCAGGACCCTCCAAGGGACTGTTTTCTGATTGGCATAGTTGATGACCTATTGTCTCTTCCAAGCCTGTCCAAGGCAAACAGAAAGTCTACCGTATGAGGGTTTCATATCGTGCTCAGCAATGGAAATGCCTGGCTTGGGCATTTGGTTCCTTCTGGCTATTTGTGGGAAATGATCTTAAGTTCTCAGTTTACAAAGATTGTAAGGCTGGGTGCTAGAGGTTTACATCTGTAATCCTAGCTACTTAGGAGGCTGAGATCTGAGGATCACAGTTTGAAGCTAATCTAGAGAGAAACGTCCATGAGACTCTTATCTCCCATTAACTAGCAAACAAGCCAGAAGTGGCTCAAGTGGTAGAGGACCAGCCTTGAGCGGAAAAGCCAAGGGAGAGCTTGAGGCCCTGATTTCAAAGCCCAGTCAAACGCTCTGTCCATCACACAGAAATGCTGTGCACAACACAAGGGTGATACAGGTGAAGGCAGTTGGTGAACAGTGCACTGCTGGGTGGAGGAGAGGGGTGGTGTCTCACCTGCAGGACCTGAGGCCAGCCATGAGGTCAAGTGAGCGCATGTGTTCAGGCCATTTCAACTGCAACTCTCCTCCCTTCTGCTCCCCCCCTCCCTCCCCTACCCCTTACAGACAGGATTGCTTGGATTGTTTGCAATCCAATGAGCCAGAAGGCCTCAGGAAAAGCAGAGCCCTGTGAACCATGCTTGCTTAGCCGCTCCCATGTTCTCCACGCTGAGATTCATTCTTGGATTGTCTCATGCTCAGAACTGCCTCTCCTCCTTACACTACCAGCTGGCATATTCTGGGTGGAAGCAGAATTAAGAGTAACACTGAAGCAAGCCAGAATTCTGAATCAGTCGCCTCTCACTTGCAACCTAAACAAAAGGAAAAGCAGCCTCCCAAGTGCATTATAAAATCTATTAGGCTTTGTATGATGCCTGCTTCCTATTGAAATAAATGAGAAAGCTACTTAGGTGGCTCATACCCCGAGGACGGTGCAGGGAGCCGGGAGTGTGTCAGGAGATCTAGAAGCCAAATCACAGGCATCCTGGGAACTACATGGAAAATTGAGGCTTGTGACTTTTTTTTTTTTTGGTGCTGGTACTGGGACTTGAACTCAGGGCCTCATGTTCATTTAGCTTTTCCTACTCATGGTGGATGCTCTACAACTTGAGCCACAGCTTCACTTCTGTTTTTTTGTTGTTCTTTTGCTTTGTTTTCCTTTTTTTGCTGTTTGATTAGAGATAAGAGTCTCAAGGATTTGTCTACCCAATCTGGCTTTGAACTGTAATACTCAGATTATCAGCATCTAGTATAGACTATTGTGTGTGTGTGTGTGTGTGTGTGTGTGTGTGTGTGTGTGCTGGTCCTGGGGCTTGAACTCAGAGCCTAGGTACTGTCCCTGAGCTATTTTTCTCAAGACTAGTACTCTACCACTTGAGCCATAGCTCTACTTCCAGCTTTTTTTTTTTTTTTTTTTTTTTTGAGTAGTTATTGGAGATAAGGGTCTGATAGACTTTCCTGTCTCATCTGGCTTTGAACTTCGATCCTCAGATCTCAGCCTCCTGAGTAGCTAGAATTACAGGCAGGAGCCACCAGATGCCAGGCTGGTGTGATTCTTAAGCAGAAAGGCTCTTCCCATGACTTTTGGGTGTGTTGTTCGCTTGTTCTGTAAGCAGGCACTCAACACTCTGGTGTGATGGAGAAAGCTGACCTTCTAGCTCTGGGGTGGGCTGAGGACCACTGGGTGGTGATTGCCAGGTGGGCCCTTCAGCTGGGACTTATCGCTGGGACCGTCACCCCAGTGCAAGGTGTCCACACTACTTCCAGCTCAGTAGGTATTTTGCATCCAAGGTGGGGATTGAGCCTCACAGCTACCTTCCTTATGACAGAGGTTCCCAGCCCTACCTCCCAAAGCCTGAGGCTCAGAGAGGACAGGGAAGAAGCCAGGACCCAGACTTGTAGCTTCATCACCCAGGCTGGTACTCTTCCTGGGACACAGAAGCATGCAGAGCCCCCAAGTCTGGCTGAGAAATGGGAGGTAGGGGGCAGGGGTGTCAGACTCTAAACAGCACAGTAACATGACAACAGCTGGGACCAGTCACAGCTGAGGCCAGGGGCATGTGCTCAAAGCCTGTGCCAGGATATGAAGTTAGCTGTGAGGTAGGACTGGGCACACACTGGCAAATTTCTGTGTCTGGCAGCAAGAAATACACTGGAGAGCGCCCATTCCAGCTTCTGACCCTCATACCCCGTTCCAGAACAAATCTCTCACTTCTCAGCCATAAACTCAATTTGGGCCAAGCCCCCTCTCCCCAGTCCCCAGGGGCTCTGAGATGTTTCCCCCCACTCAACCCCCCATGGCTCACTCAGATTTGGCTCCTGCCACAGCCTGGTTTAAGAAGGCTCCAGAAGTCGTTTCCTTTCCCGTGCCAACAGAGAAGCCTTTCAAGGAAGGATTGAATTCTCGGAGGATGTCTAGAAGTATAAAGAAAGACATGTTTAGTAACTATATAGCAACACAACAAACTTCCTTTAAAAACATGGGTTAAGGCAGGGTCTTCTTGCTCCATAGCCCAGGCTAGCCTAGAAATGCCTCCGCCTGGAATGCTGGGATTACAGACCTGCATCACCACGCTCAGCTCACAGGTTCCTTTGATGAACACCTTGGGTGCTAGAGACAAGGTAGAGTTCTCACCAACAGCCCTTACTGTACTGTTCACCCAGCATGAGAATAAAATGTTCGGCAGACCCCCACCACACAAGTTGTATGCAATAGGTACCTAATGAATTATCATTCAATAAACATGATTCTGGGCTAGATGCTTTTCTCATACATTGTTGTATTTTTCTAAATATATGAAGGTATATTGAGAGGTCCATTTGGACTATAAAGTCCACAAAGTATATCTAAAAGTATAGGGCTGGCCAGCTTTTAGTATATTATACTTCTTTTTGACCATCAACTTTAGAACATTTTCATCTTCTCCAAAAGAAGCCTGGTCTCTTACTATTCCTCCCAACCCTGTGGAAATCTCTGATTTATTTTGTGCTGTCAAAGATTTGCTACTCCAGACATTTTAGAGACATGAAATTATATAATAATATAAAACGATGGTCTTTGTGATTGGCACCTTTTACTTAACTCCCACATTGGGATATGATGATTCCTTTTCCTTGTTAGGTAATATCCTTATATGGACATGGCACATTTTATCTATCCATTTTTCAGTTTGGGGCATTGGACATCTTTCCGGTTTTTTGTGTGTTTTTTTTTGTTGTTGTTATTTTTTGTGCCAGTCCTGGAGCTTGAACTCAGGGACTGGACACTGTCCCTGAGCTTTTTTGCTCAAAACTAGTGCTCTACCACTTTAAGCCATAGCTCCATTCCCAGCTTTTTGGTAAACTGAAGAGTCTCCAGGACTTTCCTGCTCAGGCTGGCTTTGAACCAAGATCCTCAGATCTCAGCCTCCTAAATAGCTAGGATTACAGGCTTGAACCATAGACATCCAGCTCTGTTTTTGTTTTGGTATTATGAACAATGCTGCTATGAATATTTCTATACAAGCTTTTGTAGGGGGTTCTTTTCTAGATGTACTAGAAGTAGAATTCTTGGATCATATGATAACACTGCTTAACATTTGAGAAACTTGTAGGACTTTTTCTCAGAACAGCTGCACCATTTTCCATTCCAATAGCAGTCAGTGAGGACTTCTGTTTCCCCATATTGTCACCAATATTTCTTGTTTTCTGTCTTTTTATTATGACTATGCTAGTGTATATGGAGAGGTCTATCCTGGTGGTGGTTTGCTTTGCACTGGTGACTGCAAGAACTTTGTCTTCCTTTGGTGTCAGTGAAAATTCACAGAATTCCCTCCCCTCTTATTTTAGAGAGAGAGAAGTTCGTGAAGAGATTATAATTTACTATTTGATAGAATTTTTCACTGAAACCAGAAGAGCTTAGCATTTTTGAAGGGTGGGGGGAGAGTTAGTGGGAACTAATTACCAATGAATCTCTTCATTGTTAGAAATCTATCCTATTTTTCTACTTCTAATCAAGTCCATTTCAGTAGTCTACATCTTCCTAGGACTTTCCCCATTTCATCCATAGGTATCTCATTGGTTGGCTTTGGACCATACTGGCTTTGCCACCTCCTCATCTTGGCTAAGAACTCCTCAGAGCAGGGGCCTGTATGTACCAGGGCCTAATGTACTGCCCAATAAATGCATTTGGCCTCAATCAGGAGAATCTGTTCAGAGTTACACAACTATTAAGAACAGAACCCTTGGCCAAAGTCTTGGTATCTCAGTTCCCACCCAGGGTTCTCTTTCCTGGGGAGAGGAATTGGCTGGGTAATAACAGGACTTTAGGATCTCATGCCATCCAGTTATTTGCTTCAGGGTGTTCTCATCCTAGCTGGATTAGACTTAGTGCTATGACTTTTGAGACTGAGAAATGTGCAGTTACCCTGATATCCACTCATGAGAAGGAGGGACTGTGAAATCATCAGTGCTCTTTGAGAATAGACCTGTTTGTCCTTAGAGGTGGTGGGTTCTCTATTACTAGAGGAATCCAGTGCCAGCAACTCAGCTATTTAGAAGTAATGTCATAGACAGGAACGACATACTGGATAGGGCAAGAACTTGCTGGTGTGTGCAGTTATCTATGCCAGGAACATTCCATCCCCCTCCTTTACCTGATGGAATCTACTTCGTGATGCTTTTTTCAGAAGATAGCATTAGCAGCCTTCTTCTATTTATTTCCCCCCTAAGCTTTGCGCATGGCTCTGATGACTGGCTTAATGGGTCTGGCCTTGAGAAGGCATGTCCCTAAAAGAGACTTATATCGTCAGGGCATAGCTCTACTTGCCCACCACCGAACACCAGAGCATCTGCTGGATTCAACTTTACAGGCAGTCAGGCCTCTGATGGTTCTGTTCTGATCATATGGTGTCAGAGTTTCTAACACATTTCCATAGGGCTATTTTATCGATTTTTTTCAGCCCCTACAATCAAACTGTCTTCACAAATGTAGTGGAAACAATACTGAAGAACCTCCATTCTTCCCGGCTAAGTGTATTGGGGGAGTCTCCTTTGTGAATCTCTTGGCTTAAAGATCTCAAGCCAGATGATTTCCAGTCTTCCTCCTGGGACATTTCACAGTCAACTTTATCACACTCAAAAAGCAACCGAAGCCATCTCCTAGCAAGAAGGGAGCTTATTTATAGCCCTTGTGTATATAACCTAGAAATCAAGAGGACAGAGAGTTCTTGTGGCACAGAATTGCACCTATTTAAAATTAGTACCAGCTGTCAATCACCTAAACATAATGAATGTGAAGTCTGATGTGTTCTGCCTATACAGACATTAAGCATCCTGAAGAGCAAAGCCTTGGTGATTTACAAGTCAAAGGCTTTCTTAGCTCCTTAAGATATATCACAACAACTGCAAACGTTTGCTGCAGGTGTACTTTTATTTTTATTTTTTTGGGTCCAGTCGTGGGGCCTGAACTCTGGGCCTGGGCGCTGTCCTTCAGCTCTTCAGCTCAAGGCTAGCACTCTACCACTTGAGCTACAGCGCCACTTTTGGCTTTTTTCTTTTTGCATATGTGGTGCTGAGGAATCGAACCCAGGGCCTCATGCATGCAAGGCAAGCGCTCTACCACTGAGCCACCTTCCCAGCCCCTGCAGGTGTACTTTTAGAACACACACTGAGTTGGGTATGTTCTAAAGAGAATGAAGAGTTGGGCAATCCACACCCATTGGAGAATGTAGCCAGAGTTTAGGAAATCAGTACTAGCAGGATGTTGGCAGAATCGTTAAGAAAAACACTGAGCCCCAGATACGGCTGTTTGCATAGCTTGGGGAAGGTAGTTTCATCTCTATTGCAACTGCAATGGTTCATAAACAACACAATCCAAAGCCAGGCCTTGGTGCAGAGCGATGCCTAAGAGGCTCAGGCAGGACCAGATCCAGACCCAGATCCTTCCCAGACCCCTCCCAGATCCCTGCTCTGCTCAGAGAACCTAGCAAAGCAGAAGTGGGGTCCCACCCTCCCTATCTTCTTTCTTATGACGCACACTAAGATTTGGTCTTAGCTCTCTCTCATCATCTTCCTTGTTTCCTTTCTTAGACAAAGACAATTTCTCTTCACGAACAACAACAAAATCCGAACTCCAGGGCTTCAATCCTGCTGCCCGAGTGGGAATCAGAACAGCAGCTTCCGGGAAGCAGCGCCCTCTACCGCACACTGCCGGCTCCTGCAGCAGTCCGGGGCGGTCAGCCGCCAAGTGGAGCTGCAGGCGCGCTCCGCTTCCAGGGGCAAGCATGCAGTGCGCAGGCGCACCCTGTCACCGGAAGCGGGTGTAAAGCGTGCGCGCGGCGCGTACTCACTGGCCAGGGTGGTCACCGTGCTGATGTTCTGGTCTCCTCCGCAACTGTTGATGGAATCAAGAGAGAAAATGAAGGTTTACAATGCCAACTTCAAATGCTACCAGGGCAGACAAACAGCCCGGAGACCCGCCCTTTCCTCAGCATTTTGGAAAGAAAAGCAAACAGAAATAAAACCCATTCCTTCCCCTACACGGAGCAAAATACTAGGCCAGGGATTAAAGCCTGTCAGGACTGTCCACGACCTTCCCTTCCCCTCTCCCTCCCTCCTTCCCTCCTTTAGACCTTCCCTCTGTCCCTCCACCCCCTTTACCTCCCCCTCCCTCCCTCCCTCCCTCCCTCCCTCCCACCCTCCTTCCTTCCTTCCTTCCTTCCTTCCTTCCTGTCTCTTTTTCTTTTCTGTTTTCTTTTCTAACACAGAGCTCTGACATCTGGGCAGGGGGAAGAAGTAAGCTGATCCCTGACACCCTGACTGCCAAAGCCCAAGCGGCCAGTTCCATCCCACTTAATTGCTACAGCTGAACTCACCATTTCTAGTGTAAAAACACAGGAGTTTTGTTTGTTTAGTTTAGCCTAGTCTTTCTCTCCCTCTTGGCTCGGAAAAGTCATCTTTCAAAGGGAGTAGACACCTCACAGGCCAATGCTAAAATTCCAAGGCGATCAAAGCCAGTGGGTTTGCAGGCATGGATACACACAGCATTCCAGACTTGACTGGGTTCTCTGCTCTTCTGTATCCCTTTTCTCTGTGCTTAGCATGCCTGAAACATCTAAGAGGTGCCTGGAATGTTTGGGGTTTAACTGCACAGCAGCAGGAGGTTTAGGATGTAGGGATTCTATGCTGAGGTTAAAGCTGGTATGGGATGGAGACTCTGGATTCCAGCCTGAAGAAACACCAAATGTCAACACACTCAGAGTCCCACACACCTGGTACTAGGGCTGTAGTTAGATCCCAGGCATAGCAGGAATCAGACTGTACCAGGCAACCCGCTGAGAGGGAGAAATGAAAGACCCAGAAGCATTTCCAACCCAAACACTTGCATCGTGTCTCCCCCAAACTCCTGTCCAGAGTGTACCCCATTTGAGGGAATGTCATGGTTTAAGAAGCTGATACTTTCCTTACATGGAACCTGGGAATTTGTCATGGAAAAGAACTACATGGCTCATCTTCTGCTTGAGGTGTTCTGTAGAAGGCTCTCAGGGGTCTCCAGGCCTGGCTGTGCCCTCACTCACCTCCAGGACAGGCCTCGGTACTGAGTCAAGACGTCCAGGATGGCTCCAACTCTGGACCCGGCCCCATTGCCTGCCTGGGAGGGAAAATCAAGGGTGGTTGCTCCTGTTTTTCCTAGACCGCCATGTTTGCTTGCTTGCCAGAAGTTCTATACTTTTATTCTAGGCAGGACCATCTGGGCACACTCTGGAATCCAGAGTCTATGTAGCACCACATCCAGATGTGTAGCCTGCCATCCAAGATGGCTCCAAGATGCCTTTACCACGATGGAGGCAAGCTCTCAGTGGAGAAACCTAGCACCATCCACAGTGGAGAAACCTAGCAGCATCCACAGCTCCTGCTCCTCCCAGGAACCCTGCCTGGACCCCGGTGGACAGAAAACAGTGAGCAAAGTGCTTTGGAAATGAGACTGTAACATGTCTTTTTCCAAAGGACATATTTTGGGGCCCTGTGTTTCTCAATTTTTTAAAAGTTTTTAAAATACATCATAAAAATACACATAACAATCCTTTTGTATCATTATGTCTCACTTATATACAGTTAAAAGAAACCTCATAATCCTACCACTTGGAGGAAAAGCAGAGTCGTGTGTGTGTGTGTGTGTGTGTGTGTGTGTGTGTGTGTGTGTGTGTGTGTGTGTGACAGCACTAGGGCTTGAACTCAGGTCCTGGATGTTATCCCTTAGCTTTCAAGGTTGGTATTCTATTATTTGAGCAACAGCTGCACTTTCAGCTTTTTGGTTGTTAATTGGAGATAAAGAGTTTTATTGGACTTCTTTGCCTAGACTAGCTTTGAACCTTGATCCTTAGACCTCAGCCTCCTGAGTAGCTAGGATTATGGATGTGAGCCATCAGCACCTGGCAAAAATAGGGTCTTAAAAACACTGTGTGGACATCCTCCATAGTTATGTCCATATATTTCTGGGTTGAACCATTCCAACATTCCAAAGAGTTTGCTGAAGATGGGCCTCAAGGCAGCTGGAGTGAAGGTTGATCTCCACAAGTGGCTCCCCAGGGAATTATTTCCCAATTTCCTGGTACCCAATTCCTTGGCTGCCTGCCAGGTATGTCACACTCAAAGTGATGTGTGCTTTCCTGTGGCTTCTTGTCCTGAGAGCATCTCCCAGGAGATCATAGGGGAGAAAAGTGATTTTAGCCCTGCTGGGCAGGAAGCAAGTAAGGTGCATCAAGTCAAGGAGCAGCCTGCAGAAGGATCCAAGTAGTAAGACTATGGAGGTATGGAGCTGTGGCTCAAGTGGTAGAGTGCTAGTTTTGAGCACAAAAGCTCAGGGACAGCACTTAGGCCCAGAGTTCAAGTCCCAGAACAGGTACAACACACACACACACACACACACACACAGCCCAAATTGAAGGACCCGTGAGGTGAGGGGCTTCTGAGGGCTTCTGGAGGAAGAGGATCTTCTTCATGAGGGACAGGAGCTAGGACTTAGGGTCAGGATCTCTGGATCCCAGGCCTGGTTCCAACACTTACAAGCTGGATGGTCATGGACACCCACTGCACCTTCTTGAAGGAGACTGGGACCTCACCGTGTGGTCCAGCTCACAGACAGGATCCAGCTGGAGACCCTCTGGTCCAGGGGACAGCAGGCCCACTCCCTCAGGAGTGAATTCTGTGTGAGCCATGTGTCTGGGAATGTCTAGGTCCCCACTCACAGCCACTCAAAGGACCTGATTGTGTTTTTCATGATCACCCTTCATGAGGTCTGAGATGCCACCTGGAATGGCTGCAGAGTAGGCTTGATCATCCTCCACCTCTTCCAGGACTCCTCTTTTCTTACCGCTACCTCCTTGCTCCCATTAGCACCCACTCCTCTCTCATCTCCTCTTTGGCTCCCTTCTTGGTATCTTCTCTTAGCTTTCCTACATTCACAAAGCAAAGCATCGGTCTTTGGAGATGCAACCTAGCCTAAGGTTGACCCTTCACACTGATGGGCTGGGTGGCATGGGTGAGCCATTTCTGTCACCCATGCTCCTTCAGAGCCCTCCCTACTCCTCTTCTCGCCTTCAGTTCACTATAGGACGAGGAAAGCTCAGGTTAGGATGTAGGTGGCACTGGTGGCTCACACCTGTAATCCTAGCTATTTGGGAGGCTGATGATTGTAGTTCAAAGCCAGCCTGGACAGACAAAAAGCTGAGACACTCTTATTTCCAGTTAACCCCCCAAAAAAGCTAGAAGTGGAGCTATGGCTCACAAGGTAGAGCACCAACTTTGAACAAGAAAGCCAAGTGAGAGCACTGAGTTCAAGTCCCAGTGCTAGCCTCCCAGTAAAAGGGCAGAGTACTGGGTTGCAGGGGAGGGCCTGGAGATCAAGACCCAAGATGGGAGCGAAACCTCTGGGCATTTCTCCTCCATCTTCTGACAGTCACCAGAGTTTTCTCCTCTTCCCCCTTTCTTCTAGGCTGAGTAACTTACTGTGAGAGAGTCGCCCAGGGCTCCGATGACCTTGATGTCAGCTGGCTTCAACCTGTGAACTGAGAATGCAGAGTTGGGGTGAATGGAAAGTGGGCCGTTCTGGTTCTACCTCCCCTAAATCCAATGACCATCTTCAAGGAAAATGGAGACAAAGCCTGTATTCCCAGCAATACACCTTGGAACAAAAGATACAGTGCACAGGGCTCAGCAACATCAGCCGTGGACCCTGGCTGCCACCTCCCCTCTGGGCACCGGGGCAGAGGGGTTGAGAGCCGAGATGGAATCTTGGCTAGCATTCGCGGGTAACACTGGACGCCATCAGGTGAGAAGTGACAAGCCCTTGCGAAGTAATTTGGGGTGCAGGGGAGGAATTGTGGAAGACATAGAGCCAATGCTGGATACATTCTAGGATTTGATGACGCTTGGGATAAAGTGTTACATCATTCTACAAAAGAGCAGTTTCTCTGAAGTGACAAAGGAAATAACTGCTTCCCTAACCACTATCATTCTTAATGGAGGAGAGAGGCACAGAACACAAAATTCACTATTGTAAGGTGAACAGTTGAGTGACATTTGCTGTACAATCATCGCCACCCGCTGCTCCCACATGAAGAGACCCTGAACCCATGAAATAGTCATTCTCCACCTCCTCTTCCACCAGACCTCAAACCAGCAAACTACTGTCTGTCCCCATGGACTTACCTCGTCTATACATTATATCATCCCTCACAATAGCTCTATATTATTTTCAAGCACTAGGGCTTGCCCTCAGGGCCTCAAACTTGCTCAGCTTGCTTGTTCAGCTAGTTTGCTTAAGGCTGGTGCTGTACTACTTAAGCCATACCTCCAGCCTTGCTTTTCACTAGTTATTTCAGAGATGGAATCTCAGACTTTTCTGCCCAGACTGGCTTCAAACTGTGATCCTCCAGTCTCAATCTCCATACAGACATGAACCAGCCAGGTACTGGAGGCTCACACCTATAATCCTAGCTACCCCAGGAGGCTGAGATCTGAGGATCACAGTTCAAAGCCAGCCCAGGCACAGAAAAGCCCCTGTGAGACTCTTATTTCCAGTCAAGCACTCAAAAACCAGAAGTAATGCTGTGGCTCAAGTGGTAGAACACTAGCTTTGAACACATTCGAATAGATCGATACCTCCTGTAGCTCTGTCCCTCCCACAATGTTGATTAGGCGAAGGATGCTTTTCATGTTCTCTGGGCATGTGTAGTCCCTGGAATGCCCAGTCTGCCTGGTGTTCAACATGTTGGTGGCATGAGTCAATAGCTGCTTGGCTAGGCACTGGTGGTTCATGTTTTTTTCTTTTGTTTTCTCCTCTCCTCCTCCTCCTCCTCCTCCTCCTCCTCCTCCTCCTCCTCCTCCTCCTCCTCCTCCTCCTCCTCCTCCATCTTCTTCTGTCTGTCTGTCAGTTGTGAACTCAAAACCAGGGCACTGTCCATTAGCTTTATCACTCAAAACTGGTGGTGCTCTACCACTTGAGCCACAGCTCTATTCCCAAGCTTTTAGCTGGTTAATTAGAGATAAAAGCCTCAAGGATTTTCCTGCCTAGGCTGGTTCAAACTACAATCTTCAGATCTCAGCCTCCTGAGAAGCTAGGATGACAGGTGTGAGCCACCAGCAGTTGACATATTGTTTTTTGCTCATTTGTTTTTGTTTTGTTTGAAGTCCATTTCTATATTACTAATGAAAAGACCAGAACATTTTCTCTTGTGTCTCTTAGCTCATGTAACTGTGGCTGCCATTACAAAACCTGATGGTGGGGTTGTAGCTCTGCCTCTTAGATTCTTCCTTCTGAGGCCTCCCTCCTCCCTCCTCACCAGGCATTGAACCCTTGCATATACACACAGACAGACGCACACTTCCACATGATTATAGCCTGCTTGGGCCTTCCCAGCTTTCCATAGCTACACTATGTGGTTAGAAGAACAATATCAAATCACAAAGCCAGCTGCACACATTAGCACACGCCTACAGGGCTAAGCATGAAAACTTTAAAAATGACCTCTTCTTTAAGAAAATCAGGCGATGGGTAAAAAAGGCAACAAAATGGAAAATAAGACTCCCCCCCCCCACCGCTCCCCTCAAATCCAGAGTGGTTTATTTTAGCTCCTAGTGATGGCAGTGCATCACTGTATTCTTCTTGCCATGATTGAGTGGATTCTCTGAATGCTGGCTACCATGCAAAGGTTAGAGTGTATGAGATGGGTAAAATGTGGGAGACATGGGTGGGGGCAGATTTACTTCCATAGCTTTGTTATTACAGGTTGCAAAAAAGGCAGCAAAAAATGGCACATTCCTATCTCTTAAATGTCCTATATATTGAAGGGAAACACAAGCACACACAAATCTCTCTCTCTCTCTCTCTCTTTCTCTCTGTGTAGACAGACAGGTGGGGTCTGGAGGGGGAATTATTTAGCTGACCCTTTGAGACCATCTCAGCAAAAAAGAAGCCTGGGTGGGAGGTGTTGGTTTATCTGGCATTTTAATTTGAAGATAGAACCCAATGCATTTCACTGGTTTAATATCCGATCGACCTTGGTTTGAGGTTTATTAATGCCATCATCTCTGACAATGCACATCCTAGAAATACAGCAAAGCACTTTGGCAATGGCTTGACTTGGAAAAAGAACTATGTAGAGATAAGATTAAATTTATGTGGGCAGATCAGCCAAACATTATCTAGTACAAACTGTCCACTAGCTTGAAAGAAGTTGATAAAGATATCATTAACTCTTCAAGATTTCTGCACTGGGGAACTCTTATCTGAGTCCATCACAGAGAGTGAGCAAACTGCATAGGAATTAAGGGGTGGGGACATGTCCCCTCTCCACAAAAAGCTGTGCCAGGAGAAATGCTTGGCTCTCTGGTGTCTTGTGCTTTGCAGCCCATTTACTGTAACCCTCCAGGCTATCATCTAAAATGCCAGCGCCCTCCTGCTTGTCAGTGAAGGTTGTCCTGCCCATTTGCTTCCCAACTTAAAGGACTTAGATATATGTGCACCTTGCTCAGAGTAAGAGAGTAAGAAATGTGTTAATTTCACAAAGAGATCATATAGGTCTGAAATGACATGCATGCCATTTGTTCGGAACTGACCACAACATATTATATCCATGCACTGAAATGCCACACTGTACTCCATAAAAACACATCTATTAAGGGTCAACTACAAATCCATGCCAATTTAAAAAGTGCTAGCTTGAATGAAAGCTTTGGGTACTCTGACAGAATTTTATAGCTTTCAAAGTTTTAAGTGGCAAAAACTATGGGACAGGGAGCCACTTAGACAATCGGGGTCTTGGTGTTCAACTTGAACTTGCTCAGTAAACTGTTGGCACCTAGGAGCCGTGGATTATCATTCCTTGTGGATGGCAGACTAGACCAAGTCACAAACCCCATGGACAGATGGGGAACATAGAAACAACTTTAGGACCTGATCCACAGACTGTCACACTGCTGGTTCACAATGAGCTGAAACCATTGATGGATGTCCGGTTACTACGGTCACATCAGGATTTTCTTCTCTATAAACTCCTGGAGATCTCAGTGTAGCTCAGTGAGTCAGATGAAAGATACTAGAGACTTAGAATCAATAGCACAAAATCAATGAATGATTTAAAGACTCAATCAGTGATGGTAGCACAGAAGTAGCACAGTACCTTTGTGGATTGTTCTTTGTGCATGGAATTAACAGCTTCACAGCCCCATAGATCAGTGGGTGATGTTTTGTCACCAATGAGCTCTGAAATGCAATGAGAATGGGGCACCCAGGCTGCCAGGGATCATAGTTGGGGTGACAGGCAGTGTTCTAGTCTCAAATATCATGTTTGCAGTCAGGCATAGTAGTGCACATTTGTATTCCCCAGTGCTCAGGAGGCTGAGGCAGAAGGGCTCCAAATTTAAGGTCAGCATGGGTTACATAGTGAGTGCAAAGCCACTGAGGGATGCCTACTGAGACCTTGCCCAAAAGAAAAGAAGGAAGGGAGGGAGGGAGGGAGGAAAGAAGAAGGGAAGAAAGGAAGGAAGGAAGGAAGGAAGGCTTTTGAAATGGTACTTTTGGCAATGTTTAGAACCATGTATCTGTGCAATGAGAGAAATATTAGCAAAGGGGATTACAGGAGAGGTCTTGAAATAATTCTGAAGGCACAATAACTATCTTATAGTTACTGAAAAATCATTTTAATAAAATATACTTTGGTCTAGTTCACTTTTAAGATCGTTAAGATCAACACTGAATATTTATTTGATGAATTAGAAATACTCAGTAATTCAGAGTCCTTCAACATAGCAGGGGCTCCTACTATATGCAGAAGCACTGGAAGTATAAAGACATGGGTGTTGGTGGCTCATACCTGCGATCCTAGCTACTCATGAGGCTGAAATCTGAGTATCATGACTCAGAAAAGTCATTGAGATGCCAATTAATCTCCAATTAATTATCATAAACCTGGACTAGAGGTATGGTTTAAGTGCTAGAGCACCAGCTAAGAGTGAGAGTATAAGACCCCAAGTTCAAGCCCTGGACCAGCACACCAAAGTTAAGATGAGTAGCTCTTTTTTTTTTTTTTTTTGGTCCTGTCCTGGGGCCTGAACTCTGGGCCTGGGCGTTGTCCCTCAGCTCTTCAGCTCAAGGCTAGCGCTCTACCACTTGAGCCACAGCACCACTTCTGGTTTTTTCTGCTTATGTGGTACTGAGGAATCGAACCCAGGGCCTCAAGCATGCAAGGCAAGTGCTCTACCACTGAGCCACCTTCCCAGCTCCAGATGAGTAGCTCTTATGAAATATATATTAGATGACTTTGGCAATAACAAACATGATCTCTAGAAGAAGGAAAGAACTCACTAGAAACACAATAATCACCAAGGATGACAATAGTGTGGTCCCTGTTTGCTTTTGTTTTGTTTTGTTTCCTACCTCATCGCTCTGAAGTAAAGTTAGAATGTTCAGTCACAGACCAACAGCACAACAAAATGTGATTCTCATAATTGTCCAGTTTACTGTTGCTTTTTTTCTAAAGACACTTTGCAGGAGTCTCACAGCACAGCATTATGCTCACATGGGTACACTCCCAAGTTGGAGAGAGCCAGGGTTTTGGTCTTGTGCCAATTTAAGTAGCTTCTGGAGGCCATAGCCTATCTATCTTCTATCTGTTTACTCAAACAGCTCCTATCACTAATGTATCTCAGATTTAAAGGTCTTGCGATTTCTCGGTTATATCTTCAAGCACTAATAAATGCAATAATCTTTGGGTCAGGGAGTAAAGAAGAGATTCACATTTTATCTGGCCTTTAGATATTTGAGATAGATTGGTTGTCATAGCAGAAACATAATCTCTATAGACTGCACGATGCTTTGCAAGTCATCCTTTCGGAGTGATAAGATTAGAGAGGAATGTGTATGATTTCACTGCAAAAAATATGGCTATTAAAACATTCACTATCTCTACCTAGATAGGCATGTATCTACATTACACATATCTATATCTACATCATTGAATAAGGATTTTTTTTTTACTACAGGAAAGCCTACATATAAAATGATCATTTAGGGGGCTGGGAAGGTGGCTCAGTGGCAGAGCACTTGCCTTGCATGCCTGAGGCCCTGGGTTCGATTCCTTAGCACCACATAAGCAAAAAGAAAAAAGCCAGAAGTGGCGCTATGGCTCAAGTGGTAGAGTGCTAGCCTTGAGCTGAAGAGCTGGGGGACAGCGCCCAGGCCCAGAGTTCAGGCCCCACGACCGGACCCCCCCAAAAAAATAAAAAATAAAATGATCATTTACTTTTGCAATTAAGTCCAGTTAGTTGCTGAGCATGGTGGTACATGTCTGTAATCCCAGCACTCAGGAGGATGAAGGCAGAGTCAAGGCCAATCTGGGTAATACAGTAGATTCAAGTCTAGCCTGTGCTATACAGTGAAACACCAAGTCACAAAACAATAAACAACACAATAAGAGCTGGTCCAAGGAGTTGTTACCAAACCTTGGTACAAATTAAATACTTGTGTGTGTAGGATCTATGTCACTTCTGGGTTTGGAAGTGGTTTATCCTCCAAAAAAGTCGAGTGCTGAAGGTTTAGTCCTCCATGAGCTGCTGGGGAGGTGGTGGAAGGGATGGGACCTACTGCTAGGTAACTGGGTCCTTGGGATGAGTACTGGTTTTTCAATATGAGTTGGTTCTCAGGAGATGGGGATGGTACCCCTTATGCACATAGCAAATTCCCTTCCATTTTTCCAATATGTTAAAACTTAGCCAAGAGAAATCTTTAGCCAGACAGAACACCTGATACCCGATACCTCACATTCAGCCTCCCAAACTAAGAGTTAATATGCCTTTTTTCTTCATGAGTACTCAGCGGCAGGTATTTTGTTATAGCAACAGAAAACAAACTAAATATAATTGTCTATTCCATTAGTCCAGCTTAGAACAAGAGTCAGTTCTACATGAGGGTTTTGGTGAGAAGATTTCCAACCTACTTGCTAGTCATAAGGCTTGATCTGAGTGTTCAAAGCTAAGCTGTGTGTAAATGGGAAACTAAGTCACAGCATTTATGCTGTATTCATAACACAAGACCATTGACTACAAAGGTTTTTTTTTTCTTCTACAGATTCCTTATACATACTATGCCATCTCCATGGCTATGTTATCTTTTCAATAATCTCAAAGCCAAAGAATTCATCAACTGGAACAGAAACTCTCGAACAGCAAACAGGAGGTATGCACAACTTTTTAATAAGTGTATAGATAACTGAACACATGTAGTACCCTCTAGGACTAAGCCTGGAGACCCACAGACTGAAACTTTAAGGCTCAAGTCATCCTGGTCACAAAAATGACCCACCCTTGATGCTCTACAGACACAGTTCAGGCTTCTTCACCCGAAAGAACGGCAGCTGCTCTTTGGAAAGGCTGCTAATGGCTTTTTCACACAAGGCTTAGTGCTCTATCACTGAGCCACAGCTCCACTTCCAGCTTTTTGTTGGCTAATTGGAGATAAGAATCTCACAGACTTTCCTGCCTAGGCTGGCTCTGAACCACAACTCTCCAATCTCAGCCTCCTGAGCAACTATAAGATTACAGGTATGAGCCATAGAGCCATGGTCTACTTTTGCTTTCTGTTTGTGTTCTTTGACTTGTTTTGGAGAGTAAAGTCATCCCTGAGGACTTCAAGGTAGAAACAATGATGTCAACACATTCAACTACCACTGGGCTCTGCAGAGGATGACCGTGAGGTCAATGCTCAATAAATGCTTTGGTCAATGCTCAATAAATGCTTTCTGATAATGATGTTATCACTATTTTAGTTAAAGAATAATTGAACACAGAAACAAAGGGTCAAAGGGTAAACAAATACAGCAATGGTACTCACTGGATACTATGTTGCAAATGAACTATATAACTTGTGGGTGGGGATGGGAGGGAAAAACTGGGAGAGAATGAGGGAAGGGATGATACCGTCCAAATCTACCCATTACCTAACTCGTAACTGTAACCCCTCTGTACATTGCCTTTATAATAACAATAAAAAATAAAGAATAATCAGACACAAGCATGACCTCATAAATACACCTAGAGAACAACAACCATGTCGTTGGAAGCCCCTATCCCTGCCAGGAGTAGCTCAGATTCTTGCCACCTTAAGGTTGCTCTGACTTATGAGTTAGAAAGTTCCTGAGGCAAACTGTGTACCTGAAGTGGGGATCATGTCGGAGGGGTCCTTGTCAGGACATCTGATTTCTGTCCCTTCTCTCACCTGAAATGAGAAAATACAGAGAGATGAGAAATGATTGGAAACTAGGTTGGGAAGTGGGCCTCTAGTTTGGAAAAGATCACTTAAGATTGAAGTTAAGCCAAGCTCATGCCTATAATCCTAACTACTCAGGAAGCTGAGTTCTGAGGATCAGGATTCAAACCAGCCTGGGCTGATAAACCTAAAGACTTCAATCAGCTGCCAAAAAGCTCAAAGTAGAGTTGTGGCACAAGTGGTAAAGTGCCAGCTCTGAGTGAAGAGGCTAAAGGACAGCATCCTGGCCCTGAGTTCAAGCCCCAGTAGTGGTGTGCATGTGCGCGTGCGCACACACACACACACACACACACATACACACTAAAGATTAAAATTTAGTGTCAAGATCAATCCCTCTCCTTCAGCTTCACATCCCATTGTCTAAACTAAATTGATTCCAAATCTGCCACCTTCTCTCCAGTTCCTTCTCCTTGGGCTGACTTCAGCCTTCCCTAGTATCATGTCTTTGGTCCCATGGGCTACCTCTCCAGTTCCAGCCTCATAGGGCTCTCAATGGAATGCAAGGATGGCTTGTCCCTGCCCAGGTTCTCAGTAAAGCCAGCAACTGCTGCCTGACTTATTATTGTGTCCCCAGAGCCTGGGGTCAGGGGGTGCCTGGTCCAATGGATGATCAGCACTATTTGCTGGTTGTACAAATTAGTGGTTCCCTGGATTAACTCCACTATGAAGCCTATTGACCCTCCCAAGGCCTAAGAGGCCTTCTGATATTTGAAACTATTAGGCATTGACCAGTGTCTCAGTGCTGTCCCCTAACCCCCTGCCTTCACCCAAATGGTCACTCATGCTCTCTCTTTCTATCTCCGCCCTTCTCCTTCCTCACCTTTACTCTCAATGCTCAGCCTTAGTTTTCATTTGAGACTGAGGTCACTGGTGCCCTAATGATACTTAGAATGGATTTCTAAGTCCATTTTCTTCCTCTATGTTCCCAGAATACCCCGTGGAAATATTAACTATACTTCTGATCATCTTGTGTTATAATTGTTGGTTGACATATATGTTTCTTTACCAGATTGAGTTCCTTGGGATAAACATTTATTTTAATTTTTAGATCCCACATCTGGAATTCAATTCATTAATTCAACTAAGTTGTTGGAGCTGGGCACAGTGACATTCACCTATGATCCCAGACTTGGTAAGGTGAGGCAGAAGGATGGTGAGTTTGAAGCCAGTCTAGGCTACATGGCAAGTTCCCAGTTAGCCTGAGCTAAATATCAAAACTTTTCTCACACTGATAAACAATAACAATAAAGATAGTCCCTGCCCCACTGAGCCTGCATTCTAGAAATACATAATGGGCATTTAATAAGTGTGTTCTGGAGGGATGTGTTTCTGCCTCTTATCAGATCTCATCAGTAACAACACTTTTATAGAACTTGAGGTTTCCCAGAAGACCTCTTTTCTTCTCTCTTCTTCTCTTCTCTTCTCTTCTCTTCTCTTCTCTTCTCTTCTCTTCTCTTCTCTTCTCTTCTCTTCTCTTCTCTTCTCTTCTCTTCTCTCCTCTCCTCTCCTCTCCTCTCCTCTCCTCTCCTCTCCTCTCCTCTCCTTTCCTCTCCTCTCTTCTCCTCCCTTCCCTTCTCTTTTCCTCCCCTCTCCTCTTCTTTCCCTCCCCTCTCTTCTTTCTTCTTTCTTCATTCTTCTATTCTTTCTCTCCTTCCTTCTTTCCTTTCCTTCCTTCCTTTCCTTCCTTCCTTTCCTTCCTTCCCTTCCCTTCCCTTTTTGAGTAGTACTGGGATTTAAACTCCTGACCTCATGATTTTAGAGTGTCTGTTTAGCAACAGACACCGTACTATGTGAGCCACACCCTTAGGCCTTTGTGTTTACTTATATTTTTTTAATGGAGTCTCTTATTTTTGCCCAGGTGGCCTGGACTGTGCATCTCTGGATTTCAATTTCCATAGTAGCTGGAATTACAGTCATGAGCCACCATGCCCAGCATAACTGCTTTATATTTAACTAATTGACTTTAATTTCATAACTAGGTAATAGGACTATTATTCTACTATTGTCCTCTCCAAAATTTATTTTAAATGAAAGCATGAAGAAGTTAAGTACTTACACACACACACACACACACACACACACACACACACAGCCAGTAAGAATCTGGATTTAAATGTTGGTGGCTCAAGTCTGTAATCCTAGCTACTCAGGAAGTTAAAATCCAGAAAATTACCCAAAGTGAGCTTGGGCAGAAAAGTGCAATAGACTCTGGCCCCCTGATAACCAGCAAAAATCAGCATGGCTCAAGTGGTAGAGCACCTGCCTAACAAGCACAAGGCTCTAGTACTGCCCCCCGCAAGAATCTGGATTGAAACCCTGAGCCAGTTGTTGTAACTCATTGTGCCACCCTGCCTGCTAGATATCCCCCAGCCCTGCCCCAGCCCTGCCACTGTGACATTTTGTCAGAAGGTGTGAGACAAGTTGATCAGTGCAGACTCTTTCACAGGGTGGAGGCCTGGGTTACTATCTCACCCTCTACTACTTGGGGTCTTCCTGTTTCATACAGTAGGGAGATGAGGGTTAGGACTATCAACCCTCAGGTTGAAGTGGTTTTTATCTAATCACAGCAGGAAGTATCAGAAAGGGAAGGCTGAGATAAACCTAGGGAAGATAGGAGGAGGTGAGGAGGTGACCCTGGCTGTGGGCTGACTGCTTAGGCCTTTCGGTTCCCATTCTGTCTGGTTCCAAATCCTGCCACATTCCTCTGCCTCTTTCACTCCCCCCGCTCCCCCACCCCCCAGACTAGGCTAAGGGCTCCTCAGAGATTTGGAGATGGTGGAAGACATCTTGTCCCGCATTACAACAGGCTGGGGAAGGGTAGTGCAGTGCCTCCCTCCCACCCTGTGACACCGCAGGAGCTGGTTGGTGAGCCAATCTTAAGAAAGGACCAGCACACACTTGACCCTTCACCTTTCCCCAGACTCTCCCCACTGAATTTCAGATTCAGGTACAGCTGCTGTAGTTCTGCAGCCTTCAGAGTACCCAGAGGCAAATCAAGTTTTATGACAAGAAGGACCAGGTAGAAGGTTCCAGACCCAGCTAGGGGTTCACTGGTGAGTTTGTTCATCACAGAAGACCTTTCCTTACCTCAGACTGTCCATGGGGTTGTAGAAATCTGGACTGGTAGTTGCTGTTCTTGTAAGTAAAGAGATAGGGGTTCTCCTGTAGAGAAAGATAGCATGCTATATCACTGTCCAGAACTTTCGATCCCTTAATAAATGGGACCAGCCATCTGGTCATATTTTCAGTAGATTGGGAGCATTCACTGCATCCTTTCAGTGTTAACCAAACCATTCTCTGGCCCTTCTCTGAGCTGTCCCTGCAGGAGCTCATGCTTGCTTTGAAATAGCCCATTTTCAAGTCAACATCTCTGGTTCTCCATACTTTGGAGATTCATGCTACCAGGCCCTCTCCCTTTCCCTCTCCCTCTTCCTTCTCTTTATATACATATACACATACATGTATATATACATATACGTATACATCAACTCATCAGGAAAAAAACCTTAATTTTAAGCATCTGGCATCCAAATCAAAGAAAGATATAAGGTGAATTGTATTTTTCTTATTGTTTAGGAACAACTACAAAATGAATGATTCATCAAGAAAGTAAAACAATTGGGGCTGGGCATAGTGGCTCAAACTTATAATCCTAGATACTTGGGGGTGGAGATAAGAAGATCATGGTTTGAGTCTTCTCTGGGAAAATGGTAGCAAGAATAAGATGGGCATGGTGGTGCATTCCTGTAATCCTAGCTATATGGGAAGCAGGGAGAGGAGGATTATGGCCTGAGGCCTGCACTAGAGAAAACTATAAGACCCTATTTGAAAAATAACTAAATCAAAAAGGGCTGGGGGAAAACTTGAGTGGTAGAGTGCTTGCCTACTAAAGTAGCATGAGGCTCTGAGTTCAAACTCGAGTACTCCCCCTTCTCAAAAAAAAGAAAAGAAAGCCAAAAAATTTTGATAAGCATTAAATGATAGAAGGAATCTCATTGGTTTATATTCAGTTAATTTTTCATCTAGTTGACTTTGCTTATGTCAGAGACATATATAAGACATAAGCAAAAGTGATTCATCTTTAAAACCACTATGATGCCCTCAGCCCTGCCCCCTTCTCCTTCCCTCCCCCTAGGTAAAGGAAAAGCCTGGAAATTGCATCAAGGACACAGGACCAGGGGTACAAGAAAATGGAGAGGACCATCAGAGGCCAGGTGGGCCGTGGCTTTGCTCCTGTGACTTGCACAGGTGTGGAGGGACTCCTGATCTACAGTTATAAACCCCAAGGGCAGCCACACAGGCAGATGAACCATCTAAGCCTGTCAGGAGCTAATGTTAGCTCCTGTCTTAGCACAGTCCAGGTGGTGTCATCCCTCCTCTTCCTGCAGCCCAGTTCCACTCACCTGAGAGGGACATTTCATGGGCTTCCTCTCTGCTGCATGGAACGGCTCATCCTTGCGTCCTGCTGGCTCCATCTAGAAAAGAAAGTGATCCCTAACTCAGAGAACCTGGCACAGGGGCCAGCCCTCCAAGCCCTTCTGAGAAAGTCTCCAAGTTTGACCCCTGCACCAGCAGCATCAGGGCCACCTGGGAACGCATGAGAAATGCACACTTCCAGTGGGGTCCCACCCACCCGCTGGATACTCAGGCTGGGGGCAGCATTGCTTGTTCACCCACAACAGACTGCTGACTGTCGCTGGAGAGGGGCCATCAGTGGGTTCAAGATGTCAAAGGCATTTCCTAGTCCCCTCCTCCTGACAGCACAGGAAGAGAAACTAAACACCAGGTTGGATGGGGTGGGGTGGGGGGTGGGTGGCAGCTAGCCATACATACTGATATCCTAGGGCAGGTTGTCCTGGTCCATGTCTGGTCCCGCTCCTTGCTACCCATGTGAGACTACCTTGCTTACTGAGAGAGCAGAGCAGGTACAGGGAGGAAGAGCAAACCCACCGCCTGTGTATAGAGCCCCTGCCTTGCCCTGGTCTACCTGCTTCCTGTAGCCCCAACCCACAAGCAGGCAACCCTCTGCACAGCTCATTCACACAGCTTCACATGGAGCCTATTGGGGGCCCATACCCAGCAAGGACCCGTCTTTAACTGGGTGACAAAGATGCAGGAACACAGAACACAGCTCAGTCCCCACCTTTAACTCAGGCAGCCATGATCCCTAGTAATTCAGGTACAGACTCTGAAAGAGGTCATGATTTAAACCATCACCATAGACAGGCCCTGGTAGATCATACCTGTAATCCTACCTATCAGGAGGCTGAGATCTAAGGACCATGGTTTGAAGGCTGTCTGGGCAGGAAAGTCCATGGGACTGCCATTTCCAGATAACCACAACAGAGCCAGAAGTGGCTCACTTGGTAGATTACCAGCCTTAAGTGAAAAAGCCAAGGGAGAGTGTCTAGACCCTGAATACTGGCCTCCATGAGCATGAGCACATGTGTGCACGCGTGTGCACACACACACACACACACACACACACACACACACACACACACGCATGAGCACACACAAACACACATTAAGAACCACAAAGGCTACTTAACAGTATAGACAAATGGTAGACAGGAAAGCAAGAAATCATCAAGTTCTAAAACTTAGGCAAGAGCATTATTGAAAAATAATGACAGCCAAGAAATAAGTGGAGGTGGGGGAGATTTCTAACTTCTTTGTTACTCTGAAATGCTCATGACGCATCTGTAAAAGCCTCAGAAGAAAACAACAGAGGAGGAGAAATCTCGGGCCCTCTTTTGCACGTGCTGTGCTGTGTTTTGCTGGGAGGGAACCTCGTTTTTTTTTTTGCTGTCAGCCCTGCTGCTGGGCCCCTTCTAAGAAGCTGACAGAGAGGCCAGGACACCCTGAGCTAGGAAGGAACTTTACCCCATTCAGGGCTGCCTCTAACCAAATGGAAAGAGAGTCAGATAAGCAGGTTTAATGATCACATTTGAGAGGGAGTGGTGGACCTGGAGCTCTGGGGTTCACTTTTATTCTGATGGTGGCTGCTCTAGAAATGGAAAGTTCAGCCTAGGGTGTGCAGGGCTGCTCCCAAAGGCAGTGTTCAGTGTGGCTGGGGAAGGGATGGCCAGGTATTGATCTGTCTTGCTTTCCTTTTTCCTTTCTACAATCATCTAAGAAGTTTTATTAGGAATAAGAGTCCCTGGAAAGAATGAATCAAGGGAAGCCTATTTTTCATGTTCTCAAAGAAAGAAAATGTATAGGGTTGCCCACTAAAACTTCTTCTGGGCATCTCGTCCCAGAACCAGGCATAGTGGCCCATGCCTATAGTCCCAGCTATACAGGAGACAGAGATGAGAACGCACCCTAGCCCAAACATTAGCAAAATCTGAGTTTAATAAAAAATAAATAAATAAAAGCCTTGATGTAGCTACTTTGGAGGCAGAATTGCAACAGGAGAATGAGGTTGAGATCTGAAGATTGAGGTTCAAAGCTAGCCCAGGAAGGAAAGTCAGCAAGACTTTTATCTCCAATTAACAACCAAAAGTCAGAAGTAGGGCTGTGGCTCAAATAGTAGAGCACTATCCTTAAGCAAAAAAAGCTCAGGGACAGCATGGTGCTCAGGCTCTAAGTTCAAGCTCCAGGACTAGAACAAAAAAATGAAAGTGTTGAGGGTATGGTTCAAGCAGTAGACTGCCTGCCTGGCAAGTAAAAGGCCCCGAGTTCCATCTCAGAACTGTACACATACACAAACACACATAAAAGGCCTAAATGTCTTCCTCCCATTGCCTTAGGCTGCTTACAACTGGCTCGACCAGGGCGGGATGTGCTGTGACTCCCCTTCCTAGTCCTTTAGTGCTTCATCTCCTTCACTCTGCCTCTTCATCACCATGAAATCCACTCGAGGGTGGGGGCTGACTTTAAACAGAATCCTCTCCGAGAGCAGAGTTCTCATGTGTGAGCTCTTCCTGAGTCCCTGCGCTGCCCAGTGGCTCTGGTACCTGGCCCTGCTCTAGGTACTGAAGGGGCTTAGGACTCAGGTCCCTCAATACTGCCCCTATTTGGGAGTTCCCGGAATTTACAGGAGGCAACAGAAAAGGCTCAGAGAATACAAAGTGCTTTCAGCTCGGTACAGAGACACAATCATCAGTGATGGTGGCGGGTGTCAATACAACTAGAAAGGTTCCAGCTGTGCGGAGCTCAGAGCTCACATCTGTGCTGGGCTGTGGCTGGGGCAGGAGGGCAAGTGCTAATGTGGTTTGAGCCCAGGGCACAGCAGACCCCTCTCCCCACAGGTGTGTCCTGGGAGTGGTACTCCAAATGGAGTAGGCATCGGCCCTGGATCACAGCAGTTCTACTGTCCCCTGCTTGTCCCCAGCCTAGGAGAAGAGCTCTCACCGGGCTCCATGTGGTCAATAACAGGCATACCTGACTTTTACCTCATGGAAGAGAAGTTCCCACCCTCCCTGTGCCCCCAAGGGACCACAGTGAGTGAGGCAAGGGGTGTGAAGGAGTCCAAAGGCTCTTTGCATTGTCCCAGGCCTTCTGAAGCTGGCTGAGGCTGGCAGGTGGAAAAAAATGTGATCCACTCAAGAAACAACCAAAGATAGGACTGGAAGCAAAACTGAGTTTCCTGACTCCTTGCCCAGTGCTCTTGGCCCTAACCTGTCCTGTTACCTATTCTGATTACTCATGGACAGATTTAGGCCTGCAGGAGCTCTGGATGAGTTTGAGCAGGGCTGTGGGTGGCTGGCATTTTGCAAGTGAGGAAATAGGAAATGAACCATTTGGGGACTCCTTCCTCCTTTCTTGGTTGTAGGAGCCTGGGGGACTTAGGAGGAAAATGTGAACTTGGTGGTTGTTAGACAGGTCTGGATTGAGTGGGGTAACCCCCCCACCCAGGACAACCACCACCACTTCCTTGAAGGCCTTGTGACAGTTGCTGGGCCCCAGATCATTGGCCTTCTGTTCCCCTCTGGTTATCTGTAGCTCCTGACCCTTGAGAAAACTGAAAGAGCCTGGGCCTGTGGCAGTGCTTGGGGACATCACTCAGCAGCTCTCTCGTGTTTATTATCATAGCTGCCACCAACACCAAAGACGCTTGGTAGTCAGATGAAGGGGAAAAGAGAGAGAAAGGAGGCCAGCCCTTTCCCTTCCATCTCTTCTCCAGCTCCTCTTCCACCTGCTATTCAGTTTCATTGGCTCTCCAGCCTTGTGCGCTGTATTTCCTCTCAGACAGGACCAGCCTCCTTCCTGTGCCATTTGTGCAATTTGCTGTCTGCTCCCAAAGGTCCTCCTGCCACACACCCTAAAAGCCACCCAGATCCCATCTTCTAGGCCTCCTCTAACCTCCTTGGCTCTCAGCACAAGGCAGGGTTGAAGGTGCCCTTGGTTGGTTGGAGAAAGGTGATGGAAGAGCAGAGAGGTATGGCTGAACCATGATGATCAGCCTTCTTCCCCTAAAAGAGGGTGATGGGAGGGCAGTCCCTACTGGAGGGGGGTCCCTTCTCTGCCTGTGGGAGACCAGTCACAAGGTGGTTTTCTAGGGGATGAGTCCACCCAAGGCTCTGACCCACACATCAGCATCCCTGGCCAAGACAAGTGCCTTCTCCAAGGGACAGCCTTAGCATTGCCTGGGTTTCTGGGCCCGCGCCTGCCCTTCCTACCCTGCCCTCATCCTCCACCAGGAGCCTAAGTGCAGCTGCTTGTGTGCTCAGCATAGACACACTAAGATAAGAGGCACAACTGTTTCTAATCTGAGCAAGAAAAGAAAAACAAATGTCTATCATTGCAATTCTAAAAACAGAGCCACTTGCATGGGGTGGGGATGGGGTGGCAAAGAGAGGTCTCTGTCTGCTGCCTTTTATTCACTGATGAATCGTGGGGCCCTGGTGATGCCTATCATGGATCTAACACAGAGGACCTATACATGTTTTAGTCCTTGCTCTGGGCCAAGGGTGAGACGGACCCTGGATGGCAGGGGTAGGGGAGGGAGGCTATAGGCTGCGTGTTGCAGAAGGGGGGCTGTGAGATGGGGTTTTGTCAGGCTGGCTCCAGGCACCATCTTGAGCCTTTAAACCTGCATGGTGCTGCCTCAGGGCCAAGAAAGCTGGACAGGGATGGGTGGGTAGCCAATGGGGAGGTAGGGCTGGGGCTCTCCCAAGGCTGTCGCTGTAGGAATAGGAGTTGAGCTGGGCTGGTACCCTTGTCCCTCCTCATTGCAGTGGGCAGAAGGCGAATGTGATGCTGGCCATCCTTCCTCTGTGGTTTATCCCTTAGGCTGGAGCAAGCCCCGGTCCTCACCACTTACCATGTTGTTCCAAAGGCTCAGGGCAAGCACAGCAGGATGGTGGGGCAGTGGCTTCTCCTAGAAGATAAACAGGTAAGAGGAGTCCATATTTGTCCCAAGGAGGTGACAGCTCCTGTACTCTGTTTCATCTTCTGGCTTGGAGCTGGGGGGCCCTGATCTGTCCAGCTCTGTCCCCACCAATAATGGTGAATTTGTAGGAGTGTTATCTGGGGTCAGGGTTGGCGGGAACAGGGCAAATGCTTGGCTGCTCTGTGTCATCATGGGGTCCCTAAAACTAAACTCAAGAACAGGTAGAGGGAAAACAGTTGGGGTGTGGTCTGTGTAAGACGGTGAAGGAGGGATGGGTGCTAACCTTCCCCCTCCTTCTCCTAAAACCAGGACTTCAAGTATTGTGCAAGTCCAAAGGCAGGAGCTAGGATTCAAGAGCAACTGTTCCCAGACACAGCCCTGAAGGCTTAGAGGAGCCAAGGGGAAGGTAGGGCTGGTGCTTCCCCAAGGCTGACACTGTAGGACCAGAGGTCATACTCCCAGGGGTTGAGCTGGGCTGGAACCCCGGCGGGGAGGCTGCAGAGAGACTGCTCAGCCCCACCTCCAATGCACTATGATCCTGGTGACCCTTTGCCCGATGACCCAGGGGAGGGCAGATGCAACTCCCTCCCTTCAGGAAAGGATGTACAGGAGTGCACAGAGGAAGAAATGAGCGTGGGTGCCCTTGGAAGCACCATCTTGAAAAGTCAGAGTAACTAAGCGGAGCGAGTCTTGCCCACACTGCCAGGGCACTGCTGACTTCTTCCTGGCGTTGGCTCACCAGCGTAGATCAAGTGACTATTCATAACAGCCCTAATTTTATGGACGTGGAAACATTACACAGAGAGGTCAGACCACATGCCCAAGGTCACACGGCCAGTCACTTTCAGCAGCAAATGCTAGTTGGAATCAGGGAAGCTAGCCTGGACTCCTGTTCTTCATGGGACCATGGGACCATGCAACCTCATGTGGGAACGGCCGGAGAGAATATGGCCCCATCACACTGGTGTTCATAAAGCTTGTCTGGGCTGGGCCTTCTGTGAAGCTGAGAGACATAGCGGAGGAGGGAGGAGGGAGCAGAGGCATGGCCCAGGCCCCTTACTTCCATCCCCACCCTTGACGCCTCCCCCCTGCCCACTCACTGATGGCAGCAGCATCTCGTAGAAGAAAGGCTGGAAAACCACGGCAAAGGACTCCTGATCACTGAACCTGCTGGAGGCCAGGAGGCTTTCCCAGGCTTCCTGAGGAAGGAGGTGGGGGAGCTGAAGGCAGCTGGTGCTGTGCAGCCCCTGGCTTAGAACTAATACCATGACGAGGCACAGCTCCATGCTTTCCCTCAGGGCTGAGTCTGCATGGGCTTGAGCCATGCACCATTCAAAATTTCCTCACTGAGGGAAATGTCTCACAACTTCACTCCCAACCTTCTTCTTATGCATGCCAGTGAGCACTGGGCTTTGAACTGCTGGCCCAGGAGCACACATCTGCACTCTGCTGGGTCTCTTAGGTCAGTGGCAATGCATAGCTGGTTTGCCTGCAGGCTGTGATCTGGGGTCAGACATGATCCAGGTCAAAGCAGCTCACCAGCTATAGAATGAGTGTGCGAAGCTCTTCACTCTGTGTCACCCAGTGTCAGCAGTCTCCACTCCCACTCACCGGAACTGCGGTGCTTATAGCATGTGCAGGGATATAGACTCATCTTGGGAAAAGCAGCCAAGAGTAGCTCTGACCTTAATCCTGAACTGAGCTGGAGAAGTCCTATGTGAGCAAACTTGACCATGTCCCCACCATCCTTGTTCTCCGTGGCATCTACTCTCTGAGCCCGCTGCCCAGAGGTGGCTCACCTGATAGGACCATTGCATGATGACCTTGTCCAGCTTTGAAGTCTTCTCTGGGCAGTGACAGGGCTCTGGTACGGGGTCGCTGCAGGTCAGAATGAACAAGGAATAAAAGACCTGGGTGGTGAACCTCCAAGCTGCCTCTAGAGAAGAGGGCCTGGGATCCTGGAGTCCCTTAGGGGCAGGGAGGGAGATGCTGGAGCCTTAAGGGATACAGGAGAAGGGAGGAGACCAGTGTTGGGAGGATGATGGACAGGGTGGAGAGACACCCCTGGAGTTCTTGTCCCTGGTGGGTGGGGATGGACTGAGATGTTTTTTCTCTTCCTCTTTCTCCCAGACACTCACATTGCATCCTGCTTTCCTTACTCTACCCTTTTTATCTTCCTTTCCTGGAAATCCTCCCTGCCCACTCTCCCTTCTCAGCTGTCTTTGCCTTGGCCTTTTCCACATAAACTTCTATTGTAGGTGCAAATCCAGGATTGTTAGAATGTGGGACCAAAAAATGTAACTTCTGGGGAAATTCTCAGAAATAATGGGAGTTGAGTTCTGAGAAGTGACAAGATGGTTAAACTCATTTTGCTTGTTTTTTTTTTTCCTCTACTCACTTTCTACAAGTAATATTCCTTGGCTTAAAGTATTTTGCCAGATCTGATTTTTCAGTTTTGTTCAGAACCCTCAAATCACTTGGGAGGAAAGGGCCTCTGACATTGTCCAGACTGAATATTTCATCTCTTAATGTGAGCCCCAACTCTCTTCTCCAGACTCCATCACACACTACTGTGTAGGCTCACATATACCACAGGATGTCTCCTGCCATCTATGATTTCAGGCTCCTTATGGCCCATGGATGGCATGTAGCGTAGGCTGGTCTTCCTCTAGTTCCCTTCCTACCTGAGCCCAGCCCCCTGATGCCAGTGAGACACGGCTGCAATCTCGGAGAGATCCACCAGGTTCACAAATGCTTTGGGTACCTAAAAGGACACAAGAGTAAGAAGGTGAGTGGCTGTCAGTCACGTGGTCATGGCTGCACAGTGATTCTTGGGAGCCTTGATGTGAGCCCTGTTTGAGGTCCAGTGGAACACAGGGGCTGCCTCTTCAACAGGTCAGCTCTGCTCAGCGTTGGTCCAAAGCAGCACTTTCACAGCTGTGCATTGCAGAAATGCACCTGTCACCTTCCTTCTGGTGGGCAGGGCACCTCTTCCCATGTCCATGGGGACCACAGACTCCCCTGTCTCCATGGTGACCACAGACCCCAGGAACTCAGGGAAGGTATGAGGTACTGTCCTTAGGCTGTCAGAACCTGCAATTTCACCTTGGTCATTCTAGAAAGAGGCTCTGCAGGTTCTTGAGCTTTCTAGCTATGACAGACCACAGGGCCATTGAATCAGAGCCCCCTCAGATATGAGCTTTGCAAGAGGGACATTCTCTATCCAGACGACTTTGCATTTCAGAGGGCAAGAAGATGGGGTCCTGAGGGTGTTGGGGTCCCTCACAGAAGTCTATTCTTCCTACTCTGGGAGAAGCTACTTGGGAGTGAACTGGAACCCACCTCACCAGCCCTCAAAAGAGGGGTGTGAAGCTCCATGAGGAAATTAGGCCAAGGTCCCACAGGGCCGGGGGCACAGGCTTACCTCCTCCTGCAGGTAGTCCAGGGTCCGGGCCAGCCTTTCCATGTCATTCTTCACGTGCCTTTCCTGTGAGAGAACAAGTAGGCCGAGTGAGGGTGGCAGAAGGGGGGAACTGAGGCCCAGGTGTCCAGACTCAGGTAGGCTGGCCCCACCTGAGGGAGACCCTCGTCCCCCACAACCAGTGTAGAGTTTCTGGAGCTCCCTTGGTTTTTTCTGTCTGACTGTGTGTTTGTGTTCGGCACATTTTCTGACTTTCCATATTCATCATCTGTCAGGAGAAAAATCAAACACATCATTTCCTCTAGGGGAGACAGTCCACATCAAGTAAAGGCAAACCCAAGGTTAGCGCAAGGTCAAAAACACCTGTTGTGGTCCAGACGCCCTCATTGAAGGGAGGGAGATTCACTCCCAGAAGCTGGTGAAATTGCTTTTATTCAAAGGAAAATGAGCCTTAAGAAGGAGTACACAACCAATACCAGATTTAAGCTTGCAGGTGAGCTTCAAAACTTCCATGGGGGCACAGGCTTATCTTCCCTGATCTGAAGTGCAAAAGTGGCGCTGTGGCTCAAGTGGTAGAGCACTAGCCTTGAGCTGAAGAGCTGAGGGACAGCGCTCAGGCCCAGAGTTCAAGCCCCACAACCCACCAAAAAAAAAAAAAGATAGCTACTCTCCTGATCTGAAATGCTTGGGACCAGATATCAGAGTTTCAGATGTCAGAGTTTTTTTAGATTTTCAAACGTTTGTAAAAAATTTACCAGCTATGTGTCTTTCACCCAAAGTTCCACAATCAAAACTACTCAAAGAACAGTTTTGGGTTTGGGAACATTTTCATTTCAGGTAAGGAATGTCCCACCCGTAACATCAGCCCTCTCCCTGCCAACTCTGTCCTGGTCTCATTCTTTTGAAACTGAGGGTAAAAGACATAAGTTGATATGGGTTGAGAGAAATAAGCTTTTTTGTTTATTCCTGTCTTTGGGCTTAAGGAGGAATTTATATTATGTGTAACCTTACAGAAGAGTGGTTTTTTGTTTTTTTCCTTTTTTGGTGTGTGTGTGTGTGCCTTGAATTCAGGGTCTTGTGCTATTCCTTGACATTTTTTTCCTCTCAAGGGTGGTGCTCTACCACTTGAGCCATGGCTATACTTCCTGATTTTGGCTGCTTAATTGGAAATAAGAGTCTCATGGATTTTTCTTCCCAGGCTGCCTTCAAGCCTCCATTCTCTGATCTCAACCTCCTGAGTAGCTAGAGCCACCAGAGCCTGAGTGAGAGTGGTGTTTTTATAGGAACATGACATCTTCACAAAGACACAGGGACAGCTGATGGTCTGGAATGTCCTGGTAAGCCAGACTCCCTCAAAGGACAACCAACCAGGGTGTCCCCAAACCTAAGGACAATGAATGTCCTGCATGTGGTACATATGGGCAGCAAGGATGTTTCGAGACTGACTTCCAGGGCTCTGCAGGAGGAGCATGGGATGGTCAGATCACACTTAGGAGACTCAGGTGGAAGAAAGCCTGGCCAAGGCTGTATTGCCACCCATCACAACACATCTGGCAGTACTGGCTTCCCAGGGGCCAGCCTGATGCCAAAGCAGAACTGACAACAGAAAGACGAGGACTTGGCATTTCTTCCCATACTGCATGCTGGGGGACAGTGGATGGCCCTTTGTGTAAAGTCCCCATTTGGTGATTGACAGCTGTGTGCAGAGTCCTGTCTATGCAGGAACCAGCAGCTTCTCCACCTTCTTTGTCTTCCTGTCACTTCAGGGACAACCAGTCTGCAGGCAACTTAGAAGCCTGTCCTCCTGCAGGGTTTACTTATTGATTTTTCACATTGTAACAGGAAACCAGGGTGGCATTTTGCAGTATTTTCATTACTAGTGAGGAAGTGAAGTGAGGGTGGATAGCAGATGTGTTTCTGGACTCGGATGGGATCCTCTCTTGTACCCCCTGTGGGAACTGAGACCAGACTTAACTTGTTCTTAAAAGTTAGTTCTTGCAATTTATTCTAAGGAAAATGATTACTGAGTTAAACTCTGAATACTTTCCAGTTTCTTGAGTCATACTGCAAGAGCACCCTTCTATGTACTGCCACCTGCTACTGATGGCATTGGTGATGAGTACTGTAAATGCATGGTGGGTTTTTTTTTTTTTGCATTAGGCTTTCTTTCTTCATTTTTATTCTGAGTTTTGATTTCACTCATCAATGAAACTAGATTTCAACCACAGAGAAATAAGCAAAGCCTCCAGACCCTGAAAACATCCAGACTCACTGCTACAAACCACATTACCATTTTCCTCTGAAGACTAGACATTGCTACTGCATGGCAGGTAGCTCTGATTTCATTCTCTATGACTTTGATTAGAAACCCTGAAGAACAAATGAGGATTTAAGCCCTGGTCCACTCCTCACAAGAGAAGCCCAAAATTCTTAGGGGGCAGAGAAGTCCAGGTTCGTGGAAGGACAATGGTTTAACATTTCTTTTCAATGAGACAATATCACATGACTGATCAAATGACTTTTAGGAGCCACTCAACATGAGACAGAAGACAGAGCTACCGAGTCAAATGGGGGCCTGGAGCCCCCCCATTCAACCTCTGCCCTCAGAAGCGCTACCTGTGGACCCCAGCTCTGCAGAGCACGTTTGGACAAATAGCATTTGAAGGACAAATAGCATTTGAGATATGCTCTCAGGAATATCAAAATACAGAAGCAGAACTTCCCCACAAAAAGACTAGCTGAGGCTCTAAAACCCTGGCGGTCTTTGTGCAAAAGGAAAATCAAGATGGGCAGGGCAAAGGGCAACAAAGGGAGGATTTGAGTGGATGCTAGCCAGCATTTTTACAGTGAGCTAAACTAATATGGTGATCAAGACAGTGGCTTAGGGCACTTCAGAAATTAGGAGTAAGGCAGGATTACTTGGGTCATATGTTTGTAGCCAATTAGAAGTATGACATTCTAAGCATGAATAAACTCAGTCCTTCTGTGTCAATATGACCAAATCTTGAGGGAGCTTCAGATATTGACAAAAACCATTAAGTTTGACACATCATGTGCTATAACTGCTCTAGGGATGGGTGTCCTCAAGCACTGGGGGGGGGGGGGGGGAGAGAACGGGGAGGGGAATGTAAATGAGTTGAACTACTTTTTTGGAAGGCAATTCAGCAGATCCTATTAAAACTCAAGTGGTGGTGGAATTTGGTGAAGCATACCTATAATCCCAGCACTTGAGGGGGTGGGACAGGAGGATCTTGAATGTTGAGGCCAGTCCAAGCAATATAGTGAGTTCAAAGCCAGACTGGGCTACATAGTAAGACCCCATCTGCAAAGAAGAAAGAAAAGAAGGAAGGAAGGAAGGAAGGAAAGAAGGAAGGAAGGAAGGAAGGAAGGAAGGAAGGAAGGAAGGAAGGAAGGAAGGAAGGAAGGAGAAAAGGGAAGAAATGTATGCACATATCTGAGGCCTGACAATCTGATGTTTAAAAACCTATTCTGAGCCAGGTGCCAGTGGCTCACACCTATTATCCTAGCTACTAAGGAGGCTGAGTTCTGAGTATCGTGATTTGAAGCCAGCCCAGCAGAAAAACACCTGAGAGTCTTTGAGGGAAGCTGGGGCTCAATAGAGTGCTAGCCTTGAGTGAAAAAGTGTGGGGGCAGCACCCAGGCCCTGAGTTCAAGCCCCAGGACTGACACCAACATAATAATAATAATAATAATACTAGCAACAACCATCTATTCTGGACACTTGTCTTCAAATTATTTTGACCATGACTTACAGTATGAGATGTATGTCACATCACAATCCAGCACACATGTGCATATAGAAAAGAAAGTAAATTCATGCACAAATATAAAGGGTAGATCAATGATTGGATGAGTGAATATAGAGAAATGCAGTAATGCTCAACTATTTGAATGCTTCAATTCACGAATGCATAAATTCATTCACTAATATTAATAGGCAAAATGACTCAAATGAGGGGAGGGGCAGAGAACAAACAAGGCATGTATATTTCACATGACATAGGTAAGCACAGAAACCTTCACTACCTATAGGCTATACATGTAGAAGAGCTGGTCAGGGAAGGGGGATTTCTAGCAGCATTCTTCTAGGGGCCCAGCTCACTAAGGGAAAGGGCATTCTGATAGTACACTAGGGCTCAGTGAGAGTGTGGGCCATCTCTAGGGAGGAAAAAGTCTGTGTTGCAAGAGAAGGGTATCTAAATAAACTTGGCCTGTTCTTGTGCCATGGCCTGACAGAGGCCCTGGGAAGGCGGCTGGAGGATAGTGGCCAGCCATGAGATTATCCTAAGCGGCAGAGACAATTTTGCGGCAACCAGGCTTAAAAATAGTCTGTGTTCCATTTGTGTCACCATATCTAGGGTCCTAAACCAGCTTTCATACTGTCATCTGATCAGAACCTAGATGGTCTTCAATAAAGGCCAAAAATGGTTAGGATAGTTGGTTTTATGCTAAGGATTTATCAAGGCCAGAGGCCAGGAGGGGGGGAGGGGGGGTGAAGTTGTGGCCACACCAGATGTGACCTCAGAGAAGCAGGAGGTAACTGCCTGCAGGTGTGCCGGTTACCTAAGTGACACAGGTACTGGGAGGAGACTTAGCCAAGAGGAGGGGGAGCCTGCTTCACCTTCCAGGAGGACCTTATACTAAGTATATTTTGCTACAATAAAATGGGAGGAAAAATGCAAAACATCTGTTCATGTATGTTTTCTTGAGCATCAACTACCCATCCACACATCCACTCACACATCCATCCTAATTCTCAGCTCCAGCCAAGCAGGTAGGGGTCAGGAAGGTTGAGCTCACTCTCTCAGCATTTGCAATCTCCCAGATGCCCAGCCCAAAGTTACCTGTTGAATAGAGGGACAGAGGTAGCATCGGCTTGCATTACTGAAGAACACATTGATGAGTTTCCAGTCATGTTGAAAGTCAAGTTGCTAAGGATCGATCATATTTTAAAGAGAGAGAGAGAGATAATATAAGACCTTAAGCCAAAAGAATATCCTTAGCTGGGCATTGGTGGCTTATGCCTATAATACTAACTACTTAGGAGGCTGAGATCTGAGGATCGCAGTTCAAAGCCAGCCCGGGCAGGAAAGTCTGTGAGATTCTTATTTCCAATTAGCCACCAGAAATGAGAAGTGTCTCTGTGGCTCAAGTGGCAGAGCTTGAGCTGCAGAGCTCAGGGACAGCACCCAGGCCCAGAGTTCAAGACCTTTGGCTGACAAAACAAAGAAACAAAAGAACATCCTTCTTTTCACATCTTTCCATTCTCACCTGCTTAATCCAATAATTCCCTCTCCAAAAACTCATTTTAAGAAAATAATATATACAAGATTTAACTACAATAAATGATACCTCATTTGTAAGAATGAAAGCATGCAAACTACATAAATATCTAAAATGGGATATTGCTGGGTAAATTATGGCACACTCACAAAATGATACATTAGAGAGCTATTAAGATGATACCGGAAATAATCCATTGGCAAATAATACATTGGGAAAACTAGGCTATAAAAAGTATCTACATGTACTAATTTCTCTGGTTTAAAAAAATAAATACAGATACACATACTTAGAAAAATATAGAAGGAAATACATGCCAAGTTATTAACAGCAATTATCTTTGGGCGTTAGGGTTAAGGATGGTTTTAATATTCTTTTTGTTTATCTGTGGTCTCGAATTTTTCTCTATAACGCATATGTGTTGCTTGCAGCACAGTGTGGCTGAGGAACTCTGGGCTGTGAATTAGGTGCCTTCAATTTTAGCTCTAACTAGCCGTGTGAACTTTGGCTTCCTAGCCATATAACTTCTTCACATTTCAGTTTCTTCATATTTAAAATTATAGGATTGGATTCAGGACCTTCTATCTATTTTGTAATAATAATAATATTCCAGACATTCTAGAATCCTCCTGTTGGGGGAAGACCGAGGCTTCCTGGCACAGCTGCACCAGCCACCGGCCCTATGGCTTCAAGTGGCCTCCACTTTAATTCCTAAATTCCCTGGTGTATGCATGGTTGGCTGAGACAGGGGCTTCCTGGAGCCAGCTTGGTGTGAGGCTTGCTTTGATTTGACACTTGTCCATGAGAAAAATACAAATGATCAAAGGATGCTTATTACAAACTCCCATGTTATTGGGCAAAGAGCAGCATCTGATCTGTTAGGAAAAAGGATTACTAGGCAACCCTGCTAAAAGCCAAAATTAATTAATATGATAATTACAGCAGCAATCACCACTGGTGACTTTTACTGAGCACTGACCCTGTACCTGGCCTATCCAACAGCATGTTTAATCCTCCCTCAACCCTATGCTACAAGAGCCTTCAATGTCCCCATGTCATAATCAGGAAAACTGAGGCTGACAGAAGCTGAGCAGGTTACTCAGCATCACATGCTACAGGTGGAAAGTTCAGGATGTACACTCAGGCTGGTCTCCTTCTGGAACCCATCCACCAGCCTACATGAGAAATCTTTAGTCCATCCTCCACTTTCCACAGAGCCACACAGGAAACTATTCAGAATAGAAACATTGCCCTTTTCACTAGTGACCTTCAGAGACTCCTAGCAGAAAGGACATTTTCTAAGAGCCCACGCCAAATGTGATGTCTCAGGACAACATAGCATTGGGGCCACTGTCATATGTATGTTTGGTTTTGTGGCCCACACAGGCAGGCCATCTAGCTGAGTTACAGGCACTCTTACCTGGTTCTCTTTCAAGCTTCTCACGAGTTCTTCAGCCTGAATCCACAAGTCTCTGTGCACAGAGAGGAGAAGAGAAAGAAAACCCAGTAAAATATAATTGTTTAGATGACCTAGATGTTCACTCCCATGCCCAATCTGTAAGCAAAGCTATCAGTCTCTAAGCCTGAAAATTCCCTGGCCACACAGGCTTACAAATGGTTGATGATTAAAAATATGGCCCATAGCCGGGAACCAGTGGCGCATGCCTGTAATCCTGGCTACTTAGGAGGCTGAGATCTCAGGATCGTGGTTCCAATCCAGCCTAGGCAGGAAAGTCTGAGACTCTTATTTCCAATTAACCACCAAAAAGCTGGAAGTCGGGGTGTGGTCAAGTGGTAAGTGCTAACTTTGAGTATGAAAGCTCAGGGACAGTGCCCAGGCCCTGAGTTCAAACCCCAGGAGACACACACACACACACACACACACACACACACACACACACACACACACACACACACACACACACACACACACACACACACACACACACACACACACACACACACACACACACACACACACACACACACACACACACACACACACACACACACACACACACACACACACACACACACACACACACACACACACACCAGGCAGAATTCTGGCTTTGATTTAATAAAATCTTTATTTTTAAACCTTTGTCAGGCCACCAAACCCTCCCACCTGTGTGGCTGATAACACATAAGCTGGAGAGAGACAGGGAAGGACTTACTCAGCACCATGGTGGGGTGCCACACCCTTCCCAGGAGGGCACACAGGCAGGAGGACAGCGGGGTTGAAATGTCTGATGATATCTGAGAGGACTAAAGAGACAGAACAGGCGGTCACTTGGGACAGCCTGTCCCAGGGGTGACCCCAGAGTCGCTGTCCTCTTACAAGGCGCAGCCTTTACCTCCTGCCTTGGACTTTGAAGTCACCCCGCAGCCCGTCTGGAAGAGAATGAGTACCAGCCCCCTGTTGAGTGCTCTCCCTGTATTCTCCCCCATTGACTCCTCCATAAAGGACTCATAGCAACACTGTTTCTGATTTATGAAGGGGAAACTGAGACAGAGAAACTAAGGGAGCCACCCAAAGTCCCCCAGCTGACAGAGGCCACGAGGATTTGAACCAGAGCTCGGGGATGTCAGAGCCTTCACTGGTTGGGCTGCCTTTGCAGTCCCCCTCTCCTGTGGAGAATGACAGAGGGGCGGGGAAGCTCGAGGAACACACAGAGAACACGTCCCAGAGCTGACAGCCAGAGGACGGCTAAAAATAGCGCTGTCAGGTTCAGTTATGTCTTGCTCCCTAGAGAGAAGAGGGCATGGCAGGGAGGGGGTGCTATGGGGAGAGATGCCACCACCTCCTTTCCCATCTCCCTCTCTTTTTGTCCCCATCCAGAAGTGCCTGGGGCTTCACAGGAGCTGGATTCAGAAGGCAGCAGAGGGGCTTCCCTGTAGGGAGGCAGACTCTGTGTAAGCAGCAGGCAGGGACAGAGAGGGCGAGCCAGGCTAGAAATCAGGAGATGGGCCCCTTGGCCTTGTCCCCTTTGTAACCCTTGCACAGTGTGTGATTTGGTTTTCCCATCTTTCACCCAGACTAGCAAGCTGCTTTCTTCTCTAGGCTGACCAGGCTGTGGGAGGAGTCATGTGTACACATTAGAAAATGGAAAACTCTGAGCACAACATTTTTTAAAAAGCCATGACAAGGACAGTGTGTGTGTGTGTATAGACAGCCTGGGCCCTTGTGTAAGGATAATCTGCAAGGATCAATGGCAACGCACGAACATCTGGTGAGATGAGAGAATCTTTGAGAGAGAATTGCTTGCCAAATTAAAAATATTCATAGAACACTACTTCATCGCAATCAAACTTGGCCCTAGAATAAACTTCTCGGCCATTTTGTCTGCTGTGTTCCTGATCTATTCTTACTACCTCTCTGGGGGCTCCCTGGTAGCAGTGGGATTGAATCTAAGGTCTCTGGCCTATGTCTGTAGTCCTAGCAATTTAGGAAACTGAGGAAGGAAGATTCTGAGTTTGAGGGTAGCCTGGGTTACAGAGAAAAGACCTTGTCTTAAAAAGTATCAACAACAAAAAGAACAAAGGTTAAGTTGTACAGCTGAGCCATCTCAGTTCCCAGGAAGACTGCCACTTACTGAACTCTTTGGGAAAGTCCCCTTATCTCCCCAACACTCAGTTTTCCCATCTGCAAAATGGGTGTGCCAGGCAAAAGGCATAGCTAGACTTGGAGGTATCTAAGGTGCTGGAGAGCTATCATAGTTCTGGGACTTCAGGTCAGGTGGTTAAACTGCACATGCCTGTTGTGTCTCTTGAGCATCTTCTCTAGGAAGATTAGTTGCTTTTTTTTTCTGCTGCTGTTAGCCATGGTGTCCATTCTTCCCTCCTCTCCCCTCAGACTTGTGGAGGTCACTGGCAGGACAGAGAGTCCTCCTCTGAGGGCTTTGCATCAAGATCTGCCCTCCCTGTTGCCTTTGCTGCCCCTGCTGCTTCTCTGGCAGTGGGATTCTTAGATGCTCAAAGAGAAGTCATCAGACTTGGTTAAGTGGCTGGGGTGGAGGGCACTAGAGGCACAGTAAGACATCAGCAAAGTAGCAGCTACTTTGGTGGCTTCAGGATCTAAACGACATCCCTTCTTCCCTGACATCCCCCAAGTAAACCACTTCCTTTCTTTTCTCCTGCCATATAAGGTAAACAAAGCCAGGTGTAGGCAAAGCTGTGGCAGCCACCAATTCCATGAGGGGCCTTCTCTTTTGAAACCCTTTGACTCCTTCCAGGGGATCCAGCCAGCACGACAGCCAACACTGTGCCTTTACCTGTCCATCAGGTGACAAGAAGGCTTAAACAGCAGGCCTCCGCCTCCCCTGCTGGAGCATGACTCTGAAGAAGCAGAGCCCTGTTCGTCCCTGTCACTCCCAGGAGCCTTTTCCATCACAGGCCCTGCATGTCATGTCAGTTCCCAGGTTGGCCTGACAGGTCACCAGCCACCTCAGAGGTTCATTACTCCAGGAAAGTGTCAGCTCAGCAAGCATCGGCATTGTCGGCTGTGTTTCGTCCTCCAATTATGCCATGACAGGTTCCTGGTTTGTGGGTACTGGGCATAGGAGATGCTAACTTCCCACCAGGCTATCTTGGATGGCATTAAGGGACTTGGGGGTTTAGGGTGATTAAATACAGTTGTAAGGGACTTTTGGTAGTAAATAAAGGAAACCAGGCCACTGAGAGTATATTCAGAAACACATTGATATGTAGAAAGGTCAGAATGTTAACCATAATTATCATTGGAATTGGCTTTTATATATATCTCTGGAATTATATTGGAATTGGCTCTTATTTCTTGTATTTTCCTCTACCTAAGTGATATGTTTTATGATATAAGTGACAGAGACATTGTAAAATGAAGCTGACTGCAAATTAGACTTGCCCCCTCTCCCTTGGGCAGGAGTAGTGAACTAAGACATTATGCAAAAGGGGAACAGCAGCCTTAAGACTCTGGCTCAACCAATCAGCCTAGCCAGCTCCTAACCTCTTTATCTTCCACACTCCTTCTTAACCCAATGCCTCTTGGCTTCTCTTTGCCCAGAGATCTTTGCCTACCTTTCTCACATTCTCCCTTCACGGTGTGTGACCTTCCATCATCCCTGAGTCCCTTATCTGCCCTTTCAGAATGCCTTGCCTTTCCCAGGCTCAGGTAACAATAAAGAAATCTTTATTAATGGCATTGCTGCTCTGTCAGAGGAATTGGGCCAATCTGGAATCAGGCCATGTAAACCAGGACTCACCTGTCACCATTGGCATGCATGTCTGCCACAAGGTCTCTGTCCTGTTGGTAGAAGTGAATGTACAAGCATCAGACAACAACCACCACTGAAAAGGGCCCTTTCCTTTGGTTTCTGTGGGTTATTGCATGGCAAGCTATGTCCCAGCTGGCTCTGGCTCTAGGACTATCCTTCCTCTCAAAAGCAACAGAGCAGCCAAAATGGAGTAAAGAGCTCCCTCTGGACCTCCCTCCCCAACGGTCTAGTCTGACCTAGAGATAGAAGGGGACACTGATCTTTGCACACAGAGGGAGAGTTCTGGGGATAGGAGACAGGAATTCCATCCTTTTAGCTTCTTCTACTTCTTCCTAATTTTCCCTGAAAAGCTATAAGGGAGTTCTGGGTTCAGACCAGAGGTTGGTTCTGGTCCCTGCTCTATTTCCTGTTCCTAGGGAAGTCTCAAGCAAGGCCCCTAAACTCTCTGATCCTTGATTTCCTCCATAGGTCAAGCAAGGAGATTAGATGAGGGTAAGTCAAGAGCACCTTTGTGTTGGCTCCGTGTCCCAGGACAGGTGGCTTTCAGGCTTCTCTGGGCTGACCACCTCAGAGTCTATAGGCTAGAAGAGACAGTGAACGTGAACAAGTCAGCCCCATGATGTGACCGCACTCTGCCTGTCAGAGCATCCCTCCCACCAGGGAGAGGAAAGCTCTGGATCTAGAAAAGGGCCGAGTTCACCTTTCACAGACAGAAACATGCAGTCTTCCCCAGCAGCTTGTCCATCAAGCCTCTGAGGAACAGAAGGCACAGATGTGGGCCGCAGAGTACAGATGAAAATGCTTCGTAAAGCCATATTACCTTCTACATAGCACCAAAAGATTGCCTTATGGTGACCTTCCACCACCTAAAAATTCACTTTGTTGTCTCTTCGCCAACAAGGATGTTAAATGCCCCAAAGGCAGAAATTTTCATCTGGTTTGTTTTTGACTGTATTTCTTGGACTTAGAACAGTACCTGGTATATTGTAATGCTTGATAAATGTTTGTTGACTAGATATTTTCTCAAGAAAATAAGTTTCTGATTTTCCCCTTGATAAAACATTTTGCAACATAGATTACTTCCTTTTGGAGATGTCCTGATGATAAGACAAGAAGTAGGAACCCCCTTTGGGGCCGTGTTCTTTGTAAGCATCTAGAAATCCTTATTCTGTTCCTGGGATGTGGGAAGCACTCAGAAAATACTAACTATCTTTCGTAGTAGTATTTCCACAGATTCTGATACTTATTCACTCTCTCAAAATTCCTGGAAGATGCTAGGTGTGGTGGTGACAGGTAGACAGGTATGCCCTGTCTGTCTCTTCCCGGTCTGCCACAGAACTTTAAAGAGCACAGCAATCCGAAGCACTGGTTCCAACAATGGCCAGACCATGGATATGGGTTACATTTTGGGGTCCCCTAAGAATAGGAGGCTGAACCAAAAATTCTTCTACCTGGAATGGAATCTTTTGCTTGCCAATAAGAGAGACTTGGAAAGGTCAATCTTCCCGTGAGAGGTGACCAGTTAAACAAAAATCACACAAGGGTGCAAGTCAAGGACTGTAATCAGAGATTCAAGGTAGGTGGTTAGGTGTGTGGGGGGGGTGGGGGGGGTTAGGGAGGAGAAGCCTCTTGGGCATCCTGTGACTGGCCAGAGGGGGCGCTGTTCACCAGCTTGAGCTGATGGTTGCCCAAGGGACCCATGACTCAGATCTTGTTTTTCAAAACAAACAAAAAAACAAAACAAAAAACCACTAGATACACAAACATTTATTTGAAATCTCCCAAGAGGCTTAGCAGTATAGAAAACTAACTCTGGAGAGTTCCCTGCTCAAAGTGGAAGACTCTGAGTCCTCCAGGGAGCAGGTGGCATCTGTAGACCCTAGAACATCATCCGTGTACACAGATACGCAGGCTCAGCAATATCAACTTGACACCCGGGATAAGAGACTCCTTTTCCCATCAATTTCCATCTCCCTTTTTCATTATTCTAGTGATGAGCCTTGCTTTTCCTTCTTCCCATCAACACACACACACACACACACACACAAGAGTCACACAGGAATACCCAGAATAGAGCAAGGATGGGGAAACTGCCCTCCAGTTGCTACTGGGCCTAAGGCCATTTCCAAGTCCTCCTCACCCTTCCCTCTGCCATATGGAATTCTCTAATTCACGCTCTTCATGGCTTCTCAGTGAGTATAGAAGATTCTGAATCTGTGCCTGGAACTCTACCTGCTGTTTAAGCAAAGATGGCATTGGTAAATTCAGTGGAGCCAACGCCAACAGCTAAGGACAGTATTTGAGAAGAGGAGGTGGGAACAAGCCTAGGGTTTCAAGGACATTGGATCAGCGGGTTGGGCCCTAGAGAAAAGGGTTGTTGCTGGCAGAATGCAGGCTGCAGATGGGCAGGGAAGGATGGCTCGGAAGGAAATGAGAGAAGTAGGATTGGAAGACGTGGCCATCCTTGCTTAGCTTTGGGAGGCACTGGAGAGTTCTAGAACACAGCATGGAGCAAGAACTTGGTGATGAAACACTCTACTAAGCTCTTTCACGGGGACTTGAGGGGTTGCTGAGCTTTCCTAGACCCAGGGGAGGTGGGAGGTGAGACGCAAGGTCTGATGGGAAATTCTGATGTTCTCCACGCTCCAGCCCTCTTCCCCAAATGTGCCTTTCTCTAACACCCCTTTCTTTTCTCTCTTCATTGCTTTCTTTCTCCTTCATTTGATCATACTACTTGAACAGCAAACATGGAAAGATGCCTAATCATGAGGAAAATGCAAATCGAAGCCACAATGTGATATCACCTCATACTCATTAGGGTGGCTACTATTAAAGAAACAATAGCAACAAAAAACACCAGGACATGAGACAATAAAGAAGATAAATCAGAGCCCTGTGCCTCGTTGGTGGGAATATAAAATGGAGCAGCCACTATAAGAATATGCAAGTGCCTCAAATTACTAAAAAGAGAATTACCATGTAATCTAGCCATTCCACTTCTGGACATATTTCCAAAAGAATAAAAGCAGAGTCTTAAAGGAAGAGATTTTGTACATTTGTGTTCTTCACAGCATTATTTGCAGCAACCAAAAGACAGAAGCAGCTCAAATGTCCATTGGTGGATGAATGGATGAACAAAATATGGCTCATTTGTTTAACAGAATACTATTCAGCCTCAAAAAAGAAGGAAAATCTGGCATCTGAAGACATTGTGGTAAATACAATAAGCCAGTCCCAAGAAGACAAATGCTTTATGCATTTATATGAGGCTTCTAGGGTAGTTACACTCATGGGAGTGGAAAATAAATGAAGTGCAGGTGCTAAATGAAAAATGAGTTGCTGTGACAGGTGGAGAATTTCAGGGATTTTTTAAAAAAGTAGTTGTTTATTTAGTGCTGGTATTGGGACTTGAACTTAGGGCCTGTCCCTTAGCTTTTTCACTCAAGGCTAGCACTCTACCACTTGAATCACAGCTCCGCTTCTGGTGTTTTGGTGGTTAATTAGAGCAAGGAGTCTCAAAGATGTTCTTGCCTGAGAGGGCTTCAAACCAAGATCTCAGCTCTCAACCTCCTGAGTAGCTAGGATTACAGACTTGAACCACCAGTACCTGGCTTAAATTCACACTTCTCTAAAGAGTTCATATGGTAAATTTTAACTTTATTTTAACCAAAACTATAAGAAAATAATTATGATCAATGCATTACAAAAATTTATAAAGCTGGGCTGGGAAGGTGGCTCAGTGGTAGAGTGCTTGCCTTGCATGCATGAGGCCCTGGGTACAATTCCTCAGCACCACATAAGCAAAAAGAAAAAAGCCGGAAGTGGCGCTGTGGCTCAAGTGGTAGAGCGCTAGCCTTGAGCTGAAGAGCTGAGGGACAGTGCCCAGGCCCAGAGTTCAGGCCCCACGACCGGACCCAAAAAAAAAAAAAATTTATAAAGCATTTAAGAAAGTTTCTTTATTTTCAAATAGAAAGTTTAAAAGATTGCTCCAAAAATATGGGGCCATACTTGATTTATCAATGGATTTAACTGCTTCATAAGGAACTCCAAAATTTCCCTATCACAATGTAAAGGTAGGCATTTATTTTATAGTTTATAATCTTCAGAACCAAATGGAGCTTTCTGCTTAGTTACAAGGAGTCCAAGATGGTCTCACCACTACCAAACTGCCTCTTTCCCAAGCTGCTTTAAATACTTACAGTGTCCAGGTTGCCAATGGCTGCCACCAGTTTAATGTCAGAAGGCCTCAGAGAGTGGACTGTGGAGACAAGAAGCCCCGTGGCAAGGTCAGATCTGCATTCCTCACAGTGTAGCTGAGACCACAGGAGGTACATGGAGCAGACACCCCCCACCCACCCATCCCACCGCCCGTGTAGAACTGCTAGGTTCCACCTGTTGCTTTAGGAGTGGAAAATGAAGTATCCTGCCAGACACCACCAGGATCCGTTCTGGGAAGAGGCTGTTACCTCCACTTATTCTCTCAAAGCAGGAGTCCTGGGGTAGGTCATGCACAGTCCCTCTTTTTCCTCTCTCTGCTGGGGGCCCTCCACCTGCCCTTCACTTTCCTCTACCCTATGGATCTGCATTTAGTGAGAGGACAACAGATTAAAATTAGAATCACATGGCTATCTAATGGTTCACCTTAGCTTGAAGAATGCCAGAGGACAGCACTCAAAGTCTGTGGGCACACAGTGCCTCAGATGGAATTTGTATGCAAATAATAGACATTGAGATCTCCTTGATCCACTTGTGTGACTATGATATGAGTCTCCCTAGAGACCAAACTGGTCACATACACCCCAGTCACATGGTGGGGGCATCTAAATGTAAGTCTCCTAAAGTTGCCATTTTCTGAAAAGTTGATCAAGTTTTGGATTCTAATTTGGTGGTACTGTGGTTTGAACTCCAGACTTCTTGTTTGCTAGATAGGAACTCTACCATTTGAGCCATGCTCTAGCTCTACCTTGTCTTTATATAAAAGAACAGTCAGAAAAGCAAAATTAACTGGAAACCCTGATTGGGTTAGCATAATATAAGTAGACAGAAAGCTTCAAGTACAGTCATTTAACATGATAAAGTCAGTGAAGAAGGACAACATTCCTTAGTAGCATTCATAGTTCGGACATATTGGGCAAATCTAACCCACAATGAGTGTCTAGAATAGCCACTGTGGTTGCATTACAGGACTGGGGAAGTTATGTGATCAAAGTTCCACTCCGTAACCCCCATGACATGGTCTGCCTACAAAGAATCAAAACCCTGGGTGCTGTCCACTCAGGCAAACCACCATGGGGCCATGTTGGTTTTGGTGCTTCATTGATGCTACTCCTCCATAGAAATGGCTGAGGGGAAACAGAGCTGATGTGAGGAGGAGGAAGAAGGAAGAGTGAATGGCAAAAAGATGTAAGAGGAATAGAGTCAAAGCATCGGCTGGTCACTTCCCAAAGAATATGCTGGGCCTCTCTTGTTTATAGCTGGTAGGAACATACCTGACTTAGAAGGCACATTCGGTCCTAACTTCTTTGGGTTGCAGGGATTTAGGAAATTCTTCAGGGCCTGCAAAGGAAACCAAGCAGCCAAAACATGAATCACCTTGCATAGGTGTCTTTTAGGTTCTGAACATTTGGCTCAAAATCAAGAAGCAACACTGGACAAAACTAGACCATAATGGGAGTAAATGGCTGGCAGGGCCACTGTGGCTGCATTGTATTGGTTCTAGCCCTTCATAAAAATAACACATTTCTAGTTCACATTATCCCAACCTCCTCACCCAATCCATGTTAAGAGAGGACCTATGACTGACTATGGTTTTAGTAGCTGTCTCAAGACATCCTTAAGGATAGAGAAAGGGCAGATGATAGAGAATTAAAGTTTACTGTTGGAATGATTTAAAATTTTGGAGATCAATTTTGGTGTTAGTATTATAACCATGTGAATCCCTTAATGTCACTGAATTATGCACTCTGATGTAGTTAAGGTGTTATGTATATCTTACCACAATTAAAAAAGAGAGAGATAACTGAGAGGCCCAGGTATACCAAGACTAAATCAGTTCTATCTGACATTTATTTGTATTATCTACTTTCCTTCCCCTGGTTTGATTATTTCCTCAAAGACAAGAATGCATATTCACTGCTAAAAAAATGGGGAAAAAAAAAACTGAAACTGAATGATTCCTGTTCAGTCTTCAGATTGAAGTGTACTCAGGAGGGACAGTGACTAATGGATGGTCTTGAGATCAAGATTCCCCCTTAGGTGCTACTCAGAATCCAGCATTGCTTCTGACATTAATATGCAAGGTTTGGGGAAGGTTCATTATAGATTTTTCTCCCCAAAACAGAGAGTGGAAGAGGAAATGCTTTACCAAAGAAAAACATGTAATAAATGAAGGGCTGGACCACATCTCATCCCCACAAGTTAATTTCCCTTGAATTACTGATTACAGTAAGAGATACAACATTTACTTTCAGCTCCTATCTTGTGGATTTTCTGGGAAGACCTCACCCAGATGCTTCCAGATAACTCACAACATCTGCTTCAAGGTTCACAGAGATAACACGCCCATGTATAATGCTTTCTGGACACTTCTGGGAACTACCCACACAGTTGTGGGGATGGGGAGCCCCAAATTCCAGGAGATATAGTACATTCTGCCAGGCAGCCCAGCTCTTCTTCTAGGAAAGTCACTCATCTGGACTCCAGGAGAGGCCTATCGATCTGTTCGAATCCTACAGACACACAACCACCCACCAAGGCAAAGCCCTTACCTCTGGCCATAGCTGACCTTCCAATGTGTTTTTCCCTGGAGAGGTCTGAAGTTGGGTAGTTCCTGCAATAGATAGATAAATAAATAAAAATAAATAAATAGATAGAAAACAAAATAGTTCAGGTATTTTTTTTTTTTTTGCTGGAATTAACTCCTACTAAATTTGTGGCCTGTATGCCCTTTCTCCTAGCCCTGTCTATATGCTCAGCCCAGCTCAGCTCCATGTCCTTTGTGTTAAGAAGGTCCAGACTCCATCCCTCCAACTGTCATGGTTTGGGTCAATGTGCTTCCAGTAGTGTTGGAATCCCCAGGTTGAAATGCTGAAGTGTTAGCATCTGAGAGGGGGCAGTAACACTGCATTATCTGTGGCCTGCAGTCAGACTGCTTTATTATAGTTGTCATTATTTATTTATTTATTTATTTATTTATTTTGCTGGTCCTGGGGCTTAAACTCTGGACCTGGACACTGTCCCCTGAACTTCTTTTTGCTTAAGACCAGGACTCTATCACTTGAGCCATAATGCCATTTCCAGCTTTTTTGAGTAGTTTTTTTTTTTTTTTAAGAGTCTCACAGCTTTTCCTGCCCAGGCTGACTTTGAACCATGATCCTCAGATCTTAGCTTCCTGAGTAGATAGGATGATAGACGTGAGCCAATTTTTTAGAAAGAGGCAGAACCTCAGGAAGGTAATGTTGACAGACTATTGTCATTGTCTGGAGATCCAGGACAAAGCAGGGAAACCAAAGGATATCTAGAAGAGTCTGAAGGATATATATATATATATATATATATTGCTGCTGGGGACTGGATCTAAGGCTACACCCATTTTAGACAAGCAGATGATCATTGAGCCATGTCCTCAGTCTCAGATTATATGATCTTAAAGTGCTAATCATGAGACTTCTAGCAGCCATAACTATGCTAAGTACCCAGACCAGAGGCTGGGTTGAGGAGTCCTGCTGAATATTAGGCAAAAGGGCAAGGAAAAAAGCTGGGCACTCACGCCTGCAATCCTCGCTACTCAGGAGACTGAGAACAGTTCAAAGCCAGCCTGGGCAGGAAGGTCTGTGAGACTCTTATCCCCAATAAACTAGGAAAACTCTGAAAGTAGAGCTGTGTCTCCAGAGGTAGAGTGCTATTCCTGAGAAAAAGAATCTCAGGGAGCTGAGTTCAAGCCTCAGGCTGTCACAAAAAAAAAAAAAAAAGGAAAGAAAGGCAAATAGGGAAACATAAACACGATCTTTGTCCCAACATCCTTTTGACTTGCCTCTCAAAACTTTTATTTTTATTATTATTATTATTATTATTGTGCTGATCCTGGGGCTTGAATTCACAGCCTGGATGTTGTCCCTAAGGTTTTGTGTTCAAGACTTGAGCCACATCTCCACTTCAAATTTTTGTGGTAAATTAGAGATAAAAGTATCACAGACTTTCCTGCCCAGGCTGGCTTCAGACCATGATCCTCAAATTTTAGCTTTCTGAGTAGTTAAGTTACCAGTGTCTGGCTGAAACTTTTCATTTTTTTAAGGTAAAAATGCAGGTTTATTTTTATTTTTTTGTGTAGGTTTATTTTTAAGATACAATTTTCATATAATAAATGGGATTCATTTTAAGTGTACAGTTTAAATCTTCCTATAAAATACCTAAAGTATTCAATAGTAAAATTAACAAGACTATAAATAAAGGAAACCAAAAAAGAAAAATCACTTTAAGTGCCTCTACTTCCACATTCAAATGTGATTTCATCTGTTCACATTCTTGTAGACACATCCATGCATACTTGCATTCCATTGTAATCAGTGTACAAATCATTTTGTATTCTGTAAGCTCCTTTCTAGATTATATCCTAAATACTTTTCAGATTGTTAGATAACCTTGCTTCTTGTTTCAACAGCTACTTGATACATTTATGATCCTATTTGATTGGCCATTCAGATTCTTTTCTTTTGCTATTTCTCTGCCCAGAGTATATACTCCTTGCCAGAGATACCAGGAATAGAACCCATGAACAGTTTAATAATTCTAAGGGAAGCCTGTTTCTGAGGATACAGCTTGATTTTTTTTCTACCCCAGTCTTTTTCTGCAGATCTACTTTTCAAGCCTGAAAAGAATTCCACGAGGAGAAGCAGTATATTTGCCAGTTTCATGCTGGTTTACACGGGAACTATGGCTCTAACCTTCCTCCAGATCTCAGTGACCTTCTTGACATTCCCAGAAGTCAGCTTTCTGGGCACAAAGAGCCCTGTGATGGGAAGGTGGAGAGGTAAAGACAAGCTGAGAGTTCTGGAAAAGGCTAGAACACAGAGTCTGTGAAAAAAGGGAATAAAAGGCAGGAAAGGGAAGCCAGGGTAGAAAGACACAGACAGACAGGAGCTAGTAATATGGAGCCATGAACACTAGGCTGGTCCCTACGTAACTGAATGTCATCACCAGTCCTTGAAAGAATGACTTTAAAGTCCATTTTTAGATGATCATCACTCTGGGAGTAGCAGGATGAATTAGCAGGGTAGAGATTTAAGATATTCCTTCTAAACTAGGGTAAATATGTTGATAGTCACCATTTACATACATATTCAATACACCAGACGTAGCCCTGAGCAATTACACAAAATAATTCACTTGATCCTCATAGCAATTCTGTGAGATAAATACCATCATCTTCAGAACGTCACAATAAACAAACTAATTAAACGTTATATGAAGAGGCAAAAGACCCAGCATAGCCAATTCAACATTAAAGAACAACATTGGATGGCTGATATCACTGGACTTCAAGACTTACGAAAGAAAGTGTGGTATTAACAAAACAAAAGGCAAATCGATTCATGGAACGGAAGACAGGGTTGAGATAGATCTGCTCAAATATAATCAACTTGACAGAGAAACAAAGGCAACACAGTGGAGAAAAGGAAGCTTTTAAAGAAATGGTATCAGAATGACTTGCCATACATATACATACATGTGTATGTTTTTGTGTGTATAAAAGCTCCTTTTAGCACACAGATCATATAAAACCAGGCCATAGGCTGAATTTAGCCTATTGACCAAAACTTGCCCACCAATCCCTGATCTAGACTGGTACTGAATAGGGATTATCCAGGTGAAATGAGAGGGTGGCATTTCTGGTGATTAGCATTAGCCTCTGCAGGGTGGTTGGGGAACCGAAATAGAAAAATAAAATAAAAAAATAACTGAACTTAAAGAAGGTGAGAAAGTGGGAAAACCACAAGACAGAACACACTGAAACAAACAAACACGGCAGGCAAGGCCAAAAGAGAGAGAGAGGGAGGGAGGAGGGGGAACATATATGATTTAAGAGCGCTCTTCAATATCTGCACTGCAGTGCTGGGTTCCAAAAGGGCTGGCCTAGTCCATGTAGTCCTCAAGTCTGGACTAGACCCTTGGGGATAGCCTGTCCCTACTTATAATAGCTGGAGGCCACCTCAACAAGAAAGGACTGAGGCTGGGGATTATAGTGCACTTGTAGCATGTACAGACCAGGCAGAGATTAAGAGTTTGCACACCGTTGTTCTTGTCAGCCTCTCCAAGCCTTCATCTCCTCACCTATCCAGGGTGCTTGGTATTCCCTGCCTTTTGCACTGTGAGGCTTTCACGCATGTAAACACCAGCAGTGTCAGAAACTTCCAAGGATGCAGTAACTGAAGCTATAATGATTACACCTTCAGCATCAGAGAGGTGATTGACACAATCACCTTTCAAATCCTTCTAGCCTCAGGAGTCAAGGCTTTCTCTCCATAGAAAAATGCTCAGGAGTCTTTGTCTTTAACTTGGTGATGTAAGTCTTTCATGATCATTACTCTGGGCTATACCTAATATTTAAACTCAAAAGGGCCTAGATTCAAACACCTAGATGGAAATGTACAGCCCTTTGATCCTGTCCCCCGCTGACTGACTTTATGGGCAGAGATCTTGTCTCTGTTTCTTACCAGGTACATGGAGGGGAAAAAAATCTGTGTCCACTCCCTCCATGTCCGAGGAATTATGGCAGAGGTGATCAAAGCATTTGTGGCATCACTGAGCTCAGGTCACGGGGTCCCAGGGAACCTTTTCCCTTTTGCAAAGTTGTTTTAACATCAAGCTCATGGACCTATGAAGGGCTTTGAGCTCCCTGAAAAACCTCCCACCTTGGTTAAGTTCAAAAAGGGAAAAAAACATGTAATTTTCCATCCTGATGGGAATGATGGAGAAAAACACCTGTTTCTGCTCTGAGGAACAGGTTGCCTGAGATCAGTCATCCGAGTTGGTCAGAACTGTGATTTCTAGGGTTGGAAATTGACAAGAGGCTATTACAGCACCAGGCCTTGGCCGGGTACAGTCACACATGCATCTGCCCATGAAAATAGTGACTCTAGACCCTCTTTCTGCTGACTGGTTCCCCAAAGATCCAGCTTAATTGTCCAGATTATGCTGGGCCTCACAGCTTTAGAAGACCCCTGGATGCTATGATGAGCTTCCAGTTAAAATCCAGTTCTATAAGGAAACAAATAGATTCTATAGATTTATCCCCAGCAGCTGGCCAGAGGTGGGAGGAGCCATTTTATTAGCTGGATTAAAGCAGTGAGAGCTCACTAATTTACAGATTTCTTGATGTCTGTCCACTTACACGGTGCCCAAAACACGATTTTCTACCCTCCATCCTTTGCTTGAAGAAGGATAGCCGTTGGATGACTGGATCAAACTTTTAACCTTTCCATCTTGACTTCCCCATCTATAAACTGGGGATGAGATGCGCTACCCTGCTTCCCTCGTGGGATTATTGTGAGGATCAAAGGACAGGAGAGTGCCCTGTAAGCAGGAACTACACACCGGAGAAGTGATCTGCCTCATAGGATGAAAGGAGGCTTTGTCCCCCTGGATAGCAGAAGGTGGCCAAGCACAAGGCACCAGTGGAACTGAGGTCACGCCTTGGGGTGCATTAAATTCTTGGACTCTTTGAACAGTGCAGTGTCCTCATGGCAACCCTAGAGACAGGATGTATGAGTCTCTTGGCATCATTGCAGGCACTCAGAAGCCATTGGCTCCTGGAGATCAAACCAGCCAAGG